ATACAGATGTACAGCAAATGTTAGGATTTACCGTCGTCACGGGTAAAGATGGAGGAAATCGCGTCTAAGAAGTTCGGAAATTTTGTTGGACACTTTTGGTGGTGGTGCTATAGCAGGATTACCATATTGAAGGTAAGAATAAAGACTTCTGAAAAATGCGTCTGCAGATTCCAGATTATCAGGGTAAGAATTGGAAAGTGGTTGATAACGTGGCAAATTTGGAATTATGTCTGAGGCTGGTATCAAATAACCAGGAGGAGTTAAGGGACTGAAAAGTTTGTTGTAGTTCTTTACAACATCCGGCTCGTGTTCGCCAGGAAACAGTACAGAAGGAGAAGATTCTCCAGGAGAAGATTTTCCACGAGAAGTTAAGTAAATTGGTGGGTTATTTGAGTAATCAACTGGTTTTCCAGGATAATATGAGGGGACCAGTGGAGTGTTGAACGAGAGTTCAGTTGGTCTTTCAGAAGGATATGGGGGAATTGATGGATTGTTTTCTGAGAAATCAACTGGGCCTCCAAAAGGATATGGAGGAATTGATGGGCTGTTACTTGAAAGTTCAGCTGGTCTTCCGAAAGGATATGGAGGAATTGATGGACTGTTACTTGAAAGTACAGCAGGTCTCACAGGAGCTAAAAAGATTGGTGAATTATCTGATAAATCAGTTGGTTCTCCAAGAGGAACTGAAGAAATTGGTGAACCGTTTGTTGAGAGTTCAACTGGTTTTGCAAGGGATGAGAAAATTGGTGGGCTGTTGTTTGATAAATCAGATGGTTCTTCAGAAGGAGGTAAAGGAATTGGCGAATTATTACCTGAGAGATCACCTGGTTTTCCAAGAGGGAATGAGGTAACTGGTGGATTGATACTTGAGTGATCAATTGGATTTACAAAAGAAGAAGGGATTGGTGGACTGATAATTGAGAACTCAACTGCTTTTACTGGAGCAGATGGAGGAATTGGTGGATTAACACTTGGGAGATCAATTGGGTTTACAGGAGAAGATGGAAGAATTGATGGATTAACATTTGGGACATCAATTGGGTTTACAGGAGAAGATGGAGGAATTAGTGGACTAACCCTTGGAAGATCAACTGGGTTTACAGGAGAAGATGGTGGGATTGGTGGACTGGTAATTAAAAACTCAACTGATTTTACTGGAAAAGATGTAGGAATTGGTGGATTAACACTTGGAAGATCAATTGGGTTTACAGGAGAAAATGGAGGAATTGATGGATTAACACTTGGAAGATCAATTGGGTTTACAGGAGAAGATGGAAGAATTGATGGATTAACATTTGGGACATCAATTGGGTTTACAGGAGAAGATGGAGGAATTAGTGGACTAACCCTTGGAAGATCAACTGGGTTTACAGGAGAAGATGGTGGGATTGGTGGACTGGTAATTGAAAACTCAACTGCTTTTACTGGAGCAGATGGAGGAATTGGTGGATTAACACTTGGAAGATCAATTGGGTTTACAGGAGAAAATGGAGAAATTGATGGATTAACACTTGGAAGATCAATTGGGTTTACAGGAGAAGATGGAAGAATTGATGGATTAACATTTGGGACATCAATTGGGTTTACAGGAGAAGATGGAGGAATTATTGGACTAACCCTTGGAAGATCAACTGGGTTTACAGGAGAAGATGCTGGGATTGGTGGACTGGTAATTAAAAACTCAACTGATTTTACTGGGAAAGATGTAGGAATTGGTGGATTAACACTTGGAAGATCAATTGGGTTTACAGGAGAAGATGGAGGAATTGGTGGACCAACAATTGGAAGATCAAGTGGGTTTACAGGAGAAAATGGAGAAGGTGATGGAACGAAGTCTAAGAAATCAGCAGCTTTTTCAGGAGAAGTTGGGAAAATTGGAGGATTGTTCGTCAATGAATCAACTGGCTTTTCAGGAAAAGATAGAAAAAGTGGCGGTTGTTGTACATTTCGTATCTTTGTTCTCAACGGAGAAGAATTTTTGTTTGCTAAAGGTAAAGAAGTTGATGATAAAGATACAGTTTCAGTATTTACTTGCACCTTCGGTGAAGAAGATGGAACATTGTTGTTCACAGTCAAAGACGAAGATTCTATAGAATATTTTGTATTATCTTCTTGAGGACTTCCGGTTATTTTATATTGGGAAGGCTTATCTTCAATTGGACTATGATTGGTAGGTAACCTAATTGCGTTTACAGCTGAGGCAGAAGAACTAATTGTATTTGACGATCCATAATTAGGTTTCTGTAACTTCGTAGTAGAAGCTAATGGTTGAATAATTGCAGCTGGCAATGTCGGTGACGAATCTTTTTGAACAATGCTGGAAACACTTTCCGTTGAAAGCGATGGAACATTTGGGAGATCAATTGGAGAACTTAATGGAACATTCTCTGATGCGATAACAACCGTTAAAGGCGATACAGAAGGCTTATTTATTGGAATTGGTGCCGAAATGTCAGCATTTTGTATCGAAACTGATGACTTGAATGAAGTTGTATCTTGTGCAATATTTCCTGGTAACAATTTTGTTTGATCAATTTTTACATCTTCTTTAACAATTGGCGTCAAGTTAAATTCTGATGGGACTAATGGAGAGATTGAAGAAGTTTCAGTCGTTATTTGCCAGGCCCACTTTAAAACAGCAGGACTTCCGTCTGGTGAGTTGAAATGTAAAACGGGAAGTTCAAAATCTTGTGTAAATAGAGTTAAAACAAAAGTAGAAATCAATGATTCTATCTTTTCAATTATAGATTTCGAACAATCCATTTCATTGTATTCGTTATAAATCTCTACCAATTTATCGATGCACTCTTTTAAAATTTTTAAGTGTTGTTCGAAAGTATGTCCAGAACAAAGTTCTTCGAACAGTAATTTCACGCATGAAAACAGGTCTGAGATGAATTTCACTTCTGCCTCAAGAACACTTAATATATTATCTATCTTAGAAATTGGTGTTACATCGTAATTCGATGAAATTGCTACAGAATCTGAAGAAGTTTCATCGATTAATTGCCAGAAACACGATATAGTAGCAACAGTTTTGTCTGGTAGCACAAAATGTACAATAGGAATATTAAAATTCTCTGGGATGGAAGTTGAGATATAAGTGGAAATCCCTGTATGCACCTTCTCAATGATAGATTCAGAAGATTCAGAAACGTGGAGTTCTTCATAAGTTTTAGAGAGAACATCGACAAATTCCTTTAAGATAGCTAAGTTTTCTTCGAAGGCTTTTTCGGGTGAAAATTTCATCAACAACAATCTCACCGTCGAAATAAATTCTGATACTAACTTCACTTCCCCTTCTAGTATTATACCAAAGAAACCTAATATGTTTTCTATTGCAGTGCATATTTTCTCATGGAATCCGCTGAAGAACTCGGTATAATTATATATAGTTTGGTGAGGCTCGAAATAAATAACCAAACCTTGCAGATGAACGAAGAAATTTGCAACAACGATCCTCAATCTAGTCACAGTTTCTTGAATTTGCAACATTGGTACGCAGTTTTCAATAGCGTCGATTAAATCGTTCAGATTCTCCGGATTTTCTAGGAATACTTGCAACTGTAATATACCTTGGTCTATGGTGTCGATTATAGCTGCGTTCAATAGAAGATCACTCAACAAGATGATGGCTTCTTCCGTTTCGATTGGTAATTCTATTTGAAATTCAGTCTTCAAATTTTGAGCAGCGATTACTATGTAATGCCAGAGTTTCCGTAATTCACAGATAACTTCGTGGATCAGGACACCAGGTGCTTCGTTATGGCCAAAGGTTGAAGCCTCTTCGATGCAGGAATAACTATCCAGCTGTTCCAACGTCATTGGAGCCGAGTATGATTCTTCAATAGTCAATTCACTTTCCGACAGTACTTCAGGTACTGAAGTAACCGCATGACGTTTCGGCAGGATGCTCGCTTCAGTTGTGACATTCTGGGCAAATTCAATTTCTTTTAGTAAATTTGTTCAAGGGAATATTCCCATTTGGAGATAATTACGGTCGGTCCTAAGGTTCAGGACCCCCATAGAACGATTTTGCGTCTAAGAATTGCGTCAAATTTTATTTGAGGTACTATTTTTTATCTTATATATGCGAAAAGGTCCTTTTTCGGAGCTCGCATCGGATCCCCGAAATTTCAGGACCGGCCCTGGAGGTAATCAAATAATTAATTACAAATTTACCTGGTTGATGTCTTCCATTGCTTCGATTGTCGCCGAATGGTCCTGCATAGCCTCATTGTTAATATCCGTAGTTGCCGGTAATTTCTCAATTACGGGCTCCTGTGACAATAGAACAGAAGAACGGAATATTGAATTAATACAGCGTCAAAATTAGCTGCGAATAGAAGTAAACGAAGGATTACCGATATTTTTTCTGTCACTTGATCCGTCACAGTCGTAGGAAACTGTAAAACTTGTAGAACTTTAGGAAGATCATTCCGACTGGACTCAACCGAAGAGTGTTGTAATTTATCACTAGATACTTTTGTTTCATTTTGTTCTTCTTTCGCGAGAACTGTGATAACAGTACATAATACTACTGAGAAGAGAAATCTAAGAAGATTCATGTTCTTCATCTTTTCGATCGAGAAGAACTCGTTAACGTTGACCATCTCGGACAGCTTAATATACTCGCAAGTTTGATACATGATTTTAGAAAACGGCACGCAGGTCGTGCGAAATTTGAGCAACAGCTGAGATAATTCATCGATAAGAATCAAACTCATTAAGATAGCGTCGATGGAAAGTATGATCTTCCTTATTTTAATTGTCTTTAATCATCTAGATAGGTTGAAGAAGAATTTATGAAATGGCACGTATTCGTTATTTACTTATTTACTCTATGCGTTGAATTCTCGCTTTAAACGTTAAACAATAATTTTGTTTTATTCCGCCAAACGAGAAAAAGATAGGATAAGATTAATCTCTTAATTAAGTTGCACTTTTGTTTTGAATATCATTTTATTTTCCCATACCACTTTTTACAGAATTTAAAAACACTCTATTCTAACACTGCGATGACGACGATGGTGGCAAAACTTCGCAAGCAGGAACCAATATCCGATCAATCCGAGACGTGAGGCCTTTCAATCGTTGGACACGTTTCTCTTGATATTCTTCCATGTTTCTAAAACAACAAAAAAATAAGATTAATCCAGGAAGTGAAGATTCTATTGTAATTAAGTTGTTGTAATATTTACTCTTTTATTGAGATCGGAACTTCAACGTCATAATTATAAATTTTCTGTTCAGGTTGCTCATAAGAAGCAGGAGGAACATAAGTATTGTACGTATAAGTTTTTCCCCGTAGAAGATCTGTCATGATAGTTCTTTCCGATTGTGATGGAGTACTACATGAGGTGTCTATCTTAATTGGGTATTCGATCCGACGTGGTTCTACGAACATGTCCGAAATAACTTTAAAATTCAACGATACTGGTATCTTTTCTTCTTGTCGTGGTGGTTTGGGACCCTGTAATTATTTAAGGGTAATTATTAAACAGAATTAGGTGCTTCTATATGTATAATTACGTACTATATATAAAATTCTACCTCAATTTTGATTGGTAATTGTCGTGTTTCAACGCAAGGTTCACCGTATGTTACTATTTCAACTCTATCCTTGATACAGTTACAATTACATTTTAAAGTAACGATCAAAAGAACGATGAAAATGGAGATTACCGTATCGAAATTCATGACTGTAGATCTTGGCGTTCAAATACTCCAGTCAATGATTTCACGTTCTTAATATATGTTCGGAAGCACCCACTTCCTGTTTATTGTCGCCTTTGTATTAAGCAATTTTTAAGAATACGTGTAAACAAAACATGTAAGAAAACGATTATTTTCTTTTTTCGCCTGAAAATTTCGCAATCCTCCGACGTGTTCGAGCGGAAGTGCAAAAATTTTTATTCACGGAAGTTGTAAGCTACACGGATGTGTTTATGAAAAAAGCGGATGAAACACACGTACCGTTACGCTACGAATTTTAAATATAACCGTCTTGTATCAATCACTATACAAAATCGTAACGTGTTATTATTGAGGCAGTATTATTCATAAATTACAACGATTATAAACATTCCTATGTTCGATGGATCGTTACCTAAAGCGTTCCATGTATGTAGTTAACAAGTTCCGTCAAAAAAAGAAGAAACGTTTAAAGAAAAGGAATCTTGTTAATTAAAAAATGAAGTTAAAGCTTCTGAAAATATATGTATTACGTTAGGAGTTATAAATATGTTAATATCTACTTCTACCTTTGATACTAACTTCTTTCATTTTATAGGAAATAAAATATTTATGATAATGATGCAGTGCAAAGTGATAGAATTTGAAGCGAATAGGAAAAGTCGAAGAAAAGGGAAATAACGACTGAAAAGAATTGTGCACAGAGCTAAAAAAAAAGGGCTCTTAATGATGAATACGATAGCGCTTTAAATAGCAACGCGTTGTGCATAGAAATACATAAATTACGTTCCCTTCAAGACAATCATCATGTTCTGCCATGTGGTGCTCGTACCAAAAATTCCCCTTTCCTCTCTTGAGAGAGTGCTCTACGAAGTGTTGAGAGGTTCGCTTAAACCACGGAAGTTGAAGGAATATCGTAAATCTTGTAATACAGTTGAAGCATGAGAGAGAAGAATCCTTGTTCTATCCTTTTCTAGGTAATCCATTGAAAATAACGTTCAATTTAAAGATAAAGTATTCAAATCAAATTTAATATTAATTATTTAGTACATTAGAATTAAAAAATTATACATTTGGAACACGTAATTATATGTAATAGATTTTTGGATATCAGACAAAAATTATTAATAATAATTACACTTTGCTAATATTATTTTTTTTTTATTTTATTTTATTTTATTAAATTAAATAATATATGGGGCGCAAGTTGATGAAATATAGGCATTTTATATATTCATATTTTTATTATCATTGAGTATATTTTACAGTACATATATTTTTAAATCCTTTCATCAAAATATTTATTTTATTTTTGAAACCAAAAGGATTGAATATTACATTACTTAAAAAATTAGGTTGGGCATAATCCAGATCTTGTAGATTGTCTAATCTCCATACTTTCATTAATTCCCCCATTAAAAGAAGTTTCAGCATTATCTTGTACAACTTCTTGTTGAACTACTACTCTGCCTGGAACATAATCTGATAGAGGTGGGCCTAATGGACCACACGGTGCTTCTCCACTGTCGCTCATTTCTTCATTGTAGCTCACTGCTCCATTATACTTTGCAAATTGTGTGTAAGTTGTACCTACTGGTGCATAACCTAGATCCCTGTAAATAATCAAAATTAGTTAGTATACAAAAATTTATTCAGTAAACATTTGTTTCTTACTAATTATCAAACTTACTTATAGGTAAGAAGGCTTTCTGACATGCGATCTACATTTTCTTCTTGAGTTATGCTTTCACGTTCAAATGCTTCAAGTTCTGCAAGTTTAGCTTCTTCCCGTTCGTCATAGGAACCAATAACAACTGTTCTTGCAGGTGCTACTTTTAATTCTACTACAGGTTTATCAACCGTCACAAGTTTCTCTTCTGGGATGTTTGAAATTTTTGTTTGAGTTTTCACTTCATTTGGCACCGTCCTATGTCCAAAGGATAGTTTATCTTCAGGTATAAATTGTTTCCCCTGTCTGTAAATTACGTTTGGAGCTCGAAGATTTTTATACGCAAGAGTAAGGGATACCGCATCTGCTGGTATTGCTGGATACGAATAATCTACTTCAGTTCCACCTGAAAAAGTATATACTTTTATGTTGGTAAATTTAAATAATTATAAAATTGTAATAGGATATTTATTTATAACAAACCTGTGGTAGCAGAGTCATCAAAACAGTCTGAAGAACTACGGCTTAAAGTTATTCTAGAACGTTGTTTCTGTCTATTAGGAGAATTTAAATTAGCATATACTAGAGGTAATTTGTATGGTGTAGAAGCCACGCCACCAAATACTCCAGAATTTGCATTTTTACGTAAAGTTACTGTGGGTCCACTAAATGATCTGGATTTGCTTATAACTCCATTTTTTCCAGGTGCAATTTGAATAAATGGGCCTGAGGCACTGATTGCAGGATTTGAGTTTCCATATATTAAGGTGCCAGATTTACTTATTGTCTCTGAAGGAATGGATAATGCGTCTAAGCCACTGATTGCAGAATTTGAATTTTCATATATCAAGGTGCCAGATTTACTTGTTGCATCCAAAGGACTGGATAATGCGCCTAAGCCACTGATTGTAGGATTTGAATTTCCATATATCAAGGTGCCAGATTTACTTATTGTCTCTGAAGGAATGGATAATGCGTCTAAGCCACTGATTGCAGAATTTGAATTTTCATATATCACAGTGCCAGATTTACTTATTGTCTCTGAAGGAATGGATAATGCGTCTAAGCCACTGACTGCAGAATTTGAATTTTCATATATCACGGTGCCAGATTTACTTATTGTCTCTGAAGGAATGGATAATGCGTCTAAGCCACTGACTGCAGAATTTGAATTTTCATATATCAAGGTGCCAGATTTACTTGTTGCGTCCGAAGAACTGGATATAATCTTTGTACTTAGAATTTCTCCGGTAAGGCTATTTATACAAATTTGGTAAGGAGCTAATCGACTTGACATACAATTTTGGCACACAATTTTTCCAGGATATGCTGGCACTACTTTCGTAGTTTTTTCTATTATCTTACCAGTACGAGAATCAACCGGAAGTGGATAACATAAGTCACCAATTGGTGGGAAACTGTAAATGAAAATATTAGTACCACAAATAATTATTCAAAATGATAAAATTTTGCCAAGTACCTGGGTACAATTTCGCCATTGGAACTCTGCGAATCATCAATTTCCAAAGTTTCTATGATTTGCTTGCTACAACCACAACCACCAGACTGACTTTGAGTGATAGTATCAGTCGCGGTTGCAACGTTGTCGTAAGCAACTATTGATCCAGAAGTATCTGAAGAACTACTGCTGCTGTAGCTGGTGGAATCAACCTTACCATTTGTTACAGTATCTGCATTACTTTCAATAATTAAACTACTGCTGCTACAAGGAGTGGAGTTACTATCAACCTGTGCACTAGAGCTAATGGTGCTTTGAGATGTACTCAATGATATACTATGACGTGCAGCTGCAGCATCATTGATTTGTTGCGGTAATGCATAATATGTTGGTTTTGGTAGTTGTGCAGCTTTCACAACTACATCACTACAGGAACATGGATTTTTACCTGTAATCAAAGAAACTTTAATAAGTGATCTTAAAATAGATATTAATTGTATTGCAAAAACTAATTTTCTTAATCAGATACCTTCTCCTAAGTTTCCACAGGTGCATTGCTGGTTGGTTGCGTGGATGAGTAACGAACATGTCGTCAAAATGAAAAGAATCTTCAAAATCGACTTCATATTGATGAATATCTTCTTTATTTTGCATTGTCCCTTATTCAGACTGCTTTATATATATGAAAGGATACCGAATTCGAATATAGATTACGCAATTCATAATGAATTATATTTCCTGTTATTTTAAAAATATTTTAAACACTTCCTGTTCTTAAAGGAAGTATAGTAAACGTGTTTGTATAAAAGTCATTTTGTACGTGATGTGCCGTCATTTCCGCATTACTTTGATATTTTTGTTAAAGCAAAGAACAGAAATACTTTGACCTCCTCGATCAATATGTGTAACATTACAAGAGATAACTTTACTGGTAAGATTTTATTATAAAATATGAATGATATGATATACACAGTTAATATTTATAGTACGTATAAACTCATATTATTCGTTTAACCATATACTAATATATTTACAACAATATACACAATACACAGTATTGAAATAAAGATATAGTTTTATTTACTTTACTTATTAAAAAAATCAGCTGCTCTTTGCCTCTGAAGAGGTAAATTAAGTAAATTATCGGTAAGTACCGGACCCAGGCATCGCGTACTGGTGTTCCCAGATTCAAGGTTTTCAGGTTTGGAAGGTGTACTCAGTCGTGGAGTATTGGGTGTTCTAATACCTATTGAAGGTGTCCTCGAAGATGGAGTTCTTCGCGGCGTTGGCGTATTTGCAATACGAAGTTTCTGAGTAGCTAATCTTCTAGCTGCTGGGGACATGGTACTCAGACGGTCTATGGTTGATCTTGGGGATGGTCTATAACAAAAAAAACGGTAAATGTTAGTGCAAATAATTTTAAATATTTTATTAAAAAATATCAAGACACCTACGTTGCTAACGATTTTCTTGCTGCTTCTAGGGCTTTAATCTTTCTATCCCTGTGCCTTTCGCCAGCTTTTTCCGCCAACTGCAGCGCAAGCTGTTCTCTTTTTGGAGGTTCTGCCATTCTAAACGATGGTCCTTGACTTGTTCTTAGTAAAGGGGTATCTCCACCGTCTAATCTAAACGGTGTACCTTCAATCTGACCCCATGTCATTAAAGGACTTTCACATTCTCCTGGTCGCGGACTTGGAGTTGCCACAAAACTAAATCCATTGACCCTAGGGGTTGGGTTTCTAACAATTTCTTTTCCATCAACACCAATCTTACCATCATTAGCCTTTGATTGGTTCTTTGCCAATTCATTAATGGTTTCTTTATTTTGTTGCTCATTGAATGGATTGATTCGTAACCTTGTATTCTCATGCAATACCATTTGTCTTTTTTTAGCTAGATCTATCCTTTCATCGGGAGTTAATTCAACACCATCAGGAACATACATAATGTAATTTTTATTTTTGTAACTCCAACTGTCCAACTGATTAGGCTTCTCATCACCATTTTCAATAGCCAAGGTATTTACATTATTACCATTAGTTAATGCCTTTGAATTCTCTTCAGCTTCGTAAAGCCAAGCAAATTTTAACTTGAGCCTTTTTTCAGCCTCAACCATCATCTCTTCAAAACTAGCATTATCTTCGCTTGTATGTGTACTCAAATACGCGTCCAATCCAGTTTTAACTTCTGTTTTATCATTATCTTTTGCAGTTGTATCGGCAGGTATGTTTTCTGATGTTTTTGATGATTTGAACTGTTCATCTTCTGACTCAGCCTTATTCATAGGTGTTTCAAATGTTGCTGGACTAGCAGGTCTTTCAGTGGCCGGTCGTCCTGAACTATACTTCTCATAAATTTCTCTCATCTTTTTCACATCATTCTGTTCCAGTGCATCCAAATACTGATTTTGTGCTTGTAGTTTATCCAAATGGGGGAAGAAATCCCTTTGAATAATTTCTCCCATTCTTTTTATGTAGGAATCCTCGTCTAAAATCTTTGGCTGCAATTTTTTATACCTTTTAACTACACCTACCGGTTTCTTAAATACTGTCAAATCTTTCATATTTTTTGCAGCCTCTAAAGCTTGAGATCCTGGGGAATTCATTGTTGAATCTATAAACAGAATACTATAACAATTACAAGAAAACCAAGAACAATTTTGAGCATACATAAAACTACAACAGTTAACAATCTATCCATTGAACAAAAATATATCTTTTAAAACTGGTATGCTATAGAAATAAATACAATTTATATTTACGTTTTAGGAAAGTAAGGTTAGATAGTAAAACGTTTCCAGGTATCCTTTGTCTCTACGTTTGAAGATTATACTTTTAATATATAATCATTTTTATGTTTCAGAAGAATTGTATTGTTTACAATGTTTCCATAATTTCTTTCACAATTAAAATCTATGCGAATATACACATGCAAAATTGAAAGAAAACACCACTTGCACAATTAGATCTAACCAACGTATGGTAACGGTAACATTCTCTTTAACTATGTCATGTGGTGCCACGGTACGTTCACTGCGGGAAACTAATCAAATGACAGTTATTTAAATTCCCGCGCATTATTACCGTATCGTTGCATCGATTTCTCAACAATTAAGTAAGTATAATAAAGCTAATTAAAAGTCAATTATTATTTGAACAGGAAATATATAAACGTTAATAAGGTTGAAATAACGCATCTTCGCAGAGTAATCGTCACACCAAAGTGATAAAATAGTAACCTGTTGCAGAATACTACATATGGTATCCATTTTACTATGAGATACTTCAAATTAGCATGCCGGATGATTTATAAAGCTTTTAACCTATATAATTACAGATTTCGAATGCAACAACAGGTTTCATGGTGAAATATATTTATTGCATAGCAGGTAAGAAATTAAACGAAAAATCAGAATTATTAAATATTGTTAATGTCGCGTAATACAATAGGATAATTAGTTGAATATTTCGACAGGGTGGTTGTTGTACCGTACAAACACGGCCCTGGCTTTGGCCACTCAGTAAGTAGCCGAAGTGATATTTTGGTCGAGCTGGGACAGTGGGATGGGATATGATTGCCTTCTCGTATTGCTGCGGCTTGAGACATGAGCTCTCGGAAGAAAAGAGGAAGAGAGACCGAGCAAAATGATCCGAGAGCCTCCGAGGTGTTGGAAAGGCACGATGAAAGACATATGAGGATTCCAGCGGCGAGATAGGATATGCCTGCCGACTATGTTACGGCGAAAATCTTTTGAGGTCCACCTTACGCGTGTTACTTCTCTCTTTTCCCTCGATTTTTTTCGCAGAATCGATAGATTTGAATTTTAACGGAAAGAACTTAGTATAACTGTTCTTTTAATTGTTATTATAATCAATGTTATTCCGTTGCGGACATTCAGGCATTGTGCGAGGGAAAAGAGAACAGCTTTCATTGTTCCTGTATTATTCATGCATTTCTTAACATTTAAACTTACTTGTCGTTTATCTAAAATTGTTCATTGTTATAGGTAAAAGTTAGAAGACGAAAGTTAATTTTGAAATTCACGGCGGTTCGTGAAGCACGTGGCGCTGTCAACCTCGTACGCGAGTCAAGAAAGACGTCCCTCTATTTACGACATAAGGTAAACTTCTTTTAGGTCTCGCGGTTCACGGTCAGTGTCTGTCTTCGGATACTTCGCTTGCTTGGACAGTTTTCGTGCCACTAACAGACATGTCCGTCCTTCTTCCTGTCTTCCTCTTAACCAGATGTATTTCCAATAAATTTTATTTCTAGGATCAGAAGACAGTCTAATGAATGAAAAAAGAAAAAAATTAAATATCTCGCGCGTTGAAGGTGGATTCGGTGCAGGAAATGGCGCGCGCGTAGGAGAAGAGAAAAACAGAAGCGTTTGCCATTTTGGCACGAAGTTAAATTTACGATGAAACCCAATTTTAAATCATATTTGTTCCAAGTCACCTGTCGTCGTGCAATTAAGGAGGATGAGTCGACAAACGATAACCTACGGTCATTTTGTTGTTGCTAATAAGATTGTAGCACTGGCTAACGACTATGCTCGTCACTTTTTAACGTTAATTATATCGTTAGGTTGCAACGGCAATGCTATAAATTTCGTCCTGTAACTTTTGAACATATATCCTTTCCTAAATTATTAGATGCATGGCACGATTAGGTAATTTTTAATTATATTTATTATTAATTAAGATACGCGGTGAAATTGTATTTCACTTGATTTAAATTTTTCGACTTAATTATAGAACGAATACAGTTGACGGGAGATTTGAATCGGATACTCAATATTTAAATAAAACCGGACGAAGAAAAGGACGGTGACGACGCAGAAGTTTAAGAAGTAGACAGAGAGATGAAGGTTGCAGACGTAAAGCATAAACAGTGGAGGTGCGATTTGACGCGCACTCAGCCATCCAAGGCGCATCTCGCTCGTTGAACGTACGCTTTAAGAATCCCGAAGAAGCGACCAACCCAATGGCTGGAATCTGTAAATCTGTCATTGCGGCCATATTCGTGCGGCTGGTACCGCAGGATATGAACTTCTGCTCGTCGTATACACCACCGTCGTACGACTCTAGATCTCCGCGTTTCTCTTCTTTTCAGAGCTTTGCACCGAAACGGAAGCTTCTCCCTGTTTCTCGAAATAACAAATCTTCTTTTTGTTTTCACAAATGTGACAAACTCTAGGAAACTACATATCTTTTTTGTCATCTTCCTCATGAATTAAGAAACTCATTTTTTTTAAAGACTAAAATCACAGTTTTTCTTTATTACAATGTAAACTCCTTCTTACTTAATTAATAATTTGAACTTATTCTTATTGTAATTTAATTTTACTTGACGTTATGCAGAAAGTGAACTCTTTTTAGATAAATAATGATGATCCAACTTTATAATGGAATTGAAGAATAGATCTGTTTTATTGTAGATTCTATTGTAGAGATTGAAGATTCGGTGGAAAGCTGAAAAACCATTTGGTTGTATCAAAGTGCGTGGAAACTATAAAAGCGGAGAGGCAGTCGTCGCACCGTATACGCGGTATTCCCTCTGGTAGCTGGCGATGACGGATTCATGGCCCGTGGGATAACGCAAGACCTCACCCCGAGATGTTTCGGTTTACGGATGCACGCTCTTCCCTTCTTTTTTCTTCTATTTCTCACCTTTTTTTTCCGTTTCATCTTCCGAGCGATTCATTTGTCGGTCTTTGATCCGCGACCAACAAGCTACTACCGGAAAATTGGCGAGATTTATTAAACGGTTGTCTTCTCTAGACCGTTATCCATCGTTCATTTCTTTTCTACTTTTATTTATTCCAGGATATCGTAGAAGATACACTGTTTATTGGATAGACTTTCAAGGGGCTTGTATTTGGGTGGTCAGAAGAGGAAGCGAAACGATGGAAAAGTGACAAATTCCAGATACTTCGTCGGAGGTCGTCGAACGTGTTCTCAATGGGACACAAGAACCTGCAGGGATCCAAGAGCAAAATAAAGGGTATGGTCACATGTTGAAATTGTACTCTTTACCATTATTCAATAACAGGTATACATTTTTCATTTTCAATTCTTTATATTTAACAATTTTTCATATATTAATTTTTCCCAGTTAACTTGTACCGTATATTTTCAGGTTGAATTTACTAGCTAATTGAAATATTTTTCTCGTCCCTCGTCGCTCATTACTTGCTAACGTATTCGTGGTCCCGAACCCTTTGAGGACAGCTGATTCTCGCGAACAGAGGTGCCACCAGCAGCGCGAAGTGAACTCAACCCCGTCGAGGGGTTAACTTTCATAGGGCTGGCACCTACGAGGAAGATGAAAGAATGAGCGAAGATAGGCCGACGGCAGCTTTTTATTGCCGGCGCCGTCACGCGTCACCGATAACCGCGGTCTCTCTATAGACGAAAAGTCTGCAGCTCGCACCGGTTCCCTCGAAACACGAGATATCTTCTTCTTCTCTTCTTCACCACCTTTGCCCTTGCCAACCCCTCGGTTAAAAGAAAGTTCCACTTTCTTTGTAGGCGCGTGCTGAGCGTCATGAAACTGCATCCGTTCCCCTTTGACAAAGCACTCGACAGAAATTTCAATCTCTCTAGGTTCTTACTTATCAAGCGTTAAGTTTGATTATCATTTTCAGAGGAATTATAGGTGAAGGCTGATATAGAGTATTAAATCAAGATTGGCAGAGAACTAGTTTCAACATGAATGGTTACTCGAACCCCTTTGATCTCGTGTTTCTTTTGTTATTTCTGTAGTGCAGTTAGCGAGCGACTGCAAAACGTTTCGTAGCATACACGAGGAAAGATAGTTCCACCGAGAGTCATTAAGGATACGCTCATAATATGTTTACACAACGAGGTTCTTCGCGTCGCCATCAATCACGAGACACGTCGGTTCATCCGTTTTTCTACGCTTAGGAACCGACAAGCTTGGCTGCTCGAGTTCCATGCCGTTTCACTTTGTTGGCATTAGTTTGTCGTTTCTAACTGCATGCTTCTGAAAAATCCCGGAGACAGCGCACGATGTAAGCTCGATAATGAAAAATATCCTTAACATTTGATCATCTTCGTTTCGACCTAATTATGATTTCTGTAATGCTAGTCGAAAGGAAGAAAATGAAACGGGAAATTCATAAGAGGTCGTATAAAAGGTTACACTTTAAACTGTAGCACTTGACATCAGGTTCACGTTTATTTCACAAAGTTCTCCTTCGTTCTTTCATGTTTTTTTTTTTTTTTCTCTCTTTGAATACGTACAGCAACAGTTGTGTAATTAGAAGCGCTCTTGAGTTGCTTAATACTAGTTAGATTCTCCAGAGAGAAGCGTAAGTTTTAATAGGGAGGAAAGTTTCGAAACACAATGGCACACGATACTTGGGGGATAATTTATTAAGGCACTTAGTAGCCAAGCTCTCTCATGGGTTGTCACGGTGCGTTTACTTTTCCCGTCTTGGCTCGGGAACGTTTTAGGCTCGTTTGGCATTTCAGACACCCTGTATAAATAGATGCACTTTGCTCCTACAAAAGGCACTTTCTTTTTCGACCGTTCAACCACGGACCTACGACACAAACCGATTTGTATCACGCGATTCGATCATCGTGAACAACGGTGGTATCCAAAAGTTTTCTTCCTTTTCATCGTTACGAGATTCCCCGATAAATTCTCACCTAGTCATAAGTATTTTAATATCATTCGAAGCTATTTATCAGAAACACGTAGCTTTTAAATAAACGATGTAAACATTTATCGGAGGATCTGCTGTTAAAGGAAGCACGATAAAAATATTTCTTTTTTAATAAATTGCTCTTAAAATTCTACTTACAACGACGCATTAGATACGAATATAATTTAACTGATTCTATGCTAGATACTTAAGATTAATCGACATCTTTGGTATAACTTTCGAAAATATTCCATGTGATTTAGTCTTTGGTAAGGCACGACTCGTTTAATTCGTATAATACTTACTCTTTGGTAAACGTTGTTTCAGGCTACCTTTGGTATCAAATTTTAACACCTTATCAGTGGGACCTACACCTACCTCGAGAATGTAAAAACACCAGGAACCAAGTTGCAATTACAAACATATTTGAAACCAATAGAAGAAAGGAATTTCTCAAAATTTTTCAAAAACCTATCGATGATAAGGTGTTAATTTTCCCTTTAACGGATACACCTTGCTATCATACAAGTATGTACCTATCTTATCACGATCACAATTCACAAAGGGAAACGAAACTCCACTGAAACGTTCGCATAAATTTTCGCAGGCAACAAAGAAACCCGAATTATCGCGGTCCGTATAAAGACGCTCCCGGATGAGGATGATGAGGATGCGCAGGATAATGGACGGAGTTCATGTGTGCAGTTGGTTGTCCATGGTGTCCAGGATAAGCCCATGGTCCCGTTGCCGTTGGACCGTAAAATTGATGGTGTTCCTGGCTCGATATGCTTGGAATTTGTACGGCAGGTATGGTATTCACGTAGCTGGACGACAGCACGCTGGTACTTCCCGTGGCTGGTCTTTTCGCAGGATTTTGCATGCTGGAAACAGCGACCGAATCGCACTCGTCCGACTCGCAATCACGGAAACCTTTGGCAAACGGATTGCTGGCGATCTTCAACTGCGTGATGCGATGATTCTGGTAGGCGGTCACAGCGGTGAACCGGGTTTCAGGGAAGGTGAACGTTTTGAAGTTCTCTGTGCGAGGATCCGGGGCTGAACCAGGTGGCGAGGGTGCCACTACCACGTGGCAACGTGGCTGATATCTGTGCATCGAGTTTAAGATTATCTGAAACAGAATACGGTAAATGGAAATGATTGATATCAGATATCTGACGACGTAGTGTCAAAAAGATAAACACGGTTTCTAAAAGAAACTTGTAGTATAAACATTTACAGAGAGTCTTGGGAAAAATCTGTCCTTGGAAATATGTAAGCATCTCAAGTTTTTTCGACGATCCTCTGTTATAATCGTTATTGGAAGATAGTGGTCGTAAGGGGGTAAGAAGAAACGAAGAGGAAGAAGAATAGAAAGAAAAAAAAAACACACGTGAGGACCTTCCTTTTTCTGGAGGAAGGACCACCGCAGGGGGGCGGTCACGATGTTTGACAGCCACAAGAGACTCGGTGACTAATTAGTGTAAAAACTAACCCTACGACCTACTCCGGCAACCCGACACCCTCGTCCTTCCTCCCGCGCACACTTACTGGCATATGCCGAGGCATGTGTCTCTTTGGATACATCGAAAGAAGAGCATAGAGGGGAATGGAAGGAGGAAAAGAAGAGTCATCCTCGCAATACGGAAAAGTGTGCGTGTGGCCTGACACTGGCAACCAAGGAATTTCGACACGCGATTTTCCATTTTCTTTTTTTTCTTTATTTGTTCCGCTTCATTGAGAGCTAATCGTTAACTAAAAGAAGGACAATTGACTAGAAACGCCAAGGTTTCTTTGTAATCGGTATATTTATCTTCCTATGTATCTCATGCGGAAAAACATAAGGGGATAAAGCACCAATTAAAAAGTCGAAATCGTCCAGTATTTCACTACGTTGGATTCCAATTTTTTACAAAGCCTGCTTGGCACGTCTGTTCAAGAGCAATTAAAGGAACAAACTGTTTCGTGGCACGTGAAAGAAAGGGTCCACGAGTCAAAATTCTTTCTGCGCGTAAAGCAATAAATTCTGAAACGGAACACGAGCCAAAACCACCAAGAAGTTTCTCTCTCTCTCTCTCTATAAACGAACGGGTTCAAGAAAATGCGTTTGAATAAAATAGTGGTAGGTTTACGTGTCTGTCATCGAATAATTTACGCGTGAAACCTTCGTCTTTCAAGAAGGATTATGAAAATTGTACTAACTATAAATATTACGAGTCGTCAAATGAATCTGTCGACGTAAACGTTTCGCCTGTATTTGTAACAATCGACGATACGTTGAACGACCAGCTGATCGTGAAATTTTTGAAACAGGTAAATCAGGAGCAAGAGCAACCGGATGGAAAGCAATCCTAAGAGGACAAATCGTGACATCATCTTCCGACTAGCGTCTTGATCCCGAAGATTCGCGCACCGTCCTCCCGCTGATTAGTGACTGAAGCCGGATCAAATTCATTAATCGGTATGCCAATAAGTCTTAACACTGAATCATTTCGTTTGCAATGGTGCTTGACACCGCTGAGTTTGGCACGGATACATAGGGACGATTATTTTTAGCGCAACCGCAGGTGCATTAGGACACAATGAAGAGGGACGAGGGTTGAGAAAGACGGAACGCAAAGCTTCTTGAGATTCGACACGCGAACTAGAGCGTAACAAATTGATTTTCTTATTTTCACGTTTCAACATGACTGTTCGGTAAACATCATTTTTCTCTTTGCATCTCAGAGAACGACTAATTCTTCGCTTTTTATAATAGCGAAAGGGTTTACAACTCTCCGTCGTCTTAAATCTTTGTTAACCCTTTCAATGGTCCCATGGGACTGGCGCTTGTCTTTTGATGACCACCGCTAATTGTAAGAAAAATATACTATTGGCAAAATTGTACCGTCATTTTAATATATCTCGCAGTTCTCTGGCATTATAAAATTTCTAATATGAAATTTCTGGCCCGCTCTGGTGCAAGTTGAAAAATTCGCGTCGCAGCGAAAGGGTTAACGAGACATTTGTAACTTCCAAGGTATGGAGAATTCTTTGGTGCTCTTTGGTGCTTGTAATTCTTTCGAAAGTCGTAAACACCCTGAAGTCTTTGCCCGTCTTTCCCAGGCTTCCAGGGCTTCGTTTATATTACACATGTTTACGTTACTTTACGGACGGTACAGTTTCTATTGCCGTTCCTTACTCGTGGCGACAGGAGAGCGGGATTAATAAGGCGCGGACAGGAGAAGATCTAAAGAGTACACAAAGTGGGAGTGTGCTGCTCGAAATACGACGAAAGCTAATGATAGAGTTCCGATACGAGCAATAGCGATCGTTCAACTGATTTTCAAGTTTATATGCCAACGAACTTGTACGCGCGAGCCGAAACTTTTCAATTTTCTAGAGAATTCAGAGAGAAGTGATTATGCGATCAGAAAACAATGTCATTGACTCATTCGTAACTCGATAAAGCTTTATCCCCTGAGCAAGGCATAAATCTGAAGAACGTGTTAAAACAATTATTACTACTAATTACTCGTAAGACTATAATAGCTTCTAATGGAACCATGCTTCATTGTCGCGCTTTGTAACCGGTGCAGAGCCAAGCTGAGCTTAAAACGTTCCATTCAGAGAAACTGAAATTTCCTATTTCCGAGGGGATATTTTAACACCTAGTTTTTAGTTGAATTGGCAAGTAAATTATAAAGTTGTATATTATTTTTCAGATACAAAGAGATTCAGAGGATTGATCTGTGCGACGATTCTCCTGGGAAGAAAGGAATCGAGCTAAGAAATTTACCGTGCATCCCTCAGGCCCTTATAATTTCTCGGGGAAGACGGGCTCGTATCTCAGGTCAATTAAGGCGAACTCGTCCGTAAACGACAAACACGTGGAACGCGATACTGTCGCAAACGTTTCTCTGCATCCCTCGTTCTACTTTATTACGTAGGTGTTCCTCTTTTTACGCCACTCTCAGAATGAATTACTCTACGTTAAAACAATTTTCAACTTCCCTTCCAAAAGGTGCGTACTATCTTATGATAAATCGAAGAACATTCAGAAAAGTTGAAGATGATAGAGAAAAACGATTGGAGCTTCGCTTTAACAAGTTACGAGGTAAAGCATCAATTGTCAAACTTACATGCCCGTTGTCATCGAGTTGATTATTGGTGAGTTTCAGCTTGTCGAACGAAACCGGCTGCTTCATCCAGTGTGCACCGCTGGCAGGACTATCAGGGTGAACGTGAATCCTTGGAGGAGAGACAGGATCTGCGCGACCGGCAACCACCCAGGCACTGCTATGGAAAGCGTATCTGTACCTTTTGTCGTCGCAGGGAACGAAGTCCATCACTAACAAATAATCGGTATTGGGGTCCAAGCCGAAAAATCGACACTGTAAAGTCAACATTTATTTTTTTTTCTACACCCTCGAAAATCATAGAGTAGCAATATTTCTATAATACCTGAAAAGTAGGAAACATTCTTCTACCAGCTTTGGTCACGATCATTTCAGTTCCTAATTGATGGAATTCTTCCCAGAGTGGTTTCGCCTCGAGCGCGGCTCCAGCGCCGACCAGAGCAGGATGAAGAGGCCTTTTCGAACTGATTTCTTCCGTCGAATTACCGCCATTCTCGTTCGGATGATGATCACCGTGATGATGGTTGTTGTTGTTACTGTCGTTACGAGATTCGATGGTAGCCGTCGAAGATACCGACGAATTGGTAACACGCGGTGTTAGCGATGCTTTTGGTAAGCTCGGAGGGCTACGCGATCGTTTCGCTCTTCCTGCCGATTGCAAACAGGCTGAAATAACACTTTGATTTCTTAAAATCTATTTTACAATATATCGTACTAATATGCAAACGAATTTGTTTGTTAATATACGTTATTCAAGTTTAATCGTTAACTTTTTCTTATAAAACCTCGAAATTTTTAATTAATATAACTCATAATTAAATTAATATATATTTAATACTGTTTATTTTTCTCTAAAAAAATTTATAAATAAATATTATTAAATTTAAAGAGTACCTTCCATCTGCTGCATAGGTGATGGCACATTGGCGATGGACTGACCATGCTGACCCGGATGATGCGTGGCCCATTGTTGGTAACAACAATCGGCAGCGATATCGTGTCTCTGTTCATGTTGCTGTTGCATCCTTGCAAACTTTTAAACCGCATACACAAGATCCTTTGCCCTTCTCTTAACAAATTCACTATATCAATCTTTTAAGACCTTCTCAATCTACGATTCTTTTTAATTGTAAGTACATAATTTACATAATCATTATCACCGTCACTTTGTTTTTATATTTATAACGTAAAGCACATCATCCCCTTAGGGTAATCAACACTCGAAGCTTCGTCTTGATGTATACAATCCTTTTAGTCAGTACGAAACAATGGGACGACATATGGATACGGAATTACATCCCTCGTTGTCAACGATGAAATAACAGGAAGAAAGAGAAATCGGTGGAGAATGCTTATCTTTCGCTTGGCCCGGGGTTGGTCGTTAAGTCGTCGCAATCAGCGAGGTTCAAGATCCTGGCGGAATATCAGAGGATGCTCGACATCGTCGACGGGTTCTCACACCTCTCGTCAACAGGACTTGTCCTCACCTCGGTATCCGGACGCTGACAAGAGCTTAAAGCTCGCCTCGTGAATCGGATGAATCAGAAAGAACTCCCCCGAGTCGACTACACACCTCGTGGCTTATCATCGAGACATCACTCTCCTATGTGTATATATTCCCTCTCTCTTTTCACGAGGGAGAATCTCCTCCTTCTTCTCTACATTTCTGTTGGTTTCCTGACGGTAAACCGATTCAGGGATAGTGGAGAGGAGGATTGAGAGGCAGGGAAGCATTTGTACAAGGAAGGAGGGGTTTCTCGAGGATCCTCCTACGCGGGACACCCACGCCAGGCTAACTTCGGTTCACTTGGGACGCTGACTGCAACCTCTTCCTTTGGATCCGGTGCCAAAAGGCGGAGTCTTCTCGTACGGGAAGAAACACTTGGGGGGAATAGAGCACGAGCTTCAGCCTCGCAAGGGAATGAGAAACCTTTCCTTGTGTATTATACGCTTGATTGCGGACCACTAGGGTTAATTGATTAAAATGAGGTGATGATTTCTGTGATACCTTGCGACGATCGAGCGAATTAATTTCCTTTCAGCAGTGTTTCTTATTTTTAAAAGATTCTTTTCTCTTTTGAATTTTAGGTAAGAAACCGTTTGGATTCAACCTTCATCTATGCTCTTCTAAGATGTATTCTTCTTCAGGTAGAAATAATAAGAAACAAAACAAATTTACAATCAAAGGGTTGAATGGAACGCAATGTAAACATAATATCTTAGTATTCCTTACTAATCTTACTACATATATGCTTCAAGACTTAATTAAAAGGTATTGAAATTCTTTATTGTATACAACTTTTTACAATATATTTTAATACATTTTGATGATGTTTATGTTGTTTGCACAGTGTTACTAACCGGAGTATTCGGTGTATAGTAAACCAATTGAATATTTATGCCAATACAACCACTGTTTTGTTACGCACTTTATGAAGCCTTTGATTAAGTATAAATAAATTGGAAAATTAAACTGTAATTGAAAAAACACAATTTTGTTCTGCTTTGATTCTGTTTTTTTATAAATCAGTAAAAATCACAAGATCAAAAAATTATTAAAATAATTGTTTGACAAACTTATATTTTAAAAAGACCGCCATAAATTAAAATTTTTCGTTTTCGACCCTGGCGCCATCTATACAAAAACGGCGCAAACTACTCAACAAGTTACCGACCGATTTTCCGAAAGGGGGAACACTGGCGCCATCTATCAGGAACTCGAGGAAACTACTTGTCGATTAGTTTCCGCAGTTTCTGGACAGATGGCGCTAGGATCCAAATTAAAAAATTTTAATTTATGGCGGTCTTTTTAAAATACAAGGTTGTCAAACAATTATTTTAATGATTTTTTGGTCTTATGATGATTTTGATTAATTTCTAAAAAACAGGTGTGGTAGAAGTCCAGCCTTTTTGTTTCTGTAATCATTCCATCCAGTTAGAGAGTAAAGTAATTAACGTTTGCAATTTTAATTCCCACTACTAAAAGCGTTCTGATGTAATATCAATCTTTGTTAATATAACAGATAAATATAAAATGGTTCTAGAACCCCCCTCCTAATTGTAATTATTTGCTTTATAGTAATTTAATGCATTCATTAATGAACTTTTTAATAAAATTTTATATGAAAATTCAAACAATCTCAAAGAGAAAGGAAATCCAAGAACATTAATTCAGAAGAACAGCTTTATTTGTTAATAAAAAGTTCTTCATTCATTTGATACATTTAATCACCCTAACTAGAAGGATGTTATAAGTACAAACATCTATCTGAAATCGTTACATATTCCAATTCCTGTAGTTATTCGCGATCAGTAGTTTCGCAAGTTTCTTTGTTACTTTTAAAAATGTATCTTCCTCTAAAAGTCTGCTTTAAATATGAAGTATTAGTAATAGTGCCGGCAATATATGAAATTTCACAATACCCCTATCAACTTCACTTCCTCTTTAGTAATTTGAACCTTTTTTCTCGCAGCAAACACAGATTCGTTAACATCCCTGTTTAGAATTGTCAGCACTATTTAATATCTAATCGGATCGTATCTATTTTTCAGCACGGATACAAACCCATGTTGATCTAAGCCGCTAAAATACTTATTGTTAGTCAAAAAATAGTCGGAAAAATGTATCGTGGAAAAACGAATAAATTTGTATAATCGGATACGAAGGAGCTCAATAACTGCTCGCGAGTAATATCTATCCATTCTTATTTTTTAAAACAGAATTAATTCAGCAATTCTTCAGACCACTCCTACTTGATATTCAGGCCTGCTGGGCGATGAGTCATCTATTTGACGTATAAAAAATGACACTTCTACCACTTTCATCTAAATGAGGAGAATTATAACGAGCTGAAAAAAATGTTGCCAGCGAACTTATGTTCAACCACAATTCTAATCAGATTATTATTATAGTTTAGCTTCGGTATGAGCTAATCTGCGAGCAATTAAAGAAGTCCACATTGCATTACAAATTTATTATTTAATATTAATCGCAATAGTATTAACAATAGTACCAGTGGATCTTCAGGTATATACATATAAAATATTGATGAGAAAATTAAAAAGCAAATACAATGGCTATGTAAAAAAAAAAAAGAATATATTGAAAAGATGAGTGAAAACAAAACAAAAAAATGAGTGGATGTTTTTTGTGAGTTTTATTTATAAAATAGAAATTAATGTACAAGTACAAGGGAGGCAGACATAATCGATGTTTTTCTTCTCGTGCCATCTTTTACAGCATGATACTTTATGATTTCTTGTCATATGTGTAATTTATAGTGACATCACTGGGGAATATGGTATATGATCTACATGGTGCATGAAGGAAAGTATGTCAAGAGAATGAAGAAAATCAATAATATATATTTATATACTCGTGAAATTAATGAAGTTATTCCCAATAAATGGGGATCGTTAACGTTTATACGATGAAATCCTTAGAAATCGGGGTTTCTTCTTACACTCTTCGTTCATTGAATCATATGTATACATATTTGAATAACTTCGCTACTTGTATTATGTACATTTACAGCTCAATTGTATATTAATTCTATTATTATGATTCTTTTCCGAAAATTAGTAACCACTAGTACGTTGAATCAAATCCAGAGAAGCTTCGCGGAATATGTAAGCGAACGCTTTTCAAGCATCATAAATGTGTTGTAGGATGTAGGTTAAAATAAGGAATATACGTATATATAAATCTTTTATGGTTTTCATTCTTCTTGTTAAAAATATGAATTAAAATCGATTTTCATTAAACAGCTAAAATATTTTTTTTTTCATGATTTATACAAATTTAATTACAAAAGCGCATTCTACAAAAACGGTTCCTTTACGAAAATTGTATCTGTATGTCGTTTACAAATTTTGTGCAATTTACAGAAGTGTAACAAAGCCAAAAACTATGTATCACATTTGAGACACTTATTGTTCAAAACCACTATATGCTTGACGTTACATATTAATAATCTCAGTAACAATGCATGTCACGACAGCGAAGAATGGCATAATAAAATTGTCCCTGGCATTGTATCAATTGTATTATACCATGTTATTTTGATCAGCGATATCGCAAACGTTCTAAATGGTTTGATCTATAAAAATATCAAAGAAAATATTACAGTGAATAATCATGAATAAGTTTGCTATGAATTTTACCTGAAAATTTGATTGTAAGAATTTTATAATATTTGCAGGAATTAAAGATACAAGTAATAAAAATATAGAACTATAAAAATCGAAATAAATTAAAAAAGAAAATTCACGAATCTCTAATCTACTATTGAATCATCAAACTATGAATTAATTTCTTTCTAGACATCCATTTAATAATATTTTATTTGTTTTTTACTTAGAACCGTTCTATTAATGAAAAACTTTCTTCTTTTTTTTTTTTTTCGTTTACCAAGCAATGCCCCTCCGGATTTCATTTTTTTTTTCTTTTTACTTAAAGAGTCATTATAAGTATAGCTGAACGGAATTCATGATAAATTCGAAAGTAATATGGTAGCAGCATTGATAATAATAGTAGCGATACTAAGACAAATAATAACAGTAACATCTTTTCTCTTACAAGAACTTAATGTCTTAAAAGATGGTAGATTTCTGAGGGAGTTATTTTGAAATTCTAAAACGTTGCGTTTAAAAAAAAAGATAAGAAACAAATCTAAGGATTTCACTTCTTCTTGCTTTTGTTATTTCCACCACCCCGCGGGGGAGTAACTGGTCTATTCGCATTCAGGCCACCATACGTTAATTTCTTTTTATCGGCTGGTTTCAAAATTTGGAAACTACACATAAGAGTTTCATCTACGGACATCATAGCTCCTGCGTTATCAAATTCGCCGCAATAATTTGGTGCCGAGAACAGAGTAACTAATTGTCTTTTTGCAAAGAATTCATAGCCATCTTCTACCACCTAAAATTTTTACAAATTTTCGCTTATACTTATCACAAAATTCTCTTTATAGCACAACAAATTGTAACGTTTCTGATTAAAGAAGCGTGATAACTTTGTTATCTTTCAATTGTTACATAGTAGATAAATAATAATCAAGTTCAGAAACTAATCAGTTAATCGGATAACGAGCTAAATTTAATAATACTGTACATATAATGACATACATACCTGATGAGCACGACATATGAGGTCAAAGTCATGCTTATGTAAAAATTTGGCAACAACTTCAGCCCCAAATGTAAACGACACACCGCGATCGTTTTCTCCCCAACCCATTGTATCTTTGTCTGGATCTGACCATAGCAAGTCGCATAACAATCCCTGATCAGGTACGTCTGTTGGTCGCATAATACGTCTGATCTGTTCCATATTTTGAAGGTCCGGACTGAGACCACCGTGACAACAAAATATCTTTTCATCGACTATTGCCGCGACGGGTAAGCAATTAAAGCAATCCGTGAATGTTTTCCACAATTTAATATTGTATCGACGTTTACCTATGCGACACGAAAAAATGTAATGTGTAAATGTGTTGAAATGAAACACATGGAATAAATGCGATCAATACGGGATCGGATATCTTACATTCATCATAAAATCCATATATCCTGTTAATAGATGCACATTCATGATTTCCACGAAGTAAAAAGAAGTTCTCAGGATATTTGATCTTATAGGCAAGAAGAAGACAAATTGTCTCTAAAGACTGTTTTCCTCTATCAACATAATCTCCTAAGAAAAGATAATTACTTTCTGGTGGAAATCCACCATACTCGAACAGCCGTAATAAATCATAGTATTGCCCATGAATATCACCTTAAAATGAAACAAAAAATACACAATAATTGAAAAAAGAAAACAGAATAATAGCAACTTACCACATATTTTAAGCGGTGCTTCCAGTTCTAACAAAATGGGCTGTGATAAAAAAATTTCACGCGATTTCAAGCATAGCCCCTTTATTTCTCCTTCTGTCAACTGCACATTTTTTCCTGGCCTGGCTCCCCGCACTAGAAAAGTAAATTACCTAAATTTAAATGCAACAGTAGTATATCCTGAAATTTTAGTAATTAAGCATAAATGGACACTGGAATCTAAGAAAAATATACCTATTAGTAAATTGACAAAATTTTAATCCATTTGCCACACCTAATACTCATTTACTTTTCCTGTTATCTATAAATTATAAAAATTCCAAGGGGTTATAGATAAAATCTTAAGGCGTTTAAGTAAATAATACATGGCAGTGGAAGTCAGTACCAAAAATCCTGAAGTATATAGCACCGATCGGTAACGGTACAGGCGGGAACCTCGCCCAGAAAAATACAAATATCTCTGCTGGGCATTATAAATTTCACTTCGTGTAAACAAACAATTGTTGGTTCAAGTAGTTATTAAGCTTGATTGTATTTAGAGAAAGTTGCGTAATCGATCAAGAAAATAGATAAGAAATAGAAGTAGGAGGAGAAAAAAATGAAATGGTAAGATACTTGTAATAAAGTGGTCGACTTAGTTACGAGGAAGTACGAGTATGGAGGAAGTATAACAAAGGGTGACGCGGGCGACACTTTCCTCCCATCACACCCCCCCTCAAAGAGGGCAAACAGTAACTTTACCTTCCAAGAGCCGAGCTATGATGTTGTCAATATTCAGTTTGTCGGATTCAGCCATCGGGCCGGGGGTTTGTGCGCGTCCCGGGCTTTACACGCAGCACCTTTCTTTAGGGATGACCTTTGATTTTCTTGGATTTTACTTGCGTGGCACACAACACTCAATTGTATCCGCGGTTTCGGACAATGTACCCGCAATGGCTGCCCGGACAACCGCGCACTCCACTCCCTTTTGCCCCCTCCCAGTTCGAGCTTTTTACTGTTCGATAAGATTCGACTATTCGATTTATCGAACATGCTTCATGTAACTTTCATGAAGATCACTAGTAATTTCAGTAGTGCCAATTATTACAATGGCTACACCTGAGCCTACAAAACACCTCAATTCTTAAAAACGCCTAATATTTGATAAGGAAATAAGTAATTTTGATCTGCAAAATAATTATATATTTTGTTTGAGTTAAAATATAAACGAAACTGTAGCTTTTTGCTTCTACAACATAGGGAAATTGTGTGACAAACAAGTTGATACTCAAAGTCCCTAGCTTTTTATAATTATTGTATTTTAAGAATCTTATTTATTTTAATTAAGTTAGAGATAATATATTTATAAATAATTGTAATTTACTAACCAGTTCATTTTAATCTTCTTTAAATCCGCATTTTTATTTAATAAATAACGGTCGTAGTAAATAGTTACTATTTTAAATACATCTATAAATTATCATGGAACCGTATCACGTAATATCGCGGTTCGTATCAAACAAGTCGAAGTTGGCGGTATTCAGTAACTAATTGCGATATTTCATCTGTGAATCTCGTAAAAAATGCCAGAAAACGTGGTAAATATAATTTTTGTCGTTATTTACGTTTAATGTTATTTAATACATTAATCATGATCGTTTATTGTTACATGTTTAAAATTTAAAAATGACGCTATAGGTTATATTACCGCGTCTGTTTAGAAACAAAGCACAATATACTTCATTGTAAACGTTTAACAATTCTTAATAATTTTGCAAACAGTTACATGTTAATATGATTATTGAATATCTTATTCGAATGATGCGTGAAGTAGGTTATTTTAATTTAATTATTTTCTGTTTATTCGTAGCTAAATGGAGACCATGTTGATGTGAAAGGTGCTAACTGTGAAACTCAAAACAACGAAGAAGATAATAATGAAGAAGAATTACAGTTTGAACCAATAGTTTCTTTACCATTAATAGAAGTATCCACCAATGAGGAAGATGAAGTAGAAATGATAAAAATGTAAATTCATTGTTGCAGTAGTCATCAATTGCTGCATTAAGTTAATAGATGTATTACATATTAACCATTGTTTTATTTGCAGGAGAGCAAAATTGTATCGCTATGATTCTTCTAGTAATCCAGCAGAATGGAAAGAACGTGGAACAGGGGAAGTAAAATTATTAAGGCATAAAATAAAAAACACAGTGAGAGTTGTAATGCGTAGAGATAAAACATTTAAAATTTGTGCTAATCATTTTGTAACACCTTGGATGGAACTGAAGCCTAATTGTGGGAGTGACAGAGCATGGGTATGGAGCGTACTCGCAGATTATGCAGATGAACAACTTAAACCTGAACTTCTTGCAATAAGATTTGCAAATGCAGAAAGTAAGCATATTGTTATAATACGAAAAGGTATATATTTTAGAGTAATTAAACATAACTCTTGTTTACAGATGCAACTGTTTGGAAGGAAGCATTTGAAAAGGCAAAGAAGATAGTAGGATCTGAATGTGAAATATATGCTGGTAAAAATAATGCAGATGAAAAACATGTTGAGAGTGATAGTGAACCTTCTAGTGATGTAAGTTATAGTGAAAGTACTGACAATGAAGAACAAGCTAAAAAATTGGCAACAGCAGATTCAGAGGTTCAAAACAATGATACTGAAACAGTAGAAGATTTTAGAAAGGAAACCAAAGATGGAGAAAGCTTGGATAAAGTATCAAAAGAACTTGAACAATTACAAGTTAAGGATATAGAGAAAGACAAGTAAAAAATTACATCTCAGTGCATCAAAGGTGTTAATTATAAGTGCACATTCCAACATAAACGTAAATGCATGCATATGCTTAAATGTTTGATCGTTGTGTTATTTATGAATTTTTAATCAATTTTACATTACCATTAAATGAATATTAAATTCAATGAAATTAAAAAGTTAATAAAATAGCAGTTTAATTTCAAATACTTGAGTTTATTCGACTATAATCTTATTAAATTTATTTTAAATGCATCTTATGATGTATAATACAGTCGTGTTTCTGTTTTGATACAAAACTTGAAATAATTAACGTGACGACGTAACCATTTATGACTACGTTTCACTTACAAAAATCTAAAAATGTACTTTTTAATTGTTCGGCTGCTTTTTAAATATTATTATAAAATACTGGAATGTTTAAATTAAAAACTAATGATATTTTCGCTCCATGTATTGTCGATTTTAAATTGCACGAAACGAGTTTGTAAATTATTACGATTAAAACGATTGACGAATACTGAATCTTAATACGACGCTATTTTTGAAAAAGCACACGTGATAAAATTTGTAATACCGTGTCATGGTAACTTCTTCACAATTCATCTCTATGCAAAAATGAATGAATGATATTTCGTTTCTCTTCCATTGCGCGTTTCTTCTGATTTGACAATTTCCCTTTCAGGATACCCTCTATTCTTGTCTGTTCTGTCTGGATAAAGATGTCTCCTTTTTCTAAGATTCTTTCCATTGTTTTAACATAAACTTTAGCGGCAGTTCGTTGTGTTTCAGGTAGCGTTTTCTCGAATACTTTTGCTTTGTTTAATATTTCCTACGAAATAAAGAATTACTTTTACAATATGTAAAATCGCTTTTACAATAATTTTATAAATCTTATTATTTTATTACAGTGAACATTACCTTCCTGTCCTTTTCACCGCTGGACTTAAACTCGTCTGCCAGTCTATCCAACTGTTCTATACAACCAGGTAGACCAAAATACACGCCAGATTTTAATTTAATAAACCGTTTAATATTGTCCGCGGTAAACTCGGATTCTTTTTCAGCAACAAACGGAACAGGTTCCGTTTTCCCTTGTAAGAATAGAAGAATTGCAGGGAAATCTTCGGATTTTATTTTGTAACGAGCGGCAAGATCCGAGTTATCTTTAACTCCATAATCTTTTACTCTGACTTCCGCTACCAGTAGATCGGGAGCATCCTTTGTTGCGGCGGCTACTTGCGCGTATTGCTCGTGTTTCTCTCCGTATGGAAATGATACGTCAAATTTAACGACTGCAGCTTTAAATTTTGATATTACCTATATTATAAACATTTTATTAATTACAAGTATTCCGATGATCATATTACATTCTATATATATATTAACGAATCTATGACTCGAGTAGGCGTCTCGTAACCGTGGCAACAAACTGCTATCAACGAGACGGAAAAACAAAAGAACATAACGATTTAATTACCACTTTTTGTTTTAAAAAATTACAATATCATTTAAAAATTTCATTCAATGAACCATGTCTATACTTTTATTAAAAAAATAGATTAATAGAAATGAAAATACCTTATCAAAGGAATAAGAGTCCAAAGAAACGCATCCTTTGCAGTCTTGAGCGGCGACGATTCCGATAACGAGTAGTATTACAATTGACCAGAGCATCTTGTAACAAACAAGAGATTTTGTTTCTGATTCTTTTCACTTAAAAAAAAAAAAAGTGATACTTTCGTTAATAAAATCCTTTGGTTTTGTATTAGCGGTGTAGACTACGCACCAATTAATTCTTGTTTAATGTTTTGATAATTATCAAAATATTAATATTTGGAGAACGAGATGTGTTCTTTGCCACGTATGTAAAAAAGTAGCAAAGTAGTTGTAACAGACCTGTTCCTCTAATTATCGTTCGTAACTAACCTTACAAGTTACAATACGAATGCGAGTTGACGAAGTGCAGGTAAAACAGACGCGGCTGCTGTCGAGGTATTTAACCACGCAAGCGCAGTTGTTTCGACTCCATGTTTAGGGACCGCGCAAAATATGATTGCGTGGACACCACGGCCAAAAATAATAATGTGCAGGATAGCAATTAGTAAGGATGATTATAAATTAACATTAAATTTTAGATTCTAGAAAAAATATAAATTATTCACGATTTGCTGAGATAGAGATTTTTATTGAAACAAAGCTTTGTGAAGAACAAGATGGCGACGAAGGTGAAGGACGCGTTGCCGGTCTCGTCCTGTACAAAACAAAATGGGGGTGCATCGAGGCGAGGGCGTCAGGCCCAGGGCACCCTAATAAAGATGGCGCTGTTGAAGATATTGCTTCTTCCTGCTACCAGTATATGGCGCGAGAATCGAGGACGCCATCATATACGAAGTTTTTGAAATTCACCGTTTTTACATCTCAAAATTTGTACTTCTTCATTGCTGCATAGTGCATTAAATCAGGTAAAAATGTTTCATCGAAAATCGCTACTCCAAGCTAATTATTTCATGAGAAACGATCAACCTTAAATCGGAAAGTATTTTTCAACTTTATTAAAATTCTAAGTAGTGGAGCAGTTGATTTGTTCGAAATTTTTCATTCATTTTAAATGTAGATATACATATATGAACGGAAAGCTCAAGGTTTTCATCGTCAAAATTATACCCTTATATTTATCGAGCTTTATCATATTAAATACACTGTTATTGGCAGGCTTACAAATCGTATCGATGTATAGAAAGGGATGGAAGATGGAGCTTGAGGAGGGAAAAGGACAACTACAGAGAGAAGAAATCAGGCAAAAAAGGCGAAAGACAGAGATAGAATAAAAAGAAGAAAGATTGACGAAGAGCACGAAGGGCAAGAAATTAATTGGAATAACCTTGTTTATTGGTATGGGAACATGTATTTAAAGGTATACTTGTGATGAGGTTAATATGAAATTTTAATGACGAATATATATATTAATATAATGGATATTACTTTACACGAACAGACTGAGAAAAAGAAAAAAGATCAAAGCATATATATATATATATATAGTCTAGATTCACTGCTGCCAAAGTATCAGAAGGTTGTTGTTCTACTTTTGTAAAATGTATCCGTCGAAATGGTAGGTTTCAGTGCAACGTTCCAAGCACTTTTCTTCCCTTGTAGAATGTAGAAAACCCATTTTCAATGATATTATTCTATTCTCAAATGTTAATTAATTATGCAACGATGATTTCTATATTTTAACAGAAAAATTGAGAATTACATTATTCTCCGTATACGAGGTATATCCGTGAAAGTAAGGAAGGAATGCAATTAAATTTGAAGAATATCGACGAAGATTCGTGTACGATGGGATGCTCGAAGGAGAAAGTAGAAAGAGCCGGTGTTTGGTCAGCCAGAGAGGCGTAGAATGGAGCAAAACGTAGGACAGAACGTACATGGGGTGTAGAAGGAAGAGTGGGCAAGGGAGGGTGTTAGTCACTAGAGAACAGGTATCCGCCGTAGGCGTCGTACGTTCATTGATAAGCGTATAACGCCCCGTGCCTTAGACTCGTGACGTCACTCAATCGCACAGACGCCTGCGCTTCTATCAGGGCCGTGCCTATCGTACGGTTCTTGCCCCTAAATTTCTTTTTTTTTCTACGTCTCTTCGACTACGTAAGTCAGTTCCGAGTACTTCGCGCAGAGTAAACCAATAATTGGATACCAAATATAGATACCGGCAATTTTCTGTCGGCTGTATCGCTCTGTTGTACGTTCATTTACGATCCCCAGGTACGGTCACGAATATCGTGTTGGATCACAAGGGTGAAAAGAGGGGAGAAGATAGAAAGAGAAAGTCTGGTTAATTGACAGATCACAAAGTCCTCGTACGTTTCAGTTTTTCATAAATACGTTTTCGTACTACGAACGGTTTAATTTTTTTTTCTCTCATTTTTGTTTCGTTTTTAGCGTGTAGACGATTGTTTCATTGAAAGGCTAACACGGAATGAGAGAAAATTATAGATGGAATAGCGGAGCAAGGGAAAGAAAATAGACGCAGAGGGGTGGAGTGTAGATGGACATAGGCACACTGGGTAAGTAAATGGGAAGAAAGACGGAGATAAAGTGAAAATGTGAGGGGACGAGAGAAAAAGGGTGAAAGATGATTGGGAGGGGAGAAAGTGGAAGAAAGACAGTCGAAGGAGTAAAAGGAGAGAGAAAGTTTGGTGGATCGTCTCCCGCGTATTGATTGGTCTTTTGTGAAAGCTACACCCTCGCGTAGCCACAAGACGAACCATTCTGTAAAGTCACTAGACTTGCCAGGGTGTATCGCGCGTTCTCGAGCTAGCTATCACGATACGCCATCTTTGATTTTCCTCGATCTATACTAGCGTTTTCGTACATCATTCGAACCTCTATTTTTATAACAAAACCGTCATCGTTAGATGGAATCGAAATTGACGATAGAATACAGCTAGTTTTTCCAAACGTTTTTAGATATTATCGATAAAAGAAAACTTAGGTTAACGTATGATAGAAATAGAAATGAAGTAAGCGATCGCAAGGAATCCCTAGCAGCGAAGGGGCTCTATATCGGCATCGATCGCTGAGTGACCCATATCTGGTGGTGACGGGAGTCCTTACCCCAGACCTGGCTGCTTTTCCAGCGGCAGCACCCTTCGCTACCTCCTCTCTCTCTCTTTCTCTCTTTTTCCCGGTCCTACATCCCCTCTACGCGAGCATACTCCCGCCAGAGTCGTCTCTACCCCCCACCTCCCACTCGTTGCCCCTTTCTCCGCTGGACAAGCGAATATACCACCACCTCCTCCTCCGATTTTCCAGCAGCCCTGCCGCCTGCCTTCCACGGCCGAGCAGATCTTGGGGCTTGTACGGGATGATAGCCGAGTGAAAAAGCTCGCGGAGTCCCGTGAAATTCGCTCATCAGCAGCAGCAGCCCTGGCCTGCCACAATCCCTTCGACTCGGTTATCGTAAGTGTCGTGCAACCCCGTGAAAGAAACGAAAGCGAGACAGAGACCGTGATTAACAAAAACGGAACGAAAGATTGTGTAAGATCGTATGATAGAAAAGGAAAGGTTTGTTAGTTTCGACTGAGGAAAGAAGTAACCGGGGAGCGTGAGAGGGTGAGAAAGCGAATGAGCGGAAGGGTATGCCTGGGTAATGTGTCTGCGCGTGAGAGAAATGAGAAGAAAGAAATCTATCGCTCTAGTACACGTTGCAAGTGTTCAACCTGTAAAAAGTGTCGGAACAGAAGGTTTCCCTCGAGGATTGACAAATGTCACTGGAAAATTTCACCCTTCGGTGTAAGGTAAATCGTTTCTCGCGGTATCGTCGCAGCTACAAGAGAGAAATATTTCACGTAAACGTGGAAAGGAATAAGGGAGAAATAGTTGCCAGAGGACTCGAAGATTGTCAATGAAGAGAAAAAGCAGAAAGGGGTGAACGGTGACGGTGGCACGGTTAATCGTTGCATCCATATATCTCTGATGGAACTCGTGAAGCTTAAAGGGTTGCTTGTGTCGCTGTTGCTGTTACTCGTGGGTGATAGCGATAGGCAGTTGATAGTGATACACAGTGGTTGCACTACGTATCCCCGTGCAGTGGTGTCCCGTGCGCACCGGGTGTATATGTATACTACGTACCATTAGTAGTGAGATCAATAAGCAGTGCCGTGCCACTCGACCCGTGCCCACGAACGGAAACTCATTCTGGAATCTCTCCTTCCTTTTCTGCCTATCGTTTCGAACAGTGCGAGCACCCCTTCTTTTTCAACCGGAATGTCGCAAGGTCACTTTCATTTGTTTCCTTTCTGAATTTTTCATCGTACCTCGACCAACCACGAAAACCGAGTGTCTTCTTCTTTGAACAGCCAGGCCATTGGTCCGTTCTTTCGGCGTTGTTCCTTACGCGTGTATACCGGTGTCTTTTCCTTTCTTTCGCTGTACATCGACAATTGTTCCGTTCGTTGGATTAATCGGTACGTTTCAGTTTCATCCCTTAACAGTAGCAAGCCTTTTACTTTTTATTCTTTTGAAGAATCGCTCGACTGAAACCTTGAGCTTTGTCGTTTTCGGTTATAATGGACACTTGTGTGTCATCAGCAAGCTGAAAAACACTTTTGTAATAGCGCACGTTCAGCCTGTAGATCGTACCGTCTGATCGTTATAAACGGAGGAATAATATTTCGACCTTATTCAAAGTTAAAATTTCATTTTATTCTGTGAAATAATAGTAGAATATATTGAATGAAAAGGGAAGAAAATGTTCTTCAATTTCTTACGTATCATAGATAGATGTCGTTGGCTAGATCTTACTTGCGCCTGAAATTCTTCACCGGATTAAGATGTCTCGTCTGACGGTGATTAGATCGCGACACGATTAAACTACTGCAATCGTGAGATTAATAAATCTCCGGTTGAAAATTCAATAACACTTTTTAATCAACAGAGATGCTGGAACTTTAGTTATTCAAGGATATCGTAATTAAAACGAAACACATTGACGGATAAAAATATATTTAACAAGTTCTCTTGTATTATCGGTTCACGATAATACTTCGTCGTCTTGTCAGCAAAATTTAAGCCCCTGGCAGCATATTTCTCGGCAATGATGTAAGAAAGAAACCTATTAGACTGCTTAAACGAAGCGGTTCGTGGTACAAATGTTGATCATTAATTTCAAACGAGTTGTCTTAGCTTTGAACGGTGCGTTTGAAAAATTCATGAAAGAAAGAAGGTAAGGGAAGATATTCTCACGTTCCCTGTTTCACGGTTTCTCGAAGGAGATCTTGTTTCTCGAGAAAAATTTCCCGACGACGCGAGGGAAATAATAATTGAACGCATCGATAAACCCGATAAAAATATGTCGCCAGAGACGACAGTTGACGCTCAAGTGTAAAGTGTTGAACGGAACGAAGGTCGACTTTCGATCGTGTCCGGTGTATTTCAATCGGAACTTGCCCGAAGAACCTGTTGCCGGTAATCCGATCGATTAAATTTCTCTCATTTACCAACGGGATGATCGTTAATTCAGAATATCGTCGTTTACACGTGTACACTCATTGTTTGAAAAAGATTGCTTTCACGCAACTGCCACCCTCCACGTGTCGTTTATCAGGGAAATCGTTGCGACGTTACCGTGCGATACGCGACGTGTGTGACGCGTTGATTTCACGAGCAGACGCAACCCTTTGATAAGAAATAAATCGAAGTTTTCAAATATATTTCGCTTACGCGACGCGAAAATGATTTCAATACTCGTATGATAATCACGATTTATCTCGTCCCGGACTCTGTACAATAATTTCCTTTTAATCCTCTGTACATTAACGCGTAGACGTCAGCTGCAATCTTATCTCTGCGATAAGAATCATTTAGATTTATGTAAACTGATATCGACACCATCGGTGATCGATGCGAAAAATTCGAGATTATTACAAGGAAAGGGTGATCAACCCTTTCTGGACTACGAGGGTCCCCTAAACTTCAAGCGCATGGAACTAAATTTGGAAATAAGAAGAAGGGTTAATTACAAGGATCCAATGGACAGAGGATTGAATGCGAATAATAAAGGAATAATTTTATTTAATCACGGCTATAGGTACAAAGAAAGCGATTATTTACAGTTTATTTACACGTTAGGAATAGGGGGTAGGTTATCGTAGGGAGGAAAGAAAAATAGTTCCTTTTCGCACTCAGAGAGAATCGCACAGCTAATCGTGGGATCGTCGTGTGCAGCCTGGCGGGCCCCGCAAAAGCCGCCAATTAATTAAGATAGCTCCTAGATACACGGTAGATCGATAGGGACTGGCCGTGATAAAGACGGGCGAGGGTTTCAGACCTCAGGGATGTTGCAGTGCTGTGGTGTTGGAGGTGGCGCTTCCACGGCACCTCAGGCTCCGCAGCTGCAGGATACCGGATCTGCTGTCGGGACTACCACCTCCACGAATACCACCATCATGCAGGACCCGGTACTTGAGTCTATCCTCGAGGTAAGTTTCACCTAGTCTATCTTTCATTCTATATTTTCTATCACCGAAAGGGTTTATTACCTTTAACATTCTGGTGGTTCGCCTGCTTTCTAAACATACATACAATTTGCCGACCCACGTATCATTTAAAACACGAGGATCGTTCGATAACCAAAGAGACAAACGCAATGATTCGTGTATATTAATCAGAAATTTGTTTCATTACTGTACCAGTTTTCTCATGGAAGAAGGAAAGAAATTTTTGTCCCAAGTCTGACCAATTTTGGACACTACTACTGACAGTGAGGATTACTTGGGAGAGAAGTTTATTATTCTTTGGATAATTGAGGATACCAACTTATGATTTTTGTATTTCGATTTCGAACTACTACTGTTTGTCTCTTTACGATTGTTAAACAATATTGATACATCGATCAGAAAATTAATTACGTATACAAATAAGGTGTGCACGTAATAATCCGTGTATCGCGATGGATCACGCGAATAAGGTCGTTTCTGAGGGTCAGCAAAAGTGTATCTCAACGAGATGTTCGTCAGCGGATGGATATTGATGTTCCAAGCGAATTTTCAGCCAGACGCGAAAGATTCACTTTTAATTAAAAAGATAATCCGCGGTAGCGTGTTTTTCATTCTTCTTCTTCTTTTTGTAAGATTTTTGTAAAAGCTCGGTAGAATTAAAGGAACAAGTTTGCGACGAGCAAGTTCGATTGTACGTACCTCGGAGGCATTCGGAATACAAAAGCTCTCTTCGTTATTAATGTCACGCGGATGATTCTCGTCATGGATCATGCTTCCAGCTAGACGTCCCTTCGGGTTATTCAAGCTGGTTATCTACCTTCCGTCGTAAATATTAAACGGAACTAGATCCCGGTACATTTTTGAAAAAACATTCATTTTTTCATAATTTCACGCAATCGTTGAAATACATTGTAAAACTGGATATTTTCAGCAAATGCGTGAAACGGAGGCCCGAAAAGCGGACCTGGAACGGCAACATGCAGAAACACAGAATCAGCTACACGAAAAGATAGCAGGCCGATATCAGGGTCCAGAATCTGTCGAGGCACTGCAGTCGAAGATAAGGGAACTCGAGAAGAAGACGGAACTGCAGATGGTCAGACACGAGGAATTATCTCTGGAGTTGACGAGCTTGAGAAGAGCGCGTAGCAGAGGGCCGATGGTGGGTCATTCGACGGTTCCGACTACTTGGCCTCCGGCTGGTTCGGAAATCGACAGAATAATAGCGAAAATAGAACAAGATAAAAGGTATGTTTCTATCCTTCCAATTTCTTCTTAGTCTTTCAATATGTTTTAACATTTCATCGGCAGACGATCGATACCGACCAGTCGCTCAACTGACCACTAATCTTATCTGATTTTTCCCAACTCCAGCGCTAGCAGGATGGTACACGATTTGGAGCATGCACGAGCAACCATAACCACGCAACAACCCTTAGTTTCGCAGGGTATTTTGCGATCAAGCTCGGAGAATCTTCCGAATCTCGGTCAACATCAACATCCACCCCATCCGCATGCTTTGAGCCTGGGAATACCGACTCAAATGAGTCACGTAAGCGAAGAATATTATATTTCATTTTTTTCGTTTATCTTTTCAATAGCAGAGTGTCGATTGAGAATTTCATACAGTACGCAGGTTCACCGATGCCCCTGACTCCGATGATGCCCGGTTGTCCACCGTTAACCCCTAACGGACCTCCGTATCACTACAGCGAACCAATTCCACCGGCACCGTCACTTTCTACCAGCCAGTCGCAGCCAGTTTTCCAACAAAAGATCCAACAGTACCAGCAGCCCCAAGTAACTCACACGGAGTTGCCGAGCTCTCATTCTCAAACCGCTCTGCAAACGCAGCAGAAGCAACAACAAACGCACACCCATTTCACGGGCAGTCAGTACCAGGAGAGTTATCCTCATACGCAAACCTATCAACAGCCGCTCCAGCAGCAACAACCGCAACCGCAGCAACATCCGGCCTCTACAACGTACCTGACATCGTCGAGTCAAAGCGTGATACCTCATTACACGCAGCCCGCTCAGACCGCCCAAAGTTTTCAATTGAACGGAAGTCAACAGGTACGAAATTACTTTAACACTTTCGCTGCTATGCGAATTTTTGAACATGTACCAATGGGCCAGAAATTTCATATTAAAAATTTTATAATGACGAAGAACTTACCTGGTCCCATGGGGCCACCGTGGCAGCGAAAGGGTTAACAACCTATAATTGATATATATTAAAACAGTATTGATTTTCTCTGCGCAGGCAACGACGTATCCAAGTTTATCCATTACGTCCCATCCAAACGGAACCTACAGTACAGGAGCGGGTAGCAGCTACTCCAGTCAACTGTCTCATCATAATTACTCTGTACCGCAAACTAGTATCCCTCAAACGACACTGTCGTCGTTGCCACCCTATTCGACTAGCTCCTATCATTCTACCTTGGGCCCTCTAACTAGCGTACCCCAAACCGTTCTTCCTTTCTCGAACGTGCAGAGCTGTTTTGCCACTAGTGGATCGACTTACTCGACCGTCGGGACCAATGCTTTTGGGACGTCTGGCGTGGGCTCAGGTGAAAATCCTTTTTCAAATTTCATTTTTCTTTCATTCTTCCTGCCCTTCGAGGATTTCTAATAAAGAAATCGTGCCGGTTTATTTCAGGTACAACATCGACAGGCTTGTTGCAAGCGATAAGCGATCCTCTCCAAGCGATGCAACAATTATCCGCGCAGTCTCAAGCGAATCAACTTCAACAGCAGGCAATCATACAACAGATTCAGCAAAGTTTACGCGCCACCTCGCCAACAGCAACGGCAACGACCGGTCATCATTTTCTTGGTCCAAGGCAGATGCCAAAAATACCGAGTAGTATACTATCGAATCCCTTGGATCGACTGACCAATGACAATATCGTACCCGAGGGTCAAGTGGACATGCTGGACATACCCGGGAAGGGAAGATGTTACGTTTATATAGCACGTTTCACTTACGAGCCGTTTCAACACTCGCCGAACGAGAACCCGGAAGCCGAGCTGCCTGTCCAGGGTGGCGATTATCTTCTCGTCTGGGGACAACCGGACGAGGATGGTTTCCTCGACGCTGAGACCCTCGACGGTAGACGAGGCCTCGTTCCGGCTAATTTCGTACAGAAACTCGTCGGCGACGATCTACTCGAGTTTCATCAAGCTGTACTTGGCCTCAGGGACGTCGACGACTCAGCATCAACAAATATCCCCCAAGTGAGCAACGTGAGTTATATATTTTGACAAGGTAAATTTGGCAAAAGGTAATAGTCTTTTTTGAAGTAAAGTAGTATGGGTTCAGGAACCCGAGACTCAATAAGAAATGTCGTACAAGTAGGGATAATAACGAGCTGGTGATGGCATAACGGATAAAGCCAGCCACGAACGCGAGGATCCCGTCTTCGATTTACAGTAACAATTATTATTTATTTTATTCGCTAAATAATATCAGTAAAAGTCACAGTTTCAATTTGTTATTACAGTGCTATCTGCAGGACATCGATCTTGAATTAGCAGCTCTGGAAGAAGGAAACCGGAATCGACAGGCGGAACTGTCCGCGTACGCGGAATTGGATAACATCGCTGAGGAAGACGAACAGGAGCCACCAGGTTAGTACATTTCCATACCGTTAGTTCAGATTATCGCTCGAAACAAAGCACGTAGTACACGAAAGTTCGGATACGTAATTCAATTTAGAGAATGTTCATGTACGAGTTAGTTGTAATTAAGTTTAGAATACTAGATTAAACCTGTTCAATGTGTTTTGAAATGCTAAGTGTTTCAAAAGCTGGATAATTCTCAGTTCAACCTGTTAACTGGGTGAACCAGAAACGAGTTGTTTCATTTAATTCAGACTTTATATGCGATTACACGTCTTCCCTGGTTAACAGGTGAATAACGATTGTTTCCCTTAATCACTTGTAATTTAAACTTGTATTTGGTACCTTCTTCACCTAGCTGTACTAAGTACGTAGAATGTTTCTTCGCAGTAACGCAAAGTGTGATCCAACAAGGTACACGTACGACACTGTTTGTTCATCGAGCTTGTTCATCCTGGCAATAAGAAGATGCTTAAACAGACACCCGTAGAATTCCTGTTCGTCGAAACCTTTCCGATATAACGAATGCATGCCACCTTACCATTCATAGCGGTTAAACATTGTTCCGTTTGATAGCAGAGGCAAATATAATTCGATGAACAGCGTGAACCAGGTGTTGCACTGTGTTGAGTATTGGATGGTCTTAGGCTGGCTTAGAGAATTAGATAGCGAAAGAGTATTAGTTACAGCTAGGCTTGTCTTGTCTTTTTTTTCCTGAAGAAGTCTACCTGTTTTCGGACCTAGTTCCGGCGCCGCAGCACCTGACGCTCGAGCGGCAGCTGAACAAGAGCGTCCTAATCGGTTGGACGGCGCCAGAGAACACTCATCAGTTGGAATCTTATCACGTCTACGTGGACGGGGTGCTGAAGGTTACCGTGAAAGCAACCGAGAGGACCAGGGCGTTGGTCGAAGGGGTTGATTCTACCAGGGTTCGTAAGAAACTTTCATATTTCACGATAATTTTCTAACGATTTATTTTCGATAACGATTAAAACGTTAACGAATCGATTATGATAAGTAGTTTAATTCGATTTTGATCGACGATGTAGCCGCACAGAATAAGCGTGCGTTCAGTGACACACTCGAGGAGAACGTCGCGCGATGCGGCATGCACGATGGTGATCGGTAAGGACGTCGCATTGGGTCCAACAGCGGTGAAGGCATCGAACGTAACCGCGACCAGTGCTGTCATATCCTGGATGCCAAGTAACAGCAATCATCAGCACGTGGTCTGCGTGAACAATGTGGAAGTACGAACAGTGAAGCCTGGAGTTTATAGGCATACGATCACCGGCCTTGCACCCTCGACGATCTACAGGGTGACAGTGAAAGCGAAGAACCTTAGAGCGACGCATTTCGAGGACCAAAACACTCAAGCGGCTAATAATTTAGCTTGTCACGTCCACTTTAAAACGTTACCCAAGGGACTACCCGATCCTCCGGTCGATATCCAGGTTAATAACCGTTTTAATCTCATCCGTCGTTCTCTACTGTCACGGACACTGTCTTCCACCAGTCGGATAACCCTACATTTTCCTCTTTACCAAGGGAAACACCATCGAGTCTATGTTTTTGTGGACGTGACAGTACGGCCGGTGCGACGGTAACGGAATGATGATCGTGGTATATTGTTTTTAGGTGGAGGCTGGACCGCAGGACGGCACTTTGCTAGTGACCTGGCAGCCTGTTGCCCTAAACGGTTCGGCCGTCACCGGTTACGCGGTGTACGCCGATGGGAAAAAGGTCACGGACGTAGACAGCCCCACCGGTGACCACGCTCTTGTCGACATACACAAGCTTATGGGACTGAATCCGAAACACATCACGGTTAGAACCAAAAGCAGGGAAAGTCAGTCGGGCGATAGTTGCGCCACTGCTATTCCCTGTAGCGTTCTTCGCGGTGGGACCACGACCCATTTGCAGCATGGTTCGACGCACATGCAAGATCAAGGACAGCAACAGCCGGGCATGGGACAACAGGACCCGCATCGCATGACTGGGGTAGATCAGAGATACCCAACGGCTCCTGTACCTTCTCATATGAGGAGACACGGTGTCACCAGGGTCGACGCTCACGGCCAAGTGATCATCGAAACGGACGAAAATTTGTCTGACAAAGAAATTTATCCTGGACAGAGCATGTCCCAGATGGGTAAGAGTTCTTCTTATAAATTTATAAAACATTCTCTCTCTCTCTCTCTCTCTCTGACATGATCCATTGGATCTTTTGAAATTTTGCACATGTCGCTACTGCCGCTTAGGGGTTCCAGAGATCACCAAGGATTCCGCCAGCGAAGCGAATTACAGCGAAGAAGACGATCCATCCCGTAGATGTAGAGGGATGCCGATGCATTACGGCGAACAACATCGGTACGGACAAATGGGACAGCAAGGTCTTCCAGGGACGCATAGATCCGGAAGAATGTCTGGGCCCGGTGGTAGACCACAAGATCCTTATTACGATCAATCAGGTGCGTATCGATATATCGTAGAAAAAGGTGTTATAATAATTTATAGATCCGAGGGACAGCGTGGAAATCGTCGCAACGGACTGCAACTATCTTTGTTAGCTGAGGAGACTTCTTAAATTTCTTCTTCTTTCATACACACACTATACACGCTTCTATAATAATGTACTACATTGATTTTACTTTCATTATCTCTTTTATCCGCACAGGAAACCAGAGAGGTAGAGCTCCTAGCTACCACCGCGGTGGACGAGGGACACAAGCTCAGGGTGGCGCGGGGCACCCATCGAGCAGTGCTCAGCAAATGAACAAGAGAACGCGCTGGTTTGTTGCCATCTACGATTACGATCCCAAAACTATGTCGCCAAATCCGGACGCCTGCGAAGAGGAATTACCGTTCTCCAAAGGAGACACCATCAAGGTCTTTTTCAATAATTGAATACTCGTCGCGTGTTTCGAACGAATCTAGGCTTATCGATTCATTCGTTAGGTGTACGGTGAAAAAGACGCAGATGGATTCTACTGGGGTGAATGTCACGGTAGACGAGGATACGTTCCTCACAATATGGTTGAAGAAATCAAAGATCAGAATCAACCTGGGCAAGGTCAACCTGGGAGAAGAGGAAGATGGGGAGATATTTATGCGAATATGCCTGTGAAGAAGATGATAGCGCTCTACGATTACGATCCCCACGAATTATCTCCGAATGTTGATTCTGTAAGATTCTGTGCTTTTAATTTTTCATATTCTTTTCAGCTAGTTAAGTACGCCTTTCGCTTCCTTTACTCTTCTTCTTATTATGTATATGAATTTGCCAATTATCGTGTATATTGACTTCGTAGCAAGTCGAGTTGGCATTTCAAACCGGAAACGAGATCTACGTGTACGGCGAACTGGGCGAGGATGGATTCTATATGGGTGAACTGAACGGAGTTCGCGGGTTAGTACCGAGTAACTTCCTAACCGAAGCGCGCGATCAACCGCCCCAAGGGCAACTTCCACCAGGGAGCAGAAGAGCACCTGGTCAAAGTCAAGGACCCGGTGTGAGAGGACCTCCTCCCCCGCCTCGAGAACCTCCTCCACCCGGTCATCGACGAGGCAAAGGTAAAAACTGAACAAACTGATTAACGTTTCATTATTTTTTAAAAATTTTTTTTTTATATAATGTCACGAATGGTGGCGTAATCAAAGCTCCTCAAGCCAAGTAAGCGATATAACAGGAAGCCTAAATTTCAAGCGACAAAATTGAACGAGCAATAGGAAAAGAAACCGAAGATCGAGAATGCTGTACTTCCATACGAAGATGATACCAGTTTCAAGAATTTTTTATTATAAAGAACGCCTGATAACTGGCTCGAGGAGTTGAAATACGTTCACACTGGCGCTGTTTATGATAATGAGAAGAAAAGAAGAAAGAAAAATCCTGGATGTCGACCAGACGTCAGTGTGAATAATCAAAATAAAAATAAAAAAGTACGAAACGGCAAGCAACACAAGACACGAAACTAGATGTGCCAGACGACAGGCAGAAGGGTCACACGAGTACTTACATGAGCGAACGATCTAGCAATGCTTAATCGTTATCAATCGATGCAGAGTTTACATATTTATTTTTAGGGGTACACTTGTCTTGCAAAATTATCAACACTTAAGGTACATTCGAGTAAGTTATCCGGTGTATTTGCATTCAGGAAAATAGGATATATAGAGTCGATTGACAAGATTATATCAAAATATCGATCGAGACGTCCGCGCAGTGTGTGAAAGTTATTTTGTATTTGCAAACTTTATTTTCCATTTTTTTTTTTTCTTTTTAGGAACACGTGTATTATCACATGCAAAGCGATTTCTATATTTCTATCTATCTATCTATCTATCTACCTGTCTATCTATCTATCTATATATATATTTACAATGAAACACTAAGCTGCTTTCAGTGTTTTCTATCGAATATATGTACATACAAATGAATATGTACGTATCTACGTATGTATTATACTCGTATGTTTTCTTTCCGAGCACTTTTCGGCTCTGTTACTTTTTTTACATGTCTATCTTTCTTCTATTATGTACATATATATTATACGCGTTATTTTTACGCTGTCTACATACACATATCCGTATATACATATACATATTATATACACATATGCATGTATGTAACAGATATATATATATGTACATATGTATACGTGTATGTATACAGAGCGTTTCAGAACAGATGTTCATTGTAGAAACTGTGATTGTAAATTCTCCATGGTAAAAGACATTGTAAAGTCCTCTGTAATTTTGTAATCTGAAGCCTTTTTAATTTTTAATACTAATTTTTAATCATTTAGATCTCGAAAACAAAGCTTCAGATGACAAAATGTCGAAGGACTCTTCGATATCTTTTATCGTAAAGAGTCTGCGATTCCAGTTTTTCGCGGTACCCATCTATTTTGTGACGCTCTATATAATTATACTGCGTGTATTCTATAACAACATAATCTATTTCTGTGTGCCTGAATTGGTCGATGGTCGTCGTGTCACATGATTGTCGTTCGTGTCGTGTTGTCATGCTGGCCATTTAAAGATCAAGATAAATTAACACTTTTTTTTTATCAGATTTCGTGTCTTGATGCGTATCGAACTCGCGTGAAAAATAAAAGAATTGAATTGTACGCGCGAATCCAAGTTCTGCCGAGTAATTCTTTTTCTCAATATCGTTGATTGCAAAAGAAAAAAAAGAATTTGTTAAAGGACATGTTAATCAGCTGATGAATGGAACATTACTCGGCATACTCGGCCACGCGTTTAAATGTCTTGTTTAAAAAAAAAATAAAAATAAAAGATAAAAAGAGACATACATAAATGCGCCATGAATGACAACACGGTCTTGTTCTCTTCTCTGTTGCTAGATGCCTGCATTGTGCCTGTGTCTGTCCCTGTCTGTCACTTAGACTCTAGACAACAACAACAACAACAACAACCATCACTAATGAACAACCAACAACATGAACTCCAACATCAACAAAACAATCCACCGCATCTAGCGTACCAACAAGCGAATCACCACAGCTACACAACTGTAACCACGTCCAATCAGCATGGGCCCACACCCATGGGTGCCCATCAACAAGGTCCCGTACCGCCCCACCTTCAACAACAGGTGAGTCCACTGCTCTATCAAGAAGTTTTTCACTTCTGCTTTTCGATGTGGCTTTCAATTTTTCTCGCTGCTTTCTCTCTCTCTCTCTCCCGTTTCTCTTTTATTCTATTTCTTTTGTTCATATTTATAATAAATAGAATAGAATCGAAACGTTTTATCATTGAATTATACCAGTGTGAGAATGTGAAAGGATTAAAAGATATTTTCAATGATTCAGGTATGTCTCCTCACAGTCCAGGACGATTAAACGATGTGACGACAGTATATGGATTTAGCAAAATTTTATTCTTTCATAAAACAAAGGAGAATATAAAGGAAACCTATTGCATGGATTCGAATATGATAGGCTACTTCAACTTTATCACATATTATTACATAGAAACTTCAGATACATTTTAACGAACAGAAGACAGTAATGAAATCGAATTATCAAAGTAGTTTAAGCTTTTATTAGGTTGTTGCATATCAAATGACGTAAACTTTGTTATTAATATTCTTAATGGAAAATGATGTATACGAGCAATCGGTCATTTCATTTGTAACGACTTAATACATCGCAGTGTCTGCAAGCATGTGCATACATTTATTAAATTGCACGAACGCTCAATATGTAACTCATGCTTTAGCACTAACTTAAACTATTACAAATTTCGTCTTCTCCAATTCTCTTTCTCTGCTTCCGTTAGTTTTCATTTTACTCCTCGTTCTGTGAAATACTTCCGTCTATCTCCTCATTTCGTATTCGGTCGTTTCGTAAAATTAGTTTCATACAGATCGAACGTAGGCTCATTACGATCAGGTCGTCGGATTATATAGATAGATCAATCTTATTTTGTTATCTTAGTTAACTACGTATTCTCGTGTTTCCTTTTCGCGGTACACCACGCTATACACATCAAGGCTCATTATTTATCACGAAACATCGTAACAGTAGGACGTAGGAAAAGTTTGAAATAAAACCGATCGATCTTATCTAGATGAAACATCTTCTAGCGAGCATCGCATGAGAAACGTTCAAAGTTTCTTCAACGAAAAACGAAAGTTTCTTGAAATTTTTCAGAACACAGAAGCATCCTCTAATCAACACGACTTAACTTAAACTTAAACCCAGACCTTTACGTGGAGATTGCTCGATAAAGTTGTTCTCGAACCAGTATAACGAATCAAGGAAACGATCTATTTTATGCCGAAGAAAATTTTGTTTCATTAATTTCCTCGTCGCTTTCATTTCTAGGGGAAGGGGAGGGGAGGCGTGATCAATCGTCGTAGTAATGTACCAGGAGGAATGCAGGGTCCTGGACAGCATATGCAGCAACAACAGCAAGACTACCAGCAACAGAATCAACCGTATCAACAGCAACAGGCTAATCAACAGAATCAAAGTTACCAGCAACAGAATCAAGGATACCAGCAACAAGGTACTGGATTCGGACCGCAGGGTCAACAATTCCAACAGCAACAACCTCAGCAGCCGCAGCAGCAGCAACAGCAACAGCCGCAACAGCAACAGAATCAACCGTACTCGCAACAGAATCAAGGTTCCTCGATGCAGGGTAGTCAGAGTACCAACAAACCGATGAGAGGAATACCGACCGTGTTGCCTACGCCACAGGCAAAGACGCAACCGAACGCGACGCAGGGCCAGCAGCAACAGCAACCACAGCAGCAGCAGAGCACAGGGCCGAATTTGATGCAAAAGTTCACGGAGATGGCCGGTGCAAGTGCTGGCGGCGATATATTGTCCAAAGGGAAAGAACTAATTTTCATGAAGTTTGGCCTAGGCAAGTGAGCTACCCTCGCTCTCCTCGTGTCGCCAGCTTCTTATCCGTTTCTCTCCTATCGCGTTATCCTGGCTCTTTCGTCTCCTCGCCGAGAGCTTTCTGAATCAGTATTACGATGAACCGTGTAGGCAGGAACGTACGAACGCGTCACCTCCGATCGAGTCTTCGCGAATATCCCTGAACGATATACGTAATCCGCGAATGTGTGCTACCATTGCTGCTGCTGCTGTTGTTGCTGGTACGACTGTGTGTTATTTGATTCGCAAACAAGGACTGGATTACCAGTCCTTCGTATCTTCCTCGATCGTGAGTCCATGTGTTTTGCGGAGTAGAATGGAGAAAAAGGGTGTTAAGAGTTTTTCTAACGAGTGAGAAGTTCGTTAGGGATCAGGGTGTTATAAAGAAACAATCTTCGTTGAACTAGGTTCAATTCTCTTCTTTCGATTATTCATCGTCTTCTTCTTCTTTTTTTTATTTCACCTAATAGAATGCTTGTCCCGTAACGAATTAACCCTTGCACTCCGACTTTTCCAGATATCGAACGTTAACTCCGATTACGTTTTAACTACTTTTTGAAAATTAGTAACCAACGAATACTGATATAGGGGTTGGTGACCTCCCACCAGTCACCTAACTCGGGCCTGTCTAACTGCTCCCACTTTTACCGCTTCAGGCTTCCCCCACCATCGAGTAGTGTCAGTAGTGGGGCAGCTAGGACTAGGGATACGCGTCGAATATTGGAAGAGTGGGGGGAGCCGAGCGCGAGGTCCGTGGTAGGGGAAGGAGCCACGAGTGGCCCGCGGGTCACGGGTTAGACAGGCCTGGCCTAACTCATTCGTTAGGCCCTTGCCGTATACTAAAAGCGACTACCTCGTATTTCAATTAGGAGGATACTTTGTGTTTGGAAGGTACACTTGGGGTGCAAAGAGTTAAGGTACCAAGATTGAAACAAACACATTCAGGCAGGCGTTACTTTGTTATTTATTCCTTCGCGTCTATTGAAATGAAACAAACTGTACCGTGTAAAATTTGCTTAAAAAAACAGAGAATTTATTCAACAGATGAACTGATGTTCATCGTTTTGATTTGAATGAAATAGTGGATAAATAGTTGTGAAATGCAGCCAGTATCAACGCCTGCTCAGGGACGCGAGTAATCGAATATCATCTCATAATCAGAGCATTACAAAGAGAAATCACCTATCAATTAGTTCGATGAGATAATCGTTCTTGTTATATAGATATTTATTAGCTTGATAATATTTTATCTATGTGTATAAAAAGAAAAAAAAAAAAAGACAGTAAGAATACGCTTTGTGATATGAAAACAGCGAGGTAAGAATGCTTCGTTGCGTCATGGATTTTATAAGAAACTAAAGAAAAAGAACAGAAACAAGATCGAAAGATAATGATTCTGTTCGTTTGAAGTGCAAGGAACTTAACAGAGACACAAAGAGAATGTAAAATTTTGTACTCCTTAGTTTAGCAAATTACTCGTTCAGTTCCAAGTTTGAGAAACTTGTAAAAGGCTTCTAAACGCAACGAGAGCTGGTAATTATACCACGAGTCTAAAGCTGCACCCTCTGTACACCCTGAATAGAAAACGATTAGCGGGTACATAGTAAAAATAATTCTAATTTCTACTTGTTTTCTCTTTGCATTTCAAATTACTTGTCACTTGAGATTACGTTTCACGATTGGCAAGGAAGAAAAATGGAATAGATATAGCGCGACGCGAACGGATAATTCGCAAAAGACTACAAAAAAAAAAAAAAAAAAAAATAATGGGAAAGTATAACTCCTCGTCGTACTCGAGCACGATTACGAATCAATAAGATATTTTACAAAACAGATGCTAAACGAGAAATGAAACTGCATACTTAATATATGTAATTGAAGGATTTATATAATACAGTGACTCGTGGATCAACGTTGAACTACGGCGTACATATATATATAAATATATAAATATATAAATAAACAAAAGGTGATGGGACATGAATTCGATTCGATAAATGAAACTAACCGGGGTAGGGGACATATGGAAGATCATAGAATTACATATGTTACGAAATAAACTGAGATATAAATATATACATATGCATATACAGATGTATGTACATATATATAGATATATGTGTACGTACATATAGTACGTGTTTGTATAGGTATATTTATGTAAACACGTACATATACATATTATATTTAACTATTGCAAAGTGTTGTTACATCGCTACTTGTATCGTATTTTGTACAAAGTATCCTTACCTTCAATTGTTCTTTTTTCTTTCGCCGTGATATAAATATATAAATATATAAATATAAATATAAATACAAATATAAATAAAATAAATAAATATATATATATATATAAAGAATCCTTAGCAAGGCGAAAGGAAACGTGACAAAACTTCAAAGTCATTTTGCCAGAATCATACTTTGGGAATCATTACTAAGAAACTCGTCGTAATTGTTATTAAATATCGCGGATATATCTGTTTAGAACCGACAGTTGCCTCTCGTCCGTTCGTGTTGATTGAGTGTCGACAGATGCGGCAACAAGCGGCAAAAATTGTATGATTTATTAATTAATTAATTAATTAAGAAAAGGGTGTGAAACGCGCGGCCCTCTTTTATTTATTAAATAATCCAGTAGAATTTGTAATCGCTCAAAGATCTAGTTTGGGTTTTTATTTGTATTTTTTTTTTTTTTTTTTTTTTTTTTACAATTGTTTCTGTAAACTTAGCGTACGAAAAATCTCTTATTGGACCAGGAGTTTGAACCACCCATCGTAGTACCGTTACCTAATTTTGCACATAATCGTGAAATTTTGTTCATTTTATAGTATCGATCACGATAAATCGCGTGACGACTTAACGAGCAAGAGTTACAGAGCAATGTATACTATGACTATGGACCAAACACCTTCTCGAGAGACCAATTCGGTTATTGAAAATGACGATACGTTTCTCCTGTTTCTGTCGAGACGTTTTAATACGTTTACTTATCTATGCGTCCATTATGACTTCTAGATAAACGATTTACGTACGTGAGTACGTATGTACTAGTGATGTGCGGCCCGACTAGTCGGGTCGGTTCGGAAAACATCGGGCGGGCTTCGGCGGTCGTCCGATTCATCCGTGCAGTCGGGTAGACCGACTATTTCGGAAAATTATCTTAATAGAAAATTCCATATAAAGCAGATTTTGCGCAAAGATTTTCAGATTTTGAAAGTATTAACAAGTACATGAGAGTTGGGTCGCGGACCGAGGCCCGCGAGAGCTCGTTCGAATCAGGCCGACTGTGCCCGACTGTACCCGACCGAACCCGAAATAGTCAAGCTACCCGACTGCACGCATGTATCGGACGGCCGCCCGAGCCCAGCCGATTTTTTCCGAGCTCGCCCGAGGCTGTAATATCGGATACCCGCGCATCCCTAGTACGTATGTATCTCCGTTGCTTGATAAAACTTCTTCGCTTCTTCTTGTTATTTATCTTCGTTTCGTTCATCCGAATACTAATTCCTCTACTAATCTCTACTTGCAATGAATTTATGTAGCGGCTAAAGTTGGTCGTAGGGTAACAGATAGTGATGGGTATTCAAATGATCTATTTCGTAAATTTTCAATCGATTCATTAAGAAAATTCTTGAAACTCTTTTAAATGTAACAACGTGATAGTATCGAAAGCCTTAAGAGTCTCGAAAGTTTTTATAATAAGACTTTCAAGCCTACCAAAACCCGTGTAAACTTTCAGAAATCTTTCATTTCATACGTGTAATCAGCCCATCACTAACGAATAGAGCTATGCTTCCTAACTCAGCCGTAGAGAAAATGTTTCGTTTTATTAACGATTGAAAAATATAACGACGATTCGTATGTTCGTTATATACTCGTAATCTGTAGGATATATATATATATTTGTATAATCAGATTTTCAATTCTTTACGAACGAAAGAATTCCGCTAAATCCACGAATTGTAATGCTTGCTCGTCGTGTTCGATGATACGCACGAAATTGCAAGTTCACAGAAGAATGCGTCGATCCTGTCCGACCTGTATTTCGCGCGAACGTCGAGAACTCGATAGTTTGCCTGAATCAAAAACCATGAAAAAAAAAAAAAAGAAAAAATGATAAAAAAGTGACAAAAATAATCTGCCCGAACGAATAAATAATATGCGCTTTCGATACGATTCTTTCGACGATGTTTACCAAACGATTGATTCATCCATTGGACGTAAAAATGTAGGGTCGCGTGTAGTTATCTATCAGCAGCAGAGATTCGTGAAATCGACTTTTAACGAATTCAAAAAAAAAAAGAGAAAAAAAAAATAATGAAAATGGTATTATGAATTCGATACTGTGCGAACGTTATATATATATATATATATATTATATATTATAGTACAATATTACTAGGATATCTATAATCTTCCATTGATGGTTTTTTCGACAATTCTACAATGCAAACGAAAGACGAATCGTTCTAGCCCTGCTGACTGTAAACGTTCCAATGGATCAACTTGTTCCCCCCTCGATTTTCGCCCCGAATGATCCAGGGGTGCTTTGACTCACGGATAAATGTCGAAATTCCTACGAACCTTTGCTGTTAAAACATATCTAATAGGAAACATTGATTCAGGCGATTAAAGGGAAAAGAATTAAAAAAGAAAAAAGAAAAAACAGAAAAAAAAAGAAAAAAGACTGACGTGACATTTAAGATCTACATGTATACTTAACACGTTCGCTACCGATAATCTGATCGAGCTCGATCGACGAGGGATTAATCGATACGGTGAGAAATTGAAAATCGATGAAAACAGAGGGAGGACGAATTTTGATTGAATCTGACAAAAATCGAGAGCACCGTTCAGATGGTAGCGCGCGTGTTAAACCGATATATTACTTAGAGGATCTGTAATCGTTCATCTTTCATCTCTTAAACGTTTTCGTTTCCTTTTCTTCTCTTTCACCGTTGTTTCATTAGCGATTGCAACAAAGCACGTAGTGAAACGGGTTGAAAGCAATTCGTAAACGGGACGTACACGAGGAGGGAAAGAAAGAAAGAAAGATATCAGGAATCACTGTAAAACGTAGCTGCATTGATTATGTACAGGGTGTTACAAGAACAGATGTAACCTGAGAATTCCTGCTGGCAAAGGAAATCGATGAAGTTTAAGATCGCAGAATGGATTACCTTTGTCAGAAGGAATTAACAATTACAGCAGGCCTGTCTAATTAGCAAAAGAGCCACTGCTCCCACTCTTACCGCTTCAGACTTCCCCCACCATCCAGTAGTGTCAGTAGTGGGGCAAATATTGGAAGAGTCGGGAAACCAACTGGAGGAGTGGGGGAAACCGAGCGCGAGTTGCGTAGTGGGGGAAGCCGAGCGCGAGTTGCGTAGTGGGGAAAGCCGAACGCGAGCTGTGTGGTGGGGGAAGGAGCTACGAGTGGCTCGCGGACCGCAGGTTAGACAGGTGTGGCATACCTGCTCCGTAATAAGCAACTGTTTGGTCCCGAACGCGTTGCTTATTCCGAGGCAATACTGTAAGTACCCTTTTCACCGAGAGCATCTTTTTTTAGAAACATCCTGTACAAAAGAAAGAGAAACACGTTGGAAAAGTAAGAACTTTCATCTATTATCGTTAGATGTTAGATGTATCGTAAGAAAAACGCAAGTAGTCTTAATGGAAAAGCAAACAAAAGTAAAGGCGAGAGAGTAAAAGAAAAAAAAAAATAAGAATCATCTACAAGTGTGTCTCGCAACGTCGAAAACTTAATTTCTGTCTCTTCTCCTTGCGATCAGACCAAAAATCTTCTTAGGAGATAATAATTTAAACAACAGGAACAATAAACTGACGCAATGCAACGGTCGAACAATGATTAAGAGCTAACGGATAAAATATTTAGAATCAAATGTTTTTATTTAAACGTTCACCGAGAGCGAAGATACGGCAAAATAATAATTGTATAAAAAACCGTGGCGATCAAAGCAAGCGCAGACTGAACGTAAATTAAACGCCGTAAGAAATTCAAACGAAACTATGATCGACGTATAAGGAAACCAAAAATAAAAAAAGTGTAAAAGGGGAAAAAACAAGAGAAAATGAAATTCTCTTTGAATATCCGGAGATCATTTCGTTCGTCGTCGACGCTCATTTTTGTGTAGGTATCTCACTTGTATATTGTCATTAATTATAAATTTAGTCGTTGAATGGATTCGTATAAAAAAAACTAAAAAAAAAAATCTTTTGATACCGCGACAGCTAATGCAAACACGAATAGCAAATGCTGAGGATGATACGTATGCGAACGAATATCCTAAATAAAAAAAAATAAAAAATGAAAAAAACGATCGAGATGGATCATTGATCCTTCATTGGCGAATGAAAAGACCGTCTGAAGCGTACGATAAAATTCTTTTGATTCGATCAAGAAAAAACTGGAATAATAAGGGTGTTAGGTCTGAAAAACGAAAATTCTCTTTCAGAAAAGTGTTTTCCACATCCTAAGGGAAATAGACGTACACGCGCGTTGTTTCGATCTAGATAACGGTTAGCTAAATAATACACGATATCCCAACAGCTGTTAGCAACGAGCATTAATCTCATACAAGAATTAAAAAACCCCGTTCGAAATTGTAGACACTTTGTTCCATGAAAACACTTTACGGAGAGACAGAAGAAGAAGAAGAAGTATAAAAGAGAAAGAATGTGCATGCGCACGAATGTATATAATGTATAATGAACGAACGAACGAATGAATGAAAGACAAGTAGGAAAGGGTCAAAAGAAAAAACAGAAGGTTGAGAAAAAAGTGTAAGACGGAACCAGCAAGAGGACGAACTTTTGATGATGTTAGTAGCTAGGCGCCAATTAATGTCATTCTTTCTCTTGCATCAATACCCTAAGATTGTATAAACCAGATGGTAGCGCAAAAAGGAAAAAAAAAAATAACAGAAATTGATTATATACACTCATACAACTTTTAATAATAACAAATTACCGCATCGATTAAGCATGTCGAATCGCCAGCTACGTTTGTTATCGAGTAATCTTGCGCTTTGTTTTTTCTATGGATCGGTGCATAACAATCTACTCCTTGTTAGCCCAACTGAAATATCAGCAAAAAAAAACCTGCTACACAGAAGAAAAAAAAAATCAACAAAAAATCACAATGTTATTATAAACAATTAATTAATAAAAAACGAATCTTGTTTGTTGTTACTTTTTGGTATCCTGATCATGATCCTTTTCGTTATATTAGACTGAACGCTTCATAAAAATAAGTCTGTATAAGAATTGGATGATTAATTGTACTTTATTTAATGCGTCCTATCACTCTATAGAATGAGTGTGTATAGGCATACTTATAATGACGCGATACACAAATCTTGAATATCAAAGACTAGTACAATATTACGAAAGGAAAGAAACAATGATCGGACGTCTATGGATCCTCTTCCCAGACGGTCTCAGTTAAGATAGCAATGTTGTCCAATCCTCTCATTGGCGCGTACTCCAGAGTCCACATAAAAGTGGTAAATACAACTAAAATTAATAGAAATTAATAAAAATCTGTTGTATTAATCACTTTGATAATCTATTTTTAAATTTTTAAATTACCCGCGTACAGTGGCGGCTCGCGTATAGGCACTGTAGAACTGCAGCACCCCTATTTCCACTTGATATTATCGATAACATTTAATATAATTTTTTTCTTTAATTCTTTCTTTATACTTGTACAATATATAATCCTTAAGCTTAATGTCAGTAGTCATCCCCTAGTTTATGAAAAAGATTTGTTTTTTAAAATAAAGGCTACAAATTTTCTGGAGCAGCACCCCCACTAATTTTAGTTACGAGCCGCCACTGCCCGCGTAGTAAAATATACTATATTTACTATAGAATGAGACGAGACGACTTACGCATTTCACCTTGATGCAGATCTGCTATTAACTCTGGACAAGAGCTATTGCAAGGATTGATAGGAGTCAAACGAAGTTGCGTAGCTCCTCGCAACTGAGCCAGGGCAATGAGACCAGTATCTAGTTCAACCTTTTTATAACTTGGACTATTATAATCCGACGACATAAGTACCCAGTTGAAATGCGCCGGTGAGACTGTACTCGAAAGGAAGTACGGACGTTGGTAATACTTTCGCAGCACTTTTACCGCATTGATCTCGCAGTTTTGCCAATGAACAAACCACTTAGCGACCTCTGGGGAATGTACTCGGCGCAAAAATGCTGCCAAATCGGACGAACCAGTTCTTAAGTTTGAGGTCAAAGCGCAGGGTACCGTTTCCATTAATCGCTCGTTCTCCAAGTAGAGCTATTTATATGAAAAATCAATTATTTTCCAACTAATATGCTTAATTTATTTTTTCAAAAATGTAAAGTAACATAAAAGTAATACTACTTGGAGTACATATATCTTTTTACCTATTGCTATGCTTCTACCTACATGAGTAATGTTATCAAACCAGAAATAATCTGTATTCATGACTGCCCAAGAATCCATTGCATCTGTAATAATTGCAGGTGCATCACGGCTTAAATAGTTATCAACTAGATTGCGGTATCTCACATCTGACAAGCGATCTATAGTTTCCAAAGCCTCACAAGTCTGAAAATATAATTAATTATCAAACTGAATACTATTTCATCTATGAAAAGTACATATTGATAAATACCACACAATCTTCTTCTGTTATCATATAATCATTGTAGAAGGGATTGTTGATCATACAATTTTCATAGTATAAAGGTTGCCAATTCCAAATTGGTAAAACTTTGATCAATAAGAGACGACTGATTGCAGTAAAATGTGTTCCAACAAAATCAAGTTGTGCTGCTAAACAAGCCAATGTACCAAGAACTATCAGCACAATTGTACCACGGAAGACAAGTTGCAACCAAGAACGCCGCATTGCAGCTACCAATGGTTGACAAATAATGTCCATTTCCTCTTCTGTAAAGCCTGCCTGCTGGCAATACCTACAAAATTCAGTTTTAATTGTTCATCCTTATGACTATCATCATTTTTGCAACACAAAAAGTAAAAGAAAATATAATACCATAACATGCCGATCAACTTTCAACACTGCATTTTTATTTTATAATATAATATATAAAGAAATTAAAATAATTCTTATAAATTGATTGAAACATTGCAAAATATCTGAAACATAGAAAAAAAAATGTAAAAATCCTTTCTAGATGAAACCATAAATTCTGGTAAATAAACAAGAAATTACAAATAATACAGAAATAAGAAAGAATACAATGATATTTAAAATAAGAAATGCAAATTTACTTATAAAATGCGTTCAGCTCGTCGTCTATCAATCGTAGCTTTTCCGAATGGGTCATTTCTTGCTGTTCTTTTACATAACTTTTGCGTGGTTGTTTAATGCATTTGCTACTCGACATCACGGCTTTTTAATAGAATATAAACTCGTCAAAGTTATACGTATTCAATTAAAATATTCACTGTGCGAAACTGAAGGGACAAACCAGTTATTATCGAACAGAAATGCTGCGCCGCGAATGTGCGCATGCACATTTTAAGATTATCCACAGGAACATATTGATTGTTACCGTCGCTGTTGAAGATACCGCGGGAAAATAGTTGTACTTTTTTCTATTCAGAATTTGTATGCGAGAATTTATGAAATTTCATATGCTTTTAGCCGATAAAAAAATTGTCTTTTAAAAATAAGATTATTGGTTTGAAAATTTAAATATAGTCAATTTGAGATATCTTTAATACGGACAAAAAACTATTACAGCTATTAATATTAATAAACTAGACATTGAAACTTTTTATTTTAAAAATAATTCTGTTTCGTAGATCTCACATAATACGAGTTTTATTTACTTATACCGCATTGTGACCAGATGCAACCAGATGCTATCGCAAAGTTTACTCGCATCCGTATCTGTAGATAACAGAGGTGCCCAGTTAGGCGTCCGCATTTTTGCCCACAAGAGTCCGTCGAAGTTTTCACGCATGTGGAATCGCGGCATTACAATCATGGATTCGGAATGACAAATGACGTTCGAATTGACCGCCGCATTCGCATGTATAAAATATAGGTATCCTACTCGCACTTATCTCCTCTCCTTCCTTCGGTTGAATTCGCAGTCATCTCCTCCATTTAAGCGTCCGTATTCGGTCCCAAGTGTAAGTGGGCATCTATGTAGTACATAGTACATACAATATTAATAAACGTTGAAGAGTTTTGAGAGTTTATTGTTCTCACAGTTGATCAAAATGTACAAAATCAGATTATTTGGTAAGTTTCTATACAAAAAATACATGTTCATGTATAAAACAAAACTGTTGATATAATTTTTTTTGTTTATTCAATAAGGAACACAAAATGTATCCACTGCATTTAATATTGTTACTCGAAATATTACTGCTCTTTCTATGCTACCGGAGACACATGTAATGCTTCAAAAGACATGCAAGTACTTATTATTTTTTTTTTTTAATTATAATTTGTAATTCCACATGGTGCCCACTTAAGCGTTCACAGTCAGGACCGAATACGGACGCTTAACCCCTTGCACTATTTTGACGAGTCTGACTCGTAATCGAGATTTCGAACTAGTCTCTCTCGCACTCTGTCGCAAAATATCATGTTTCAAAGTTCCGACACTCTGTCTGCGCCGCTTCGGCTCCTATCCTCACCATTCGGGCGCCCGTGTTTGGCCTGGCTTTTTCCGAGTTTCAGCATAGTGCAAGGGGTTAAATGGGAAGGTGACTTCTGCGAATTCAACCGAAGAAAGGAGAGGAGATGAGTTCGAGTAGGATACCTATATTCTATACATGCGAATGCGGCGGTCAATTCGAACGTCATTTGTTATTCCGAATCCATGATTGTAAAGCTACGATTCCACATGCGTGAAAGCTTCGGCATGTGTGGAACTTCTGTTTCCAAGAACTGGTGGGGATAGCGACGGACTCTTATGTGGGCAAAAATTGCGGACGCCTAACTGGGCACCTCTGTACATACATCATTTTCCTTCCCTATAAGGAATTGTATAATTATGCAAATATTTTTGTAGAGACTTTGCCGAAGGAGAATTAAAGCCAATAGCTGCAGAAATTGATAAGAAACATCTTTATCCAAAAGATCAGATACAAAAGATGGGAGAATTAGGTTTAATGAGCATAGCAGTCCCTGAAAGTTTAGGTGGCACCGGGCTTGATTATTTGGCATATGCTATTGCACTGGAAGAAATATCCAGAGGTTGTGCCAGTGCAGGAGTTATAATGAGTGTAAATAATTCCCTGTATTTGGGACCAATAGAAAAGTTTGGCAGTAAGAATCAGAAAGAAAAATATGTTACTCCTTTTACAACTGGTATAAAAATTGGATGTTTTGCCCTTAGCGAGCCTGGTAATGGTAGTGATGCAGGTGCTGCTTCTACTACTGCCACAAAAAATGGAATTAATTATATAATAAACGGTACAAAGTCATGGATAACAAATGCATATGAATCAGATGCAGCTGTTGTATTTGCCACCACTGATAAATCCAAAAAGCATAAAGGCATAAGTGCTTTTATTGTTGATAAGCCAATGAAAGGTTTTGCTGTTGGTAAAAAAGAGGATAAATTGGGTATTCGTGGTAGCAGCACCTGTTCATTATACTTTGAAGATTGTGAATTGCCAGATGACAATTTGTTAGGAGAACCAGGGATGGGTTTTAAAATAGCAATGATGACTTTAGGTATGGAGCAAATAAATATACGTGTATAAATGCAACATTTGAAAGTATAGTAATTAAATTATATGATTTCTAGATTCTGGCAGGATAGGTATTGCTGCCCAGGCTTTAGGTATAGCTCAAGCGTCGCTCGATTGTGCAATTGAGTATGCATCAAAACGACAAGCATTTGGTAACCCTATTATCAAGTTACAGGCAATTCAGCAAAAAATTGCTGATATGGCACTGAAATTAGAAAGTTCAAGATTATTAACATGGCGTGCAGCTGTGCTCAAAGACAATGGCAAACCGTTTACAAAGGTATAATGAAAATATGATTATACGAGAGTAAATAATGCCTGATGACCTTTTGTTTGTAGGAAGCTGCCATGGCAAAGTTGTCGGCATCCGAGACAGCTACTTTTTGCAGTCATCAGTGTATACAAATTTTAGGTGGGATGGGTTACGTTACCGATATGCCGGCAGAACGTCATTACAGAGATGCACGTATAACTGAAATTTACGAGGGTACTTCAGAAATACAAAGACTGGTTATAGCTGGAAACGTTGTTAAAGAATACAATCTGAACTGAAATTATTAAATGTAACAGATGTAACTATTTTACTAAGATTTTTGTATACGGGCAAATATTTTTTATACGTTTTCTTCGATTTTTATACATATATAATATATTTTTTCATTATACGAGAAAGAAGTCAATAAATTTTATACGCTATGACTTATAGTTTTATTGGTTTCTTTTTCTCATAATGATATTTTATGACACAAAATATATATGTATATATGTAAGTATGCAAAATACAATTATGCATGTATTCATATATACATATGTTAACTCCTTGGCAGCATTATAGGAATGTCTACCTATGATTCCTACCCTGCTTCTTATGGGGTTATATAGCTAACAGACTGTCTGTTAAAGTAATTCTAACGCATAGAGGTGATAAACACTGCCCACAGTGAGATTTTATTTAAAAATCTCCATTAATATCGAAACCTGACGAGATCGCACATGAAACTTAAATGCTAAAATTCACAACTGAGCAGCATAAATGTCAGATACTCTTTGCATTGCGATCTCGAAAAATTAATAATTACTTTATCTAGATTGCACTTCTAAAACTATCTTAAATGCTACAGAATATATCCTAGTTTAACAGGTAACAATATACATATAATTTGTGCAAACGACAATTACAATTCTTTTTCCAACTATATTTTAATTTAATCATTTTTTTTCTTGCATAAGCGAACATGTTGGATATGATATTATAGTTAGGTTTAATTTGTTTTACAGATATCTATTGGAATGCAAAGAAATATATAGGTATTTATAACATTTCAATTTGAATTTCTTTGTATGCCGTTTTTTTTTATATACAATAATGTACCCTTTCAGCATTTACCAACTTTCACAGCTAAGTATTTGTCTCCCTCTTTCTCTGTATGTGCACGTGTAATGTGGGTATGTGTTTGTGTACGTGTATATGTCAGATACTGACTTTACATAATTGTTTTCACAAACCGATGTTAGTGTAATAATTGAAAATTTATCAAGTTGATTTTGATTCAAATGTATTTTTATACCTTTTATTCTTGAATCAAAAATATGTAATATAAGAGAAGTATAACTACTATAAATTACTAATCATCTGTTATTTTATTTCATCTGATAGTAATAGTGAACGTTAGTAAATTACCACAAAATTAGTTTTCATTCGCAAAAGTGCCAAAATACTTTCGTTTAATTTTTTTTTTTGGGGGTTATTGTACATTGTATAACTGGGCTTAAAGAATTGTAGATCATACCATGATGTTCCCTTTCTCAAAGTAAAAACCAATAAGTCTAAAATCAAGCTATAGGTTTATTATCAGACTCGCGATTTCTGTGTTAAGTATTCTTGTTTATATATAGTAAGCATTCTGAACAGCTTATTCATAAATTTTAATATCGAACTACTATGGTGTTAAATAACAGTTACATCTTTTTCCACCTATATTGATTTTTATCGAACTGTACTCTTTTTTTTATATATTTTTACATCATATAGATTAAACTGACTTATCAGTTCTTTCTCTCATTATTGGCTATATTATAATCTTTGACTGTAGATATATTTATCTAAAACGTTTGTAAATGTAAATAAATTAAAATTGTAAGTAATTGTAATAGACACTGAATCTAGACACTTAAGTTCTGGAAATTGTCCCGATCCTGCAGGATCGCCTATGACAAAACGTATGTGAATTTATTTAAGATGTATAAGGAAATTAATTTAACCATTCATAACAGAAGCTGTCAAAGCCTCAATCATCAGCTCGCATACCCCTTACTTCTCCTTGATGTCTTTGCTGAAAAATTTAAATACGTTTTTTTATTAATAATGCGCTGTGATCAATGATCGCATTAATTTAACTTTAAAAAATTATTTACCCTATCCAATTCTTCTTTCGTACTTTCTTCAATTGCTCTAATATCTTCCATACTCAAACCGTACCAACGGTCTATCCAACAAAACACTTGCCTATGAAAATTGGTAAAAAGACGCCTTTCTGCTTTCTGAATAAAACTTTCGACACGGTTTTGTAGACCAAACCATTTAAATTCACAAGTGACTAATTTATAGCATGTCATCACAGGTTGAACATTATTCTTCCATTCTTTACCGACAAGCGGACCCCGGTTTGTTTTTACAGATTTAAATTTTGTTGGATCCTCATCCTCTTTATAATCAGCACTTGCAATTGGATCATTCGCAATATCTATATGTACCACTTCTCTCATTTTTAACTTATCAGGAGGTAATTCATGAACCTACAAATTAAGAAATGAGAAATATAAAGCACATTATTAGAATTATGTACTTTTTAAAATTGTTATACATACATTATGTTGATTTCCAACATCATCGATGTGAAATGATTCTATCATAATTACAAAATTTTCCTTCATGTATCCAGGATTCTGTACAGAAAATAATAAGGTGTAAATATACAAAATAGAAAATTACAAAAAAACAAGGAATATTCATATCATCAGATTATACTTACGGTTATAACAGTTTTGCAATAAGGATAAGCATTCCAAGCTTCTTCATGAATTTCCAAGGAGTTCTTTGGCAGCATAATACGGATAAAAGCAGGCACTTTACTAGCTAAATGATAAATCTTGTACGTGTATTGACCTGAAGAATATTTTCCACCAAGCAAAGGATAATCTGTGAATGGCTCATTTTTTAGCACTTCTATACCCTCTCCACCGCCAGTATTATTTTTACTGGCTTCTGCTACAGAGTACAGCTGAGCCACTTGATACTGCCATAAAGCAAATCACATTTTATGATACATTATACGCATTATTATAAACTAATGATAATATAAATTCATTAAAGTAAGCAAAATTTACAAAACACACAAGCTAACAATAATGAATATATGAATATCTAAAGTAATAATTAAAAATCAAATTTGATGGAATTAGATAAAAGAAAAACATTTATTACATCACAACAGTGACTGAAGATAAATGTGATAAAATTAATGATCTGACAATATCTTAGACATGATGAACGTAAAATTCAAAACATAACATTGAAATTAAACACATGCTTTAAAATAAATGTCAATTAAATGAGTTGCAAATTTTGCCAATTACACTGCACTGATGTAAAGCTAATCTCAGTTAGTTTTTCTTTTTCTAATGAAACAACACATTTCAAAATGGGTCATTATAATAAGACCTTGCTGTTCATCAAATACATACCTCTTCAACTGTAAGAGGCAAAGTGACACGGCTGTAACAAAAGAAATAAATAAAATACATTTATGATCTATCAGTTAAATAAATGAAAAAAGAAAGATTTACATATCTATAAGTAATGGCCTTGAGTACACTCAAGTATGAAATTAAGTATTATTCACCAGGTACCAAGAATCGAGTGATAGATAATAACGTAAATCGAACGATCATTTTGAGTAGACTTATTTATCAGTTGAAACGAAAATGAAATTGTTCACGTCATAACAAAATTTCGGTTACACGGATGGCAAGGGATGAAAGAGCATCCCTCTTTACCCCTCCAATCCCACCCGCTGTTAAAGATTAGTAACCATATCCAGAGAATCGGTTTTAAATGTACGACCAGTAACCATCTCCCGCGTTACATTAAAGAAAATATGAAAAAAATCATAATAACTTACAATTCTTTGATAAGCATTTTAACGAGCAGAGCACATGGGCTGTAGTAATTTCAGTGCGACCACACAGAACAACCCTTGCTTTAGCAAATTCACTCGTGTTATCTCAACCCGCAGTCATACGCATACAACGGCGCCGACTTCTCAACCGACTGGCACACACTTGAATCACTGAGAGACACCAGACAGCCGCACAACTACCAAAAAGCACATATACTTGCGCACACGTGTACATCAAATTTCCCCACTCTTATCTCACAGGCACTTTGCAAATGACGTCATGCTTATATGCAATTTAGTTCGCATGCGCACTTATCATCAACCAAGTTTGCAATTATCTAGTCTGGGGATTTTGAGTAGAATTTTTTGCACAAAAGTGTCAATTATATACAGTATTGTTACTTATTTATTCCTCATATAACACAATTTATTTATGCAGTACTAACTCCACTTAAATTGTATTAAAAACTTGCTGTTTATATAAAAACAATACTTTTAATGAAAATTGATAACAGAAATCTATAACAAATCATAAGCGTTAATAATTAATACGCTGTTTTTAGTTGCTACAGTATTTAATATATGATTGTTATATAATAAACTTAATTACATAATAACTTAATAAGGAGGTATTAGAATGCAACATATTATTATTTTCAAAAATAGATGATCATTTTGAATGGCTAATTTTTATCTGAATATAATCTATATCAAACTAGTATAATTACTAATATTAAGTTAGTAACACTGTATACTGGCAATATTCAAGTTGTTGAGTGTTTCTAGATGCACACCTTGCAGTCGCATCTATAAAATATAAGATCAGCGATCCTTTTATAAGTGCTATACCTGCAATTTTATGAAAAGTTTAATGCATTCAATTTCAACGAAAATTCAAGCGTTTCTCTAAGGTTCATTCAAATAATAACGATATATTGTTTATATTTATAATTTATCACATGCAAGTATATACATTTTATTCGTTTATATTAAACATTTCTTCATAGTGACATTTTTAGTTGCACAATATATGCATACAAAAGTAGGTGTGTATGTGTATCGTGTAACAGTGTTGGCTTGTTTTAAAATCGACTGTAATCGACGAGGTCCGATTGATCGATATGCTTCTGTATGTGTGTGACGAAATGTACTGAAATGACAGCGCGCATACTGACGCGCCTTAGAATATTTCGTTTGCGAAGAATGAAAAGATGGAAGAGTAGTTGGAAAGTTACAAAAAAGATCAAGTAACATGTCTATGAATTCTTATGCGTGCTGGGCTTATCGGTGGACTATTACGCTGATCTGAGTTTTGGTGTTTCCTGTTGTATAGTCGTGAAGTACGTCAGGTGTATGGCAATTTGTGGGAGCACCAAAACCAGGACGCGTGGGAAGATCCGAGAAGCAGGAAGAAGTACGTTCCACATAAACGGAAATAAACGAGAAGATTAAAGAAAAAAAAAAACAAACGCAAGACCGAAAGTGAACGTTTGAAACCAAAAGTCAGAATGGACGAATGTACTCTGAATGATTTGTTAGAATGCTCGGTGTGTCTCGAGCGACTAGATACATCGAGCAAAGTACTTCCCTGCCAACATACTTTTTGTAAAAAATGTTTGGAGGAAATAGTCAATACTCATCGCGAATTGCGTTGCCCCGAATGTCGCGTTTTAGTTGATGCTAAAGTGGACGATTTACCTCCAAATGTATTGCTTATGCGCATTCTAGAAGGAATGCGCAATGCTGCTCCTAAATCAACAAAAACTGTAACTAAAAGTAATTCAGGATCTCAAAGACTTTTTGGCGGTCATCAGATTACATCAACTACCAGTGTAACTACTAATCCTACTCCTAATGCGTTCACAAGCGAACCAATTCGACATGCAAGTGCTACAGCTAAACAAGTTCAACTACACAGTCAAACGTATGGCAGAGCAATTTACGATTACATGTCTAAAGTTCCAGGGTAATTTTATGATCCCCTTAAACATTGTTCCATTCATTCTTGGAACCATTATTTCATTAATTACTTTATGTTTCAGGGATTTATCTTTTAAGAAGGGTGACATTGTTATCCTTCGTAAAAAAATTGATAACAACTGGTATTTCGGAGAAAGTGCTAACAGTCATGGAGTTTTCCCTCTATCTTATATTCAGGTATTTAAAAATATCTCAGAGCTTCAATAAAACAAAAGAACATTAAAAGTATTCTATTAATATAATAAGTTTACATTAATGTCATAGGTAATGACACCATTAACACCACATGTACCTCAGTGCAAAGCTCTCTATGATTTTAGAATGACTAATGATGATGAAGATGGTTGTCTTACGTTTAATAAGGTATCCAAATGTATCCTTATATATTTATTTTTTCATAATTTGTAAGAAATACTTTAGAATTTCTTCAAGAAATATTTTTACAGGGTGAAGTGATTAGTGTTATTAGAAGAGTTGATGAAAATTGGGCGGAAGGCAAGCTTTTGGATAGAATTGGCATATTTCCATTGGCATTTGTAGAACTGAACAGTGTAGCACGAGCGTTAATGAAACTTTCAACAAAGTAATTTTATCATTTATGCTGTAAACATAATATTTCAATTTTAAATTGATCTAATTATATTCTTTTTAACCAGCACTCAGCCGGGTCCATCGAGAGTAGCACCTCCTACTCCAACAAACGAAGAAACTACCCCCTTAATACCGACCGACCATTCCCGTAACATACAACAGAATCTACGACGGCCCTTACTTGTGGTATTACAGCTTATTTATTAATTTTTTAATTTGTATAAGTTGAAATCACTCTTTCGATATATATTAAGACAAATGTATCTTTTAACAGGGACAAATGAATCCTTTAACAGTTTCTGACACAATTTCAAACGTGTCATCGGGCGGTAGTTCTTCAACTACAACTTCGAATACTCCGAATAGTTCTACTACATCTAGCAGTTCTAGTACTGCCCCAAGTAGTCCCAGTAGCCCGGCAACATCTCCTCCCGCAGTTGGAAATAGACATAACGTTAAGCGTCACAGCTTTACTGCTATCAATACTGGTCATCAGACTCATCCACATCATAGACACAGCGCCGAAATACTTAGCCCTCCGGTAGATAATGCTGTTGGTAGCAGCAATAATGGTTGCAACAACGATTCATTTTCTCCTGCACAGGTGTTAACTTATTCTTTTTCGTGATAGCAATACCTGGAATCTTTGAATATATATTTACATTGTATTATCTTTTTTTTTTAGATCAGTACCAGTGCTGCAGATCACAATCTCCGGCATAGACGAAGCGGTAGCAGCGATCTCGCTCTCGCACAAGCATCGCAAAGTTTATCCTCTACTACACCTGGAAACTCTAATTTACCAGCAGCATATATAGCACTGTATCCGTATAAACCTCAGAAAGCAGATGAGCTAGAGTTAAGAAAAGGTGGCATTTATATGGTAACAGAACGTTGTCAAGATGGATGGTTCAAGGGGACTTCGAATCGTACACAAAAGTGTGGAGTCTTTCCTGGAAACTATGTTGCACCTGCTAAGTATGTAAAATATTTATAGTATAAATATGTAATTTCTCGTTTTTAAATTATAACATTTTTATAGATGTCAACGCGGCTTATGCCGAGGATCGCCAAGTACAGGACAGCAACAAAATTTTTCATCATCAACGAGTCAAAATAATACCGAGTCACGAATGACTGTGACATATACCAAAAATAAAGGACCTGCTCCTCAACCTTATAATCCACGTACATTGTTACCTCCAGAATTGCCACCACGAGCTATTAGTCCATCCTCGGTGGTGTCATCATCTTGGCACGGTCAAAGTCAAACGCAGAGTCAAGAAAATGGCCCATCGCGGTGTAACGAACAAAATCCTGTTAATCCTCTTGGACGTAGTCACAGCGCTGTGATGTCATCAAATATCTGTATGTAATAATTATTTAAAACGTACTGGTTCAGTATGTGTAAAGTGTGTTTCTGCGTTTCAGCTTCTCCTGGTAAACAGGTAACTTTGCCGCAATCGTTAACCACCACAACTACTATCGCTGGTATCAGCAATAGTGCCACTGCCACTGCCACCGCCTCTTCCATCACCAATGAAATGAATAAAAGTCCGAACAATACTTTACGCGCAGTTGCTTCTCCTTCCGCTGGATCTGTTATTGCATCCAAAAATACTGAGAAGGTATATTCACATGTTTTTATTTTATTCGTACCAGCGAGTAATTATAACAATTTCAAATTTTAGCAAAAAGAAAAGAAAGATAAGTGCGTTTCCTTGATGCGTCGACTAACGAATATCAAAAAATCCAAGTCACCACCTCCTACTACATATTCAATGGATAATCCTGTCTTCGATGACGGTAACTCCATCAACCCAGTACACGTTCGGTAAGATTTTTTTTCTTCTATTATTACAACAATGAAAAAAAACTTGTGCTTTATGCAATTGTAATCTGTTAATTCAACGCGTTAAAGTTATGCTACAATTAAAGTATTAAAATAGAATAATTCTGAATAATCTGCATGTTAATGGCATACTTGATGTTTTATTAACAAGCCGCATGTTTCGTTATTCAGAATCATTTACATGTTCATGTACTTACATGTAAAATATGTGTACTGTTGTATATGTACTCTTATTATGTGTTACATAACTATTAAAATCACTGCATGATTTTTAGTATTAGCCACACAGATATAATTGAAGAAGTCAATTATACATAGTATGCAAAATAGTGTAACTTCTTAATTGTTTCTCTTATTCACTTCCTATTTTTTTTCTTTTTTTTTTTTGTTTTTGTTTAATGCAATGCGAACTGCACGTGTTGAATTATTTGTCTAATTCTACACGGGGGGTGGGTGGGTATATTTAAAATTAGATCGGGATCTTGTCCAAGTCAGTTGCTACAGGTGGGAGCTACACAGGAATTAAATGCTTCAAACAACCATCATCGTTTGTGTCCAGGCACTGTGCAGGGACACGTCACGTCTTCACAAAGACTTAAATACAAGGAGAGACCATCTTTATCGGTCTCAATCTTCCAGAGGTTAGTTGTTATTTATAAATATCAAATACATGGTTGACGAGCAGAATAAGTGAAAAAAATTAACGATTACAATAAAAAAAATTATCTAGCTTAATATATCTATCCAGCTGATACGTAAAATAGAAGTTGTTTGTTATCTTTTATTCAAATAACCTGTGTGTAATAATTGTGTGATGTACATGTCTAATAATATTAACATTTATAATTACATATATATATATATATATAATCTTGCTATACATAGGTAAGTATGTTAATGAAACTTTAGAAACATTAAAATTGCACAGTTACATTGATAGCATTAAAGTGTTAGATTTTGTGCCTGTTGTATGTATGTACTTAGTTTCACAGCTACTGTTATTTGTTTTGTTTTTTTCTTTTCAATTGTATATTTTCATTGCATGTTAAATACACATGCGTTTAACGTATAACTATTGTATATAGTTATTAAATATTCGTAACGAGTTAAAAGACATCTTGATTTTCGTTTATTCTTATCATTAACAGATCCAACGAATCTGGTGGAATGGCGTGTACACCGGTAGGAAACCATCACCGTAAAAGTAACTCTTTAGATGCTGGTATGGGAAAACAAATAAAGCAACAACCTTCTCGTGAACGGTATGATATATATTTAATTTTTATTATATTCTTTATTGATTTTCAATTAATTGAAATTTATTTTTTCAGAGAACGAGTATATAGATTCCGTTGTATTGTGCCATATCCGCCTAACAGTGAATTTGAATTAGAACTTCGAGTGGGAGACATTATTTATGTACATAAAAAGCGTGATGATGGCTGGTATAAGGGTACTCAGCAAAGAACTGGTCGTACAGGACTTTTCCCAGCAAGTTTCGTCGAAGCCTTCTGAGATACAGCTCAAAATCATCTGGTATTAGAGACTTGTATATAACTTCGCACAACTTGAAAGTGACTTATGATAAAGTTACTTTGTAAGCTTATTAATGATATAATCGATACGAGGGTAAGTAAGAAGAGTACGATTCAAATTGTGTAACTAATTTACACTTCAGTGCACTGAACTTACACTTATATACTATATGTAGTAAGTTTCCATAATTTTTTGTTATAATTATAACAACAAGAAAAATTGTTTAAATCATATAACGCATTAAGCATATTGAAATTCTTCAACGTGCATACTGCCAATTGTTAAGAGAAGAAAAGATTAAACAAAGTACGGAATTGTACTTTGTCAATACTGCCATTTGAACAAAAATATTAAAAATAATGTAATACTCTCTATTGTTCTTATTAGTATAAAATCAGCTTCATTAGTTAAAGTGTACCTAAAGAATCTTTGTTCATATGTACTAGTATCTTGAGAACAAAATGGGTAAAACGGCATTATTTTTACATAATTTGAAATGTTATCGAATTACGTATTATTATTGCATATATTTTTACTGATTTTGTGCAACACATTTTTTGTTTCACAAAAATTTTATGAACAAAATAGCATATTATAGTTAAGGTTTTGTTCAAATCTTACTAAGTTGTTGTTTTTCAAAGATATGTAGACAATATTTTGTGATATAAAATTGTATAAATTTTTAATAATTTTACCATTTTACTGTTTTTTTTTTTTTGTGTCTTAATGTGGTCAGCTTTGAGAAATATTTTTTTACAAATATATGCTTCGTCTTAATATTTATGATTAAAAGTATGCATATAAAATATTTTCTTGGGGGTAAGTTAATTGTTAACATCCCTCGTTTTATACAGGAATATGTAAGTTTGAGAAATCATTTTGAATGACATAAAAACGTTTCTATTAAACATGTGGTTGTCAAAGACTGGCCTATATTTTTACATTAGTTAAGTAGTTATCAGCAGAAAAATTAATTATATAATTAATGTTTTTAGTAACATTATCTTTATACTTATACCATACAAATGAACTCTCTTGATTTATGTGGAGACGATGTACATGTTCGTACAGAATAACAAATTACATCGTTAAAAGCCAATTTCATGTAATTATATAATTATAGGGAATTATAAGTATCTATTGACGAGCTTCCAGAGGCCGAATAATATCAGTATTTAGATGGAAACTTGTTACTTTCCCACATAATGTTATTTACAATCATGCACAAATATCTATAAGTAAGATTTCATATATGTTGACATTTTTATTTTTACACTACAAGTATGTTAATTTTTAACTAATGCTTACCATTCATAGATTACATAAGAATATGTAAAGATAATTATATAATACCATCAGTTTTATAAAATTTAACAAGCATTCATAAGTCTGAACATGTATTGTCCTTCTACATATGTTGTAATTTATTTAATTTATAAATTCATGTTTTATTATGAAAATTTGTTTTATACAAACTAACTATTATACGTGTACGTATATACACAAGCGCACATATGCGCATTCGATGTAGAAATAAGATTATGGAAGAAGAAAAGAATGGTATTACACGGCATGAACCAATGATGCCATTTAATTTTGTTTTACTGTTTCTCTGATAGCAATATATTTTAGTATATTGTTTTCCAACTTTCAATAAATTTGAACTTTACTTTGATTATAAAATAATTCATATTTTATATTTGAAACAAATCCCTTTATTTTTTTTCAATACACAATTTTCTTTTCTTCTTCCTCTGGTACTAAAGAAAGATATGTTTTATCATATTTAGCAATATAAATACACAGTATAAAATGTATTTATATCCTATGTGTTTTATATAATATAAAACTAAGTAATTTATTATTATTAATAACGATAATACCTTATAAAAGGAACATTACTTCATTATAGCAGATAAATTTCAAATAATAATACAACTAGTAATAATATACATTGATGTATGTGGTAATGAAATTTTATCAAAATTTGTAACGTGTATGATTTATTCAGTCGTACATTTTATATGATTTACCTATTTTCGTTTGAAGCATGACATATACATCTAAAAATAAGCAGCATGCAGAATGAGTGTTGCCTATAATTGTAAATAAAATACAATACCACAGCAAAAGCTTAAACATTCTTTATGATATTCTTCTGCAATAAATAGTAAAATCAAAGATATTGTACTCGGTTTTTCATAATATGTATAATTTTTGTACAAGAAAATTTTTGTAATAGCAACATTGTTCAAAAATTAATCATTTGTACACAAGCAATAACTAAATTAATTTTTGTTAAGCATTAATGTAATATTTTTGTCCTTCCATTAGGATAAATACTTTTACCTGTTGATTATTAGTTGTACATATTATTTAGTAATTTATATTTTGCCACAAACTATCATAGCAAATTTCTTTAGACATTGTACCCAATATAATTTAGAAGCCATAAAATTAACATTTAAGTATTAAATAAAACGTGTAGTAAACTTCTACAAGTAGCTGTTGTAAAATATTATATTTAAAAGTAATTTTTCCCCTATGACACTGTAATTGATTCATTATTAATAAACTTTACTATATATGGAAAAGAGATTCAATGATTATGTTAATACTAATACAGTGAAATTAATTTCTTTTTCATAGAATTATATAATTATAATGTAAAAAAAAGAATGTAAAATTTTATTTATCAAAAAGATATAGGTAATTATCAAGAATAAAAAACTTTTGGTCTGTTTTAAGTTTAAAAATATTTAGCGATATAGCAAACGAAAATGTCAGTACATTTTGTTACGTAAAAAATGAACTTCATATTCATGAAATGCAAATATTTTGCAACATAGTTGTATACATTTATATTGATAACATGCAAATTCATAGAGGATTATGTGCGTGAAATGAATCGTTCAAAGATCAGTCCGTTTATCGTAAGAGAAGATGTATATGTAATTCAGTGTGCTACAGTAGCTAGCGGAACACTCAATCATTAAGCGGCTGTAAGTTTTTTTTTTATCTCTTGATAACGTCAGCCAGCCATATACGAATAGAATTAAGTTTGAACTACAATTTATTGCACATACATTAAAATGTCGTGTAACTGATAACAATAATTTATACAATCTAATTATATTCGTATTTGTGTTTACTGATAATAGAAATAAGGTACAATTAAGCAGTGACTTAAAACTTTATAATAAGGAATTCTTGTATTCCTTTTTTTGATTTATTTTTACCATTGATATTATTTTAATAAAAGATATCATCCTGCTCAGTTAAATTCGAGAGTTCCTATTTATACTGATTTTTAACAATTTGTGTGCATTAAGTAACCGAAATATTGCAAAATGTAATGATTCTTGAGTAATTTGCCGTGTGTTCTTTTGAAATAATGTAAAAATAAAAAGTGAACGTGTAAGTGAAATTTGATATTCGCGCTTGGCAACTTATTTGCGGATGTGTTCATTGGTGTATATGTATACAAGCGAATGACAGCGAATGACAGGGAGCTGTTAGAGAGGGAAAGACAATTTAGTATATTAACGGATAAAAATGTCATTAGAAGGGTCAATTGATTTTAAGTAACTATCAGGTTGTACTTTATTCTTTCACACAGTCCCAAATGTACGTAAAGGAACATTAATAACCAAGATGCAAAGAACTAAAGTAAATCGTAATTTCTAAGTAGTAATAATTTATACATATTGTTATGTTCAAGTATGTATATGTACATGTACTTATTTTTACTTAATGCACCAATATTTTGTTAACCTATTTGAAGTATTAATAATATAAAGTTTTGACGGTATTGTATTATTACTGCTAGCAATCAGTCCCAACAAATTCTTTAAATATAACAGAAATTTACTTTAAACAATGATTGTTGGGAGAATTTTGCTGTCTACCCTTGCAAGAGCACCACTAATTTCTTATGGACAATCACAGCTATTAAGGCCGAAACAAGATTTGGTAATGTAAATTTATAATATTATCACTTTGTCTTTCTAACATTACATTTTCTAATAGTTGTTATCTTTCCTGATTAGGCTCTATTTTTACTGGTGGGTAAAGTGTCCAATTATCACGTAACGAAGAATATTGAACATATTGTACAAGATAAGCGAATTAAAAATCACAATGGAATAATTCAGCAATATAATAATGTGAAAAATAGACCACTGTTAATTTTACTTAGCTGGTTATTATCAAAACGTAGACATGTTATGAAATACATGAATTTATACAAGGAACAGGGTTTTGATATTGTAGTAATATCAATTACCCCTTGGCAACTAATGTGGCCTACGAAAGGATCCAGGGTAAGTACAGAAAATAAAAACTATTAACTATCATGTTTATTATGATTTAATTTGGCAAACTTCTCTTTTAGCTAGTTGCTGCAGATCTATTAGAATTCTTAGTAAAACATACAAATTATGAACAAATACTATTACATGGATTTTCGGTGGGTGCATATATGTGGGGAGAAGTATTAGATTTAATAAAGAGTGACCCTGAGAAATATAGTAATATAATTGATAGAATTGTTGGTCAAGTATGGGATAGCGTGGCTGATGTATCTGAACTGTCAATAGGCACACCACGAGCAATATTTCCAAAAAACGAGATGTTACAAAATATGCTACAAAAATATATGGAGTAAGCTTGTCTTCTACTGCAATAACATATATATATATTTCAAAATTATAATCCTTTTAAATACATGTATATTAAAATAATTTACAGGTATCATTTAAAAACATTTTACAAGCAATCTACTCAATATTATATACGTTCTAGTCAATTATTTCATACAAATTTGGTACATACTCCAGCATTATTTCTCATGAGTAATACAGACCCTGTAGGTTCGGTAACTAGTAATATGAGAGTACGCGATACGTGGGATACTTTGGGTGTAAAGGTAAGACCTTATTTATATATAAAACAAAGATTTTGATTTATTATTTTCACCTAAATACATTTCAGACTTATGTTAAAATATTTGAAAACTCTCCACATGTTGGGCATTATCAAAAATACCCAAAAGAATATGTTGCTGAGTTGTATGCCTTTTTAAATAAATTAAACTTAATTAAAAATGAAGAAAGAATGAGATCACATCTATGAATGTGATATATTATGTCTAATCAATTATATTATAATATAGCATTATATTTATCAAATATATAATCATTTGATACGTATTTAATTTCTATAGAAATGAATTTCAAGATAAACAAGCGCCAAAATGGGTATTAATAATTAATTAGAACTTTTGACTTAATTGTTTTGGGCTGTGTTTTATTGGCTGTAAATGAAAATACAACTGTGCAATGATGAAAAATATAGTAATTCAAAATCATGATAATTAAAGTGTTCATACGAAAACATATATGGATGAATTATAATTATACTTATTTTTTAAATTTCATATTTAGAAAATAGAAATTTATATGCATCAACACTTATTTCTTATTTACAATTATCTTAATCTTTATAGAGTACAGAATTGCACAGTATGTGATACAAATACGTGCCTTTTATATAATAAGTATGAATATGTAGTTATAAAAATAGTTCAAAACGGTATTAATCTTTGTAATATGTACACTTTCAAAAGTAATAAGATCTAATTATATTTTACTTATTCGTTTTTATCAATGTCTTTCTTTTTCGATTTGTAACGTTTTTTCTTTTCTAAAATCTCTTCAATTTCATCAGGATCCTTGCCTTCAAGAATAAGCTTCTTACGTTTATTAATCATTCTCTTTTCATAAAAGTCTGTTTCGTCTAATTTCATTTCCGCCTCTCGTTTAGCAACAGATATTTGTGTCAGGATTGTAATTATCTCCTTATCTATAAAATATGTGTTATGTGCTATGAATATGCTTTTACTTTTTACTTGATTGAAAAATCAAACATAAAAACATGTATTACCATTGACTTTATATTCTGTCAATTTTGTTCCAATAGCATCCTCGACAGCATGTAGCAATTTAATATCAGATGGTGTTATTAGGGTAACTGCCATACCTCTTTTACCTGCTCTAGCTGTTCTTCCAACTCTGTGAATGTACTCTTTCGGTACATTTGGTATAATATGATTTACAACTAATTCAACTGTGGGGATATCTAAACCTCTTGCCGCAACATCTGTAGCTATTAAAATTTTTATATGGTTTGACTTAAACTGAGTAAGTGCTGCAAGACGATCTTTTTGTTTTATCATTGCATGCAGAGCCACATTTTTAAATCCAACATCATTTAACATCATAGACAGTACTTGACAGTTCCTAAAAGGTAGAGAATGATAACTTACTGATCATGCTTAAATTACATTCATCCATCTATCAAATACTACACATTTCATTTTACTTGCAGGTGTTTGTAAAAATCATTATAGATCCATCTTTGTTTGTTACTCTAAATGTTTTTATTGCTTCTACCAGAAAAGAATCACGGACATCACTTGGACAGAGCACATAACGTTGATCAAGTTCCTTTACTGTAGCCACACCAGATATATCTTCAGATTCCCAAATGAAAGCCTAAAAATAATTAGTGAAACCATTTAAGATAGCTTGTTATGTCTTAATTGGTTAACATTCATAAAATTTTACAATACCTTATTAGATACTATATCTTTTACTTTGTCAAGGGTATCAGTCATTGTTGCACTAAAAAGAAGCATTTGCTTTTGTTTAGGTAATGCATCAAATATAACTTTCAGTTGCTCATCAAAATGTCCTTCTAATAATCTATCAGCTTCATCTAAAACTAAGAATTTTATTTTCTTTAGAGTAAATGTATCACAACTTGTTAAATGATCAGCTAATCTTCCTGGAGTTGCAACAACTATGTGTGGATGTTTTGATAACTCTAAACCTTGTATGACCATATCCATACCACCGACAATTACACATTTTTTTAAACCAATAGATTTCCCTATTGCTGAAAATTGGTCAGCAATCTATAAATATAAATATTTATTGTTAGCTAGGCAAATATAAAGTATCTGTGCATTATAATATATTATTTTACATACTTGGAAAGCAAGTTCTCTGGTTGGTGTTAAAATGAGTGCATAAATGCCATAGGGATCTTCAGATAATTTTTGTAATATAGGAAGTGCAAAGGCAAGCGTTTTACCACTGCCAGTTTTTGCGCAACCAATGCAATCATCACCTGCTACAATTCTTGGAATACAATTCTGCTGAATTGGCGTTGGATTTTTTAAACCTAAAATAAGTAACAGTATTTAAATTTGTTGGTTTATTTATGAACGTTTAAAATTACTTCTTACCCATAAAATTACACTGATTAATAAGCCATGAGCTTAAGTTTAAGTCTGCAAATGTCATCATTTCTATTATTTATTTAAAAATTAAGCTTGTTTCTAATTGCATATAATCATTGACCACATCACTGCATGCTTTTACATCCTTGCATCCTTTTGTAAGCATCCCATCATAGCGCCGCCTGGCGGTAAAAAAAGGAACTAAATCATGCAAACATTTTGGCCCCCTAGCGGCAAAAATGCGAACTAAATTTTCGACCTCGAATCAGCGCCCTCTGAGAACAGAAAAAGGAACTAAAGCATGCAACAATTTTGGCCCTCTAGCGGCAAAAAGGTGAACTAAATTCTCGGCCTCGAACCAGCGCCCTCTGGGAACAGAAAAAGGAACTAAAGCATGCAACAATTTTGGCCCTCTAGCGGCAAAAATGTGAACTAAATTCTCGACCTCGAATCAGCGCCTTCTGGCGGCAGAAAAGGGAACTAAATTTTGCAAAAATTTAAATTTAAAATTATTTTTCACGAGACTTTACTTTCCTTTACTTACCTTTACTTACCTTTACTCGAACCAGTGGCCATAAGTATATTATTTATATAGTTATTATAAGGGTTGAAAGGATACAAGAGATGCAGGGAGAATTCAGGAGTGTAAGGGATACAGAGATATAAAGGGTACAGAGATGTAAGGGATACAGAGATATAAAGGGTAGAGAGATGTAAGGGATGCAGGAATATAGGTAATGTAGTGATATAAGGGATACAGGGATGTTAAGGATGCAGACATGTAGGGGATGCAGTGATAAAGGGTTGGGCCTCGTGAGGCCCTTAAAGACAAAAACATAATAAATAACTGCGAAGGTTGAGCCGAGGCCCATGAAGAGGGATAAAATAATAAATGATTTGAGAGGGCGGTCCACGCGGGGCCCGAAAATAGGGGTAAAATAATAAATAAAAGGATAAAGTAATAGGCAAGGCACACAGATGTAATAGAATCAACACGTTCATGTTCCTAATAAGTTTATTCAATAAGCTAAGAAGATAAATACAGCAAATCCTTCCTTTTAATAACGCGGTAACATGTCTGTGAGTGAACTATATTAATTAAATTATAGTAGGTTTCTTGTTAAACTGAGCAATTATTATTGTAATTGTTTGACAAACTTGTATTCACTTCATGCACTTTGGTAAATAAATCATTTGAAAAAAGCAACTGAGTTATTATTTTATTTACCCAATTTTATTTCTGAGTTATTTATTTAATGCTCGTAATGTCTGTTCTCAGCTATTTATTCAATTGACTTAAATTATTCTACCATTTTAGTTATTGAATGTACTTAACTTCGTTTCGGGGTCCCTGACACCCCGGATGGCATAATGTTAGTATACAGTGTCGCCGGTGCCTCGGGGTCCCGAATACCCCAAAATGATATGTCAGTATACAGTGTCGTCGTTGGTGCCTCGGGGTCCTGAATACCCCAAGATGATATGTCGGTATGCAGTGTCGTCGGTTCCTCGGGGTCCCTGATACCCCTGATGCCAGATTGTCGGTATGCAGTATCGCTGGTGCTTTGGGGTCCCGAATACCCCAAGATGATATATCAGTATGCAGTGTCGTTGGTCCATCGGGGTCCCGAATACCCCGAGATGATATTCTACCACTTTAGTTATTGAATGTAGTTAACTTCGTTTCGGGGTCCCTGATACCCCTGATGCCAGATTGTCGCTATGCAGTATCGCTGGTGCTTTGGGGTCCCGAATACCCCAAGATGATATATCAGTATGCAGTGTCGTCGGTCCCTCGGGGTCCCGAATACCCCAAGATGATATTCTACCTCTTTAGTTATTGAATGTAGTTAACTTCGTTTCGGGGTCCCTGATACCCCGGATGCCAGATTGTCGGTATGCAGCGTTGCTGGTGCTTTGGGGTCCCGAATACCCCAAGATGACATGTCGGTATGTAGCATCGACGGTACCGCGGGGTCCCGAACACCCCAAGATGATTGTCGGTTTGCAGTGTCGCCGGTGCCTCGGGGTCCCGAACACCCCTAGATGATTGTCGGTTTGCAGTGTCGCCGGTGCCTCGGGGTTCCTGATACCCCGTATGCCAGATTGTCGGTATGCAGTATCGCTGGTGCTTTGGGGTCCCTAACACCCCAAGATGATATCGTTCTTTTTCAAGGCACAAATTTACGATTCTTTGAGAACCACGGCATGTCATCGGTAGGGGGTGCTAACAGTGTTGTTTACAAAACTCCGTAACATGGTTCATTTAAATAAGAGTGACAGTTTGTATAAAAGAAAGGAGTTTCCTTGACGCTGCTCAAATATATACTGGCTGTATATAACTTCCTTCCCGGTACCATAATATAAATTTTAATACAGAAGAAAAAGAAAATCATACAACATGTTAGGATTTGATAACTTAGAGAAAGCTGTTGTAAGTTTGAGCAAAAGTATCTCTAATTTCCCTATTGGCGCGGTTTCCTTGAATGATTTCAAACCGATCGAAGAAAGGATTAGAGAGACACGAAAAACCTTAAAGGCCTTAAATGCCAGGTTATTAATGCTTAAAACACAAAGTGAATTTCGTATGTTATATAAATATTTATCCGAAGAAAGAGTTTGTTTGTATGAAATTCATTTGATATTATTTCAGAAACCAATGAATCAGAGGATGATATAGCAGATACGATAACAGAATTGAATGATGCTACATCATATGTTTTCTTAAACAGTATGAAAACTAAACTATGTTTTCATTCCTTTACTATTCGAGATATCTTAGCAGGCAAACAAGGAGATCCTAATATGGAAGAGTAAGAAAGAATAAAATCTAAAATATAAGTCTGTAGAGTATAACGCTTAGTAATTTCAGTATTCTGTTTCAGAAAAATTTATGCCTGTATGCATAAAATATTTTCCATTAATGATATTGCATTGTCACTGCTAAAGGATATAGATGAAGCAAGAAATAAACAAATTGATTTAAAAGTCAAATGTAGATATGTATTAATTAAATATAAAAGGTTTTTAAAGGAGCAAGAGGAAATTTGCAACAAAAAATTACAAGAAACAAATCCTCATATGGCATTGTATTAATGATATTAATAATTAATCAATTATTAGCAATTAATGATATTTTTAATTAATTTCTCTTTTCATTTTTCAGAAATAAAGCTAAAACAATGAAGGCTTTAAAAAATATAAATATCATGAAGAAATTGATTGTGGATTTCATTGGTGCTGCCTATTACATGTTACACGATCATATATTTTTAGTAGAAATGCTAGAAAAACATAGGGAATTAATTAATATTGATACAATTTTAAAAATGGCTGAAAGAAATATAGAACCCGAAAGTACAGCAATAGAGGATTGAAGTTATTGTTGATATATTTAAAAAGAAAACATGAAATATAATTACTTTGCTATAAGAAATGTATATTTAAATCTCTACCTTATATTTTGTACCCCTTTGATTTACTGCATTAATTTAACTTGAAGCTCTGAATGCAATTCTTTATTACAATAACGTGTAAAGAAAAAAAGAAGGAAAAACAATTACATAAATCAAAAAAGAAAACATCCATGATATTCAATAAGAACTCTTTTCTTGTTTTTCTAAGTGTGCAGACACAACACATATTTACAGGGAAAAATTTCGCGCAATATCAATGTCTTTTTTTTTTTTTTCAATTCTATTAAAGCGACTTTATCAGACGGTTTTATACGTATATTAATTGATAAATAACAGTTTATAAGCCAATGATTATGAGTTGAAAGATAGGATTTCGATCACAGCTTACAAGTACGATAAAAATGCAGGGGAGAGTGGTGCACATTCGTCGACAAGACTAATGAAAAACTTGTTTCAATTTCATAAATTATACTCCATCATTTGTGAATGTAACATTTGAAATTTTTTATGGTCCAGTACGTCTTTCAGTCTCGTGTATTTTCAACATTAGGATGTAAACCGCTCTCCACCTTTCTTACGCTTACTGGCGTAAATACAGAATCAATCGGAAATAGTACTCAAACAATTTAATTCTTATGTACATTAATTTCTTATTTCTTTTCTTTTTTTCGTCTTTAATATGTTGTTGGTTTCATAAGTGGAAAGAAAACGAATCCACTAATATTATAACAAAAAGCACGTTAAAAGTGAACAATTTCATTTCATTCATGTAGAATATCCTCGCAAAAAACTTCGGACATCCGTTTTTCTTCTCGTGTATGTATGTATATATATGTATGTGTGAGTGTATCTTCCGAGTACAGACATGTTACGAAATGGACAAAAAACACTTCGAAGCATATTCGATATCTTTAAATTGTCTCTATAAATTAGCAAATGGAATAATTACGATTTTCATGCTTCTTCGTCCGATTTCGTCGCAAAGAACACATCCACGTTTCGCTGACATTATTAAGATTACGTGGTAATAAAATTAGTCGGGTCACTGTCCATCGTCTGACAGTTATTAATTACCATAATAATACAGCTTATTAATGTCATTAATCGCCATTACTGATATAGTTCATGTATATATATATACACATATATAATATGTATAATGTTTATATAATTTGAAGCTGATACATCTCCTCGATACCCAACATTTCACAATTCTCATTAACTTTTCTCTCGTGTCCATCGTTAGCGTACAATCTATCCATTCCAATAAACTTCTATTTACAAAATTAATCGACGCACTCGATTTCTTTCTGTTTCGTCTGATAGCACATCGGTCTCCTCCTCGCTATATCGATAAACATCTCAAAATTTCTATAACAGCATCAATCTCACACACTCATTATTACATGGTTCACACTATTTTTTTTTTCTGTAATGCACATGAGCTGCCAATTCCATACAAGTGGCAAAATAATCATTGAACACAAGCTACATAATCCTTTAGCAACGGATACACGCTAGAAAAAAAAAAAACTATAATAGTTAAAACGCTAAAAGGCAATACATTATCTAAATCACGTTTGCGGTGTCGCGGATGAGAAAACATCGGTATAATAATGAAAGCACGACACATCGGTTACACGGTTTTCAATGCAATTTCATTTAAATTAAACGTCGCTAATCGTTTCGAAGCGAACATTTAGAGAAAGAAAAAATAAAAATGTATTATTCGACGTTTAGTTGCTTCACAACGAAAGACAACGAGTTGGAGATACAATGGAACGACTTGGAAGAGATCCCAAAACTTCACAGGTGATACGTGAGAGTGACGAAAGAAACGATTAAAAAAGAAAATATCGGTACAGAAAATCATAAAAAGGTATCACGTATCATCTATGCATCGCTTTGCGATCAATTCGAGTCACGACACGACGTATTCGCGTGTCGCATCCTTCGCGAATAATCCGCCATTTTGTATTGCAACTTACTCAAAGCGAGGAAATGAAAGACACGTACACACGGTGATCTTGGTCCGATCTGTTCGCACCAATTTACAAATATACAAATAATCGCATTCAAACTCGTCGTTTCATCGTCAATAATGGGATCGTTTCGTCATTCGGACGAGGATAACAGCCATCCCGTGCAACGAGTACAAGAACAAAGAAAAATAAAATAAAGGATTCAAAAAAAAAAAAAAAAGAAGATATCTCATCCTAGGTCGGACAGAAAAATGTTTCTTTTTTTTTTCTTGTTCGCTCACAACCATACTTAACCAGCAGTCAGTCGTGTTGTATTTAAAAACTGGTGACGCATGAAAAGTCGACTAAAAAAAAACTACAAGCTAAATTGCAACATAGTTGCAGCATAATCATGCCAACGACTCGTGGCAGGGTAGCTTCATAAATATGGAGTCTTTTCTTTTCACAAGACTCCCCCCCCCCCTCCTCACCACATACATACAATCATTCTTACATTTTCACAGGTGTTTCCCCCTTACACAAATACTATCTTTCAAATCTGAAATTTGTTAACTAATGAACAGGATGTGGCGGAAACGTGATACAAGTAAGTACAGCTTGTACCAGGGCTTTCGTCGCAACCTGCAGACGGTAATCATGGAATTTGAATGCATGTACGTTTCGTATTCTATCAAGAGATCATACAGACGGCACCGTCGACAACACAAGAAACATTAGTTTAAGTATTGGAATAACACCAAGGCTCGTTCTCTCTCTCTCTCTGGACGCGAAAACATCCACAATAGGGATGCGCGGATACCCGATATTACGGACTCGGGCGGACTCGGAAAAAATCGGGCGGGTTCGGGCGTCCGATACACGCGTGCAGTCGGGTTCGGTCGGGTACCATCGAGTTGATTCGGACGAGCTCCCGCTGGCCGCGTCCCGCGGTCCAACTCTCATGTACTTGTTAATACTTGCAATAAGCATGTGCAAAATCTGTTTTATATCGAATTTTGGAATAAGATAATTTGGGAGCACGTCCAAATCTGCCCGACTGTACCCGACTGAACCCGAAATAGTCGGGCTATTCGACTGTACGCATGTATCGTACGCCCGCCCGAGCCCGTCCGATGTTTTCCGAACCGACCCGACTAGTCGGGCCGCACATCCCTAATCTACACTGAAGGATAAACGTCCTTCCTTCTGACCATTGTTCTCTCTATAACATTTCTTTCATTCTCCCATTCGATTCGCCTTTCTTCCACTTTCTCTCGATTCGCATTTTCCTACACCGGTCTCATTTTCATTCGCTCTTTCCCCCCCGCCACTGTACAAGAAACCTGAACGTCCGACGATTGTTCGACGACCAGTTGCTCTGGCAAGCTTACAAAAAGGAACACAATGCTCCCGGTTTTCGCGTTCAGTGGGAAGATACAGATACAACGAGAGAGAGGAAATCCAGAGAGTTTAATGGTTCAGCTTTTATCTCGATTTTTAAGCGTATTACTTGAAGACATCCGACGGCTAGTTACAGCGTGATATCAGGTGTGCAGAAGCATGCCGCAACGCTTCGTGATACGCTCTCTCTAAGTACATCGATTCATCATTTTTCTTTTTCATTTTCCTCGTAATCGTCGACCATTTAATTATCGGATACAACGTGTACGGATACATTAACAGGGTGCGTATCGGTATGGTTCGGTAGCGGGGTACGAAATCGTTCGCCAGAGTAATTAGCACAAGTTCGGACCATCGAACACGACGAATTTAAGGCTCGCCCTCTACTTTCACGAATTACATTCTTTCGCCTACAACGTCTCTTTAACGCGTCGATTGCCACGGCTGTTCAATTAAAAGAATACCACTAAAATTACACTAGCAATTCGAAACAGCAAACCGAAGCGTTATAATAAAAAATTAATAATGAACCTTCGAACAGCGGAGCTGAATCAATTACAATTCAAAGGAAATTTTAATACGAAACAGATTCGTATATTGAAAAATAAAGACTAAAGTTTAGAAAATTTAGAAAACCTCATCCGCCGTACGAAAGTTAATATTTACAATGGTAATCAACGCGTTAATCGTTTTGGTCGAAAATTAACTAACACGCGTTCGCTGAAATTTTACTATAAAAATTTCATAAAATGTATTCCCCTTAAATTTCTGTACCGTAATAAAAAGTAATGATGACGGACGTAACACGATTGATCAGATCGTATCGCGTTGATAATTAAACTTTTCTGATTGCAAAAAGTTAATATGTGTATTTTTGCAAGAAGAATAACATCTGTGCCGACTAGCCGATTAAACGGATTTTTTTGTATCTTTAATTTTCTTGATTACTAATTGTTCGTTTTGTTACAAATTCGTGGTCACTCTCTCTCTTCAAGTGGACGAGATTTTATTCTACGACGAAAAAACTGTACACATCAATTATTACCTCTAATCTCTTTCGCTCATTCTTTTTCTTTTTGTTCTCATTTATCAGTCAACGGCGATCTAACAAGACATAAAGATATTAGCGTAACAGTTTCAACTTTCATTATCGTTATTTCCTTTATCAGTTAACGACAGTACATTTACGGCTGCATCTACTGATATACTTATGGCGATACATGTGTTTACTTTCGAATAATAACCATTTTTACTTCTTTGTACATCTATGTGTGTAGTATAACGTTATCGGTAATATTTGTAGATATGAACATGATTTATTTTTTTTTTTTTGTCATTCTTTTTTTTTTATTAGAAAAGCTATCTCTCTGTATATCCATGTTCTCGATAATAAACGATTAGCAAAGAATAAAAGGACGTTTTGTGACAACGCGTTATAGTTATCATAATAAATTCTATATCGTTTTATGTTCTAAACACGTATGTACCATCAGGGATTATTCTAACTTCGAGATGTAATGAATTTCATATTAACACGTGTTTCGATCAGTTTGTTATTTATCAGTCTGCAAATAAACGAACAATTGCGAGTCCTTGAATATGCGACAGATTTCGTTCGAGTATTAAGAAAAAAAAAAAAAACATTTATCGAAAGATTTCTAACAGTTATAGTTTTGACAGAGATCGTTGGAAATTTGTAACAAAACTTCGTAGGATTGATAATTTTTTTTCTTGTTCGTTTAATCGGCAGGGCTGACAAAGATCCTTTTCTTCTTCTCCTTTTTCTTCTTCTTCTTCTTCTTCTTCAATTTCGCGTTAAGTATCTCTTCATTGCTAGAGTGCTTTTTTGAGAATCACCCATAGGAATTTTTGTGTAACACTTCGCAAAGTTCATCTTTCTCTGTTTTAGCAATCAGTAATTAACATTCGAAGGAAATTCTGTTGTTTATAACGCGGATGGTAAAATGATTGAATTTTAAAATCAAAAACCTATATTGACGTAAATATATTCAATTACAGGCATACTTTGGTTCTCATTTCGTTACATTTCTAATATAATTTCATCTAAATGTGTTAACACGCGTGTTCCAAGGATAAAAAAAGAAATTCCTCTGCAATAGACGGTTGATTCAAGAAATGATTTTGAATCATCGCGTTTTCTGGTAGAACACGGATCAACTGTATCAATTACAGTATACAATTGTTGATCTAAGTTCTATTCAATTTTTCACGAGTAGATAATACGATCTACGGACATTAATTCTTCTTTTTTTGCTTCCTCGTTTCGATATGTTATATAAAATGTGATTTCAATTATTTCTGCGACGTGTAACTCGTTTTTTTTTTATTACAAGGTAATTGCACGGAAGGCATGAAACCGAAATATCGATTCTCTTCTTAAAAGACTCGTACAGCCGCTTCGATGAAGCTCGTTAAATGATACATGATCAACGAAAATGTAAAGTAGCTTCGCAGTAAAATAGCTCTCGGATATATTACGTACAGTCAAGTTTCGTATATAATTCTGTGCTTACGTAGAACAACGATAGGCAGTGTGGGCATAAGAAATCGTTGTTAAAAATAAAATTAGTTTAAAAAAAGAAGACGAGGAATTAACTAAAATACGGTGAGCGTGATTACAGCGCGATGTTCGCAGTTATCTAATGAAAAAAGCTATAATACTGTTATAAATTCTATAAAAAAAAAAAAGAACCATTCGTTTGAACAATTGATACACTCTTTGGGAGGAAAAGAACATTTTAAGAAAGTCTAAATTATGGACTCGTGATCGTTGAGGAAAAAGAACCAAGAATACTAAAACGATCTTAAATTAAACGTCTTTATCATTTCGGTTTCATGCCTTTCCAGTCGATCGGACTTGAAAAATTCTGTTTACGTTTAAACTTCGATACAAGCGGGAACACGGTACGTTCGTTAATCCGGGAGAGTTTGATATATTTTTCTTTTATTTTGTAAAATGAGATCTCAGCTTGGATTGATTTACGATTTAATACACGCATCGTAATACATGTAACAACGAACTAACAACGGCGTTGTTTCAAGACCGCCATAGTGTGTGGTACAAGATGAGAGAGAGTCGTAGGCACAAACACGTTCTTTCACCATCGGCACGTCAATTCCTTCTTCTAATTCTTACACACGTAGGTGGAACCGATTTCCCGGCCGCTAAACAATCCGATCAGCAGTGACAGGTTTACAGTGTTTTACAATCGGTAACATCGACATTGACAACGATGTTTAACCATTAAGCGATTATCGTACACGTAATGACAATGATAAATCGTACGATCCTAATAATAATAAGAATAATAAAATAATAATGATAAGAATAATAATAGAGGATAATCTTAGTAGTAATGATAATAATAATAATAATCAAGAGGAAAAAGAAGAAGAGCAAAGTTAATCCTGATGATAATAATAATAATAATCGTAATAATAATAATAATGAGAATAATAGCAATAGTAGTAGCAGTAATAACGATGGCTGTCTGGTTGTTGTTTCATTTGATAAGGTCGACGGCACGACGACATTGCGACGATGGTGTTCACCACCGAATCCTGAGAAGCGGGCCGACTTCCGGCACGTAGCAAAGTAACGGGCCCCCTTTCCGGATCGTCTGCAGCTTCTCTGTCCACCTTATCATCTTCTATTCCACCGATTCGCACTGCAGCGACACGTTTCCCAACATCACATGTACTATTACACGCACACTGTACTGCCCCCCTAAGATCGACGATAACAGACAGTCACTTTTGTCTTCCACTTTTCTTCTTCTTCCGTTTGAAGAAGCAACAGCATCTGCAAATAAAGCAAACACTAATAGGACTTAGAGTCGTCTTCTTTTTCATCGCCTTATTCTATGACACCAACATGCAAACCACGACAAAACATTCCAAAGCGGCGACAAAATCGAGAGAGCTTGCTTTCTCCATCCAAATCTCCCATAGTAACAACGTTTTATCATCCAGGACATGAAGAAACGTGATTGACAGAAAATAATTCTAAACGAGGAGAGCACGATCTTTTCAACAGCGAACTTCTATGAGGTCCGCGCTCAGAATTATCAAAATTTACAAATTTTAAATGTAGATAAAATTTCGAAGATCGTACGCTCCTCTTAAGGATTTATAATTTCCAAATTATCTAATACTGATCAAAGTATACAATCTAACGGCGGGGGAAAAGGAAGAACGGTTCTATAAAATAATTCTAAACGAGGAGAGCACGATCATTTCAACCGTGAACTTCTATGAGGTCCGCGCTCAGAATTATCAAAATTTACAAATTTTAAATGTAGATAAAATTTCGAAGATCGTACGCTCCTCTTAAGGATTTATAATTTCCAAATTATCTAATACTGATCAAAGTATACAATCTAACGGCGGGGGAAAAGGAAGAACGGTTCTATAAAATAATTCTAAACGAGGAGAGCACGATCATTTCAACAGCGAACTTCTATGAGGTCCGCGCTCAGAATTATCAAAATTTACAAATTTTAAATGTAGATAAAATTTCGAAGATCGTACGCTCCTCTTAAGGATTTATAATTTCCAAATTATCTAACACTGATCAAAGTATACAATCTACGGCGGGGGAAAAGGAAGAACGGTTCTATAAAATAATTCTAAACGAGGAGAGCACGATCATTTCAACCGTGAACTTCTATGAGGTCCGCGCTCAGAATTATCCAAATTTACAAATTTTAAGTCTAGATAAAATTTCAAAGATCGTACGCTCCTCTTAAGGATTTATAATTTCCAAATTATCTAACACTGATCAAAGTATACAATCTACGGCGGGGGAAAAGGAAGAACGGTTCTATAAAATAATTCTAAACGAGGAGAGCACGATCACTTCAACCGCGAATTTCTATGAGGTCCGTGCTCTGATTTATCAAAATTTACAAATTTTAAGTCTAGATAAAATTTCAAAGATCGTACGCTCCTCTTAAGGATTTATAATTTCCAAATTATCTAACACTGATCAAAGTATACAATCTAACGGCGGGGGGAAAGGAAGAACGGTTCTATAAAATGATACGTGTACAGTCAGGTGATTATCGAACATTATATTTTGTCTTTATGTTGCATAAAAGGAAGTTCCGTAATGGCCAGTTGTGTCGGAATAATAAACCAAGTTCAGGGATCGTTCTAGGATCGGCATTGGACGTAGAAGGATAGAAACTTCGACGTAGGGTCTTTCCGCATCCACTACAACGCTTTTTAGTCAGCAAACATTTCTTTCTGAAAGAGGATAGACAGGATATTTAACATCTATTATCATGCATGAAAATAAACGATGAATTTGAAATTGTATCGAAACAGTGACACGGTTATTTGATCGATTAGACCAGGGGTGGACAAATTGCGCCCTGCTAAGACGGTCAGAAAAATCCGCCTTGACCGAATTCGTCTTGTATTTAAATAAATTGAATAAAGCTGCCACTATTTTATTGAATTTATATTTACTGATTTTTATGGTACAATTTATACCTTTCTGAAATGCAAAATTAATTAATGAAGGCAATCATTTTAAACAATAGCCCACCCCTGGATTAGACGGTTACTATTCATCTTCCACCGCATTAGTGCATACAATCTCGTTCGTTTACGATGCATATCTCTAATGCATGCACTATTTACGAAAGGTGTTAGCTTCTATTTCTTATTTCAATATCCTTCGTCTGTTTAAAATATTAACGAGTTAAAAACCATATACAAGGTGTAGACGAAAACTTGAATCTACCAGTTAGATAGAGAAATGAAAATGATTGTAATACTAACTTGGTTTCGTCCACCATGTCCACTTCCTGAGGCGCTGTTATTGGTGTATTCGAGTGTCCTGCGGTAGGATCATCGTTGGCTAATTCTCCGTTCGTCGAAGACACCACCTAAATAGACGATCGATCATTAGTAATTAAATCAAACGTGTAAACGATGAAACTTGAAATTATATCAGAAGAAAATTAAGTATAACGATCGATGGAATTCTGTATACCGTAAAATTAAGATATTTACATGTACAATCGTTCTACTAAACTATATATTTATATACAGGGTGTTCGACAACAGGTGGAAGATTTTTTAAGGGATGATTCTAGGGATGAAAATCAAGAATGACGAAATAGCGTATGCGGCTTTGATTTCCAGTAATTAACGTTTAAAAATTCGAGTAAAAAGCGCGTAAAATCTGGAAACAAAGACGCGATATAGCGTTTCAGGTTTTCTCGATTTTCGTCTTATTTCGATCCCTAGAATCACCCCCCTTAAAAAATCGAACACCCTGTATATACACGTGTAGAAGTTTCTACTTGACAAAGGACTAACAATAAGACGATATAATTTACGTGAGACAAGCGGCACTTTGTATTCACGAGGCATTGTTAATAAGAAAAACGAAGTGAAACTTTAAAACATGGTAATGGCTAATCAACTCACGGTTAAACAAATTACTCTTATAGTTAAAAACACAACGCATGAAGTTATACTTTTACTAGGCTCGGATAAAGCGCGGTTTAATCCGGGAATAGATAGAACGTGATTATGTGACGGTTTGGTGGAATTAGTGAAGTAACAGAGTTAGAGGTATAAATCGATCAACGAAACAAACGTCCGCATGCTACGACAAACCAATTCGCATCGACTTCGAACTGACCATATAATCCGTTGATGCTTTGTCTAGAAATAGAGCGAACAGTTTACTTGCTGACGCGTCTGGCCATCATCTGGGCTAAGACAATGGAAAACAAGGGGAGAGAGTAGGTAAAACGGGCAGGGATTCATTGTAATATTTACTTTGAAAATCTTCTGATTTTTTATTTTAAATCCTATTATTTTTTCTTTTTTTTTAATTAAATTTTCCAATTAATGATTTATAACTATTGGCCAGTAATGTAATTAAAAAAAATTGTTTTCTATTAATATTTATAAACATATGGAATTTTGATTTCGACCAAATGGAATTTACAGACAGAACACGTGGCAACGAAAAGAAAGAATGATTTCTTTGGATAGATAAGAGTAGACAGATAATGGACGACACAAGGATCGCTAGGTCCACTCACCTGTACAGAACCGTGCCTATCAGCAGGTGTCAATGTACCACCAGCTCCTGATTGCTTCACAGTATCTGGCCACGTGGTTCCCACCCCTTTACCACCCCCGCCTCCCACCCCTGGACCTGTCACATCCTAAAGGAACAAGCACTAAATTCTCCAAGTTTCAATGCGTCCAACGGTACAACGGTACAAAAAATTAACAAACGTATCCTTCAACGGACACGACCTCGTACACTTGTCGCATGTGATACCAAAATGAGTTTCCTTGGGAATACATCACGAATCAACGGTTTTCTTTACATTTTCGTTGGATAAATTACAATTTACCATGGTACTGATAAACTACGACTAGCTACATTAAAATTGATTGTCAAAATGATACTAGAGGAATGGCAAAAAAAAAAAAAAAGAAAGAAGAAAGGGTTGTTTTCTAAGTAACTTCTTCATACATGCATTGAACCTTAACGTGGAACGAGGTTGATTTTATAGAAAAATATCACTTTATCTACGTGTACCTTTAGTCGAATACTTTCGATAAGATAAAAAGCATGCATGAAGAAGTAAAGACGAGTGGAAAAGAAAAAAAGGAGACGCGTTACAAAATTTTCTTTCCTTACATAGTTCCCTTGCATTTCGATGTTAACCTCATCCAACACGAGGACTACGTCCTCCTCAAAATCATCGCATTCCTATACACCGAGGATTTCCGTGTTTCGCAAAGAAACAAAATTGTTTATATAAAAGAATCTTTCAGGTGTATCGAGGAAAGATAATGTAATCGACACGGCTTGCGTAAATATTCTCTTCCCAATTATCGTTTCAACTCATTTCGACAAGTTTTTGCGAAAATTATCAAAAAAATCACATTAAAAAAGAAAAATGATAATAAAGAAAGAAATCTATTCCGTATACCCGATTAGGTGTATATATACTCATGCTGTTATTTGAAATAGCTAAGCTTCACACATTCATGCTCGTTTTCTTCGGAAAAAAAAAAAAATAAAATAAAATAAAAGAAAGAAAAGATGTTATAAATATTTATCAGCGTACCTTGTACGGATGCCGATCACGATTCGGTGATACGATAATTTCTTGTCCAGTCTGCAAGGATCCAACAGGCGTAGACTGAAAAAACGAAACACACAAATATTCCATTATAAAAGTATATTCTCGTTACCATATTCGTTTACTTTATATATATGCAAAGATAGACGAATTTCTTTATGACATACTTGGAATCGGGAATGAAAGAATAATTTGACGATAATTCAAGATAATTATTTTCAAACACTTGCTCTTCGACGCTGCAGGGGAGAATGGAAGGTACATTCTTTATCGAGATAAAGGAATATAAAATCACACACAAATATAAGTATTAAGATCGTCTGGAAAAGAAGAAAGCGTTCTAGGGTTAAACGATATAAATCTACTTAAAGGTATAATTACGTACTTAAGCGATTAGAAGTCTGTATCGTATTATTGCAAAAGCTGTTCAATCATCTTTTTTTAGAAAGGGTTCAGAAAAATACTTAGCAAGTAGGAAGGAAAGGATTATCGATCGGCATGCACTGGCGATACTACCGTATAAATATCCTGATAAAATCTTACTGTGAGTGTAAACGAAAGAATCGAACGTAACACGGGCGGAAGGTTTAAAATATGCGGTGCTAAGTACTGGTGGATGTAGTTGATGCGAATCTCGGTCGAAGCAAGATGCGACATCGTGTTTCAACGAGGTGAAAAATAAGATTTTCACGCTTTTCTCTTATTTTTTTTTCGTTCATGAAATAAAGTTTCTATCAAGCTCCCAGTATCGTTCCGTGCATTTTACAGCAACATTTTCGAGCACGTATTACGCTTCTCAGATAAAACTATATAGTCGGTGCAGCTGCATCCTTTTGTCATTAACGAAAAGTTTGTTTCTCATTAAACAGGCGTTATCGAACAACGCGTACAGGTCGAATATCAAATATGCGAGCCTCGCGTAACGTGTCACCCACCTTATCGGATTTAGTCTTGCCAACATGAGAAGGAGGAGCCATCCTGAGAGCTCTAAGTTGTTCGAAGTTGGATGGCTAGAGGTACATTGGGGGCAGCATGCAAACGTTAAAGATCATCAAGTGAAATATGACTGTTTCTTATTTTTCTTTTTCTCTTTCTTCACTAAAACGACAGTGAAGACGACGTTAAGGACGACTTACTTACCCCGAAGAGACGATATCTAGGAGTTTCTTGTGACATAACAACGATACTCGAGAAATCTTGCAAGTTTTCGAGCAATTTAAGCACGGTTCAGCTTCGAATTTTATTCGATCCTTAAAAGTCTTGAAACTCTTCGCTCGAGAGATACTGTATTCATAGTAGACTAGAGCGCGTGTGAAATATGCAACGTATGCGAATTAAGATACGCAAGAGTAGCTGATATATATTTCAAATCTAACGGAAAGAATTTCAAGAGTCTCAAGATTCGAAACGTTCTCTATATTCTATTCGAAACGATTCATCCGGATTGAAATCACGTTCGTGTACAATTGATAAAATTCTTTTAATTTACATAATCGAATAATCGTCTGGATATTCGAGTGAATATACGAGTAGGGGAAAAAAAAAGAAACGAAAAGAACTCCGATGTAGATTTGATATCGACTCTTGCGATACTTGCTTCGTCCCAGGACGTAAACTGAACCATCCTGAACTCTCCTATCATTCTGTCTTCCTTTCTTGCGTGCATTGCGAAGAGATACAAAGAAAAAAAGGAAAAAGAAAAGAAAAAAAAAAAAAGACACAAGTGTCGTATCGATCACTTGATCAATGGATCACGCACCATCGTCTTGCCGGTCCAATCGAACTCGCCGTCGTTGACGAAACCTCGTTTCTCGTAGAGGTCGTGGAAGAGGTTCCTCAGGTACTCGTAATCGGGCGTCTCGAAGAAGTCCAATCTACGAACGTATCGCAAGTACGTAGCCATTTCTTCGGGATGACCGTCGCAGAGTACCTCGATCGGTGTATTCCGCTTCGTGTCGCCGATTTTCTGATATCGTTCCTTCAACGTGTCAGCTTTCAATCCTTGCCAAGGAAGGCTACCGCGCAGGAAGTACATGAACATATGTCCTAACGCCTCCAGGTCGTCCCTTCTGCTCTGCTCTAATTGCAAAGAGAATAGAAAAACACATTTGCTTAGTAAAGAATATATTCTAACTAAATAGTCAACGAAGATCAGAGGATTAAACGCAGACGCGTCAACGGCCGTTCGGTTTACAACTTTCTCCGAACGTAGACCTCCCGCACAGCGGTTAAGTTTCAAGATGGTCTGGACCTGGTTTACCTAAACGCTTTAACGACCTGTGACATTTGTAATAAAAGTTTTCGTTTAAGAGCTTCCTTAATCATTTCTGTAATTATAATTGATATCGATAACGATAAACCGGAGTGAAAGATTAATTACAGTAAATGTGTATCAATATCAAGAGCTGATGTATCAGCTGTCAAAGTGATAACGCTAGAAAATAATGTAGAAAATTAAATAAATAATTGATGAAATATAATTTAACCCTTTGCCATACTTGCTAAAGCCAACTATTCAACGCTGTAACGTTGAGGTAAATCAAGGAAATTGAAATATTATGCATATATTGTATTTAGAGATTGCCGGCTGTGCAAATTTTAATTGAAATTGTACTTCAAATTTAATTATAACACAGGTAAGGTTCAGTTTTGTCACGTTATAACTGTAAGGTGCGTCACAAGTGTAACTCGTTACATGGCAGGCGGTTAATATATACAGCGGTATGTACCTCGGTATACGTCTGCTTTGGAATACGTCCAATTCGGAATACGTCCTGTTTGGACGTGACAAATTTTACTCGGTATACGACATACATTTTTTGTGAATTTTGCGTCGTTTTTAAATAATTATCTCGGAGGAAAAGTTAAATTAATAATCAAATACATTCGGAGTTGATGGATTATTAACTGACTGATCATACAAGTAAAGGAAAGGAGGAACCGATTAAGGTCGTACACCGAGGTACCACTGTACATGTAGATTTCAACAAAGATACCTTGATAAAATTTAAATAAAAATTTAATTAAAATAAGAAATTGAAAATTAGTCATCTTAAAGTTACCTTTTCCAAGATGCGTGTTGATGCTCATGTAACGCGCCGTGCCCGTCAGGCTTTTGTGTTCCCGGTATGGTATGTGTTTATTCGTCTCCAAGTCTATGTACTCTTTGGCCAGTCCAAAATCAATGATGTGAATAACCTTCTCGCGTTTGGTTGTGCTTCGTCCTATCAGGAAGTTTTCCGGCTTGATATCACGGTAGATCAAGTGTCGACTATGAACGTACTCTATCCTATGAAGCTGTAGAAATAATCGAGGTATTAATGTACTAGGGAAAGAAACTTTTCACCGACTGTGTAAGTCTATCTACGTATTAAGTTACCGGATAAGTTGTGAGCTTCGATGTAAAGACATAACTGTTTAAATTTTAATTCATCTATTTTCATCAAGTTTACATTTATCGTTGTACGTAATTTCAAACATTGATTTCATATTCCATCGATTGCACTTACAAGTTGTGTGGCGATGTTGAGAACGGTCTTCAGGGTAAACCTCCTACCGCACAGGTCGAAAAGGTCCTCCAGGCTCGGTCCGAGAAGTTCCATCACTAAAGCGTTATACTTCCCGCATGGACCGAAGTAGTATACCTCCGGTATACCTTCTACACCGTCGATCGATCGAAAGAAAAGTTAATAGAAAATTCATTATCGATCATTCACCGTGAATAGAGGTGTGCGAGTACTCGGAATTTACGAGTCGAGCGTTTGAATTTGCCGAATTACTCGAAAAAGTCGAACTATTCGAATATTCGAGGTTTACTTGAATATTCGAGTAATTCAGTTTTTCAAGTAGCTCGATTTTGTTTCAAACAGTTCGTCGATTTCGAGTAATTCGGCAAATTCAAGCGCTCGAAAATTGAACTACTCGAATATTTGAGGTTTACTCGAATATTCGAGTAATTCAATTTTTCAAGTAGCTCGCTTTTGTTTCAAACAGTTCGTCGATTTCGAGTAATTCGGCAAATTCAAGCGCTCGAAAATTGAATTACTCGAATATTCAAGTAAATCTTGAATATTCAAGTAATTCAATTTTTCAAGTAGCTCGCTTTTGTTTCAAACAGTTCGTCGATTTCGAGTAATTCGGCAAATTCAAGCGCTCGAAAATTGAATTACTCGAATATTCAAGTAAATCTTGAATATTCAAGTAATTCAATTTTTCAAGTAGCTCGATTTTGTTTCAAATAGTTCGTCGATTTCGAGTAATTTGGCAAATTCAAGCGCTCGAAAATTGAATTACTCGAATATTCAAGTAAATCTTGAATATTCAAGTAATTCAATTTTTCAAGTAGCTCGCTTTTGTTTCAAATAGTTCGTCGATTTCGAGTAATTTGGCAAATTCAAGCGCTCGAAAATTGAATTACTCGAATATTCAAGTAATTCAATTTTTCAAGTAGCTCGCTTTTGTTTCAAATAGTTCGTCGATCTCGAGTAATTCGGGAAATTCAAGCGCTCGACTCGATTCGACCGACCGATCATTGTTTGACTCGAAATTCAAGTACTCGAATAAATCGAATACTCGCACACCTCTAACCGTTCGAATGAATTTCTCTCGTTACTCACCGTGTGTACCTAATAATTTGTAAAACCTATATTCTAAGTGTAGCTGCGGCGCCTTCGACCTCATTGGTTCCTACAAAAGTGACAGAAAAAAGAGATAGCAATGATTTTAAAATAATACCCTGGACGGAAAAAAGTTTCTGTCACGTTAATGATTCGTAATGAGATTCGAACGAGATCTCTCTCGGCACTCGGCTAACTTTAACTCCCAGTCAAACTGTTAACGCCAATTAAGCGATTTCCTCGTGTCCTGCTTTTTTTTTTTTGTTCTCTATCGCTGAAAGTGACTGTTCTCAAATTTTAATGAACTCACCATTTTAATTGCTACATGCTCGTTATTGTAGAGGTTCTTCCCTGCAACAGAACGGAAAAGTAAAAGGTCTATGGGCGTTCCATGATCGCAGCAATTTTACATAATTTAATCGATAGTTCGTTTTTCCTTTACGCAAGTTAATGCTCAACCTATAAACAGGTTAACTGCCTTGGTAGTTGGTTCTTTTCCGAATTATTCAATTATATCAAATTTAAGGCACCTGATAACTTATCAATTTGCATGATTAAATCCTGTTTCTTTTGAATACTGTAATTACTGTTTAATTTTATATATAAAAATTGGATTAATTCGCGTTCGATGGATAGAACGAACACTAAGGTGTTTAATTATACTCGTTGCAACCGTTTTACGCAATTGCAGATATCGGAGCCTGGGTGTGTCTCGATATCAGCTCGTTAGTCTAAATATTAATAAACGTGGGATTCCTCGAACGCCAATTACAACGGTGTTTCTCTTTTTATATATATTTATACCAATGTACGTAATTATAGCTGAGATATAGAAAAGACGTTAATGTCACCTTAATCGCGTTACATTCGCTTCCATTTCGTACGATCACTATTATATCGAACGACTTTCCCCCTTGATTGCTCTTCACCGTGAGAAATTCAATTGATCAGATTTGCGGGCTAACTACGTATGCGGTCGTTGTGGTATTACCTATGGTTACCGATTATCACCCTCCGCAAAGCGATATTCCATAATTTTTCATTTATATAATAACACGTTGAACAACATCGGGGTCACACCGGCTTCGCAATTTACACACGGTTGTATAATTAAAAGAAAACAATAGAAAAACATTTTTTTAAGTAATATTGCTATGGTACAAAGAAATTTGAAAATTAATTATTACTATTCTTGGTAATTAGAGCTTTAATAAGTCCCACTAAAAATGCCCAATTTCACAGTGGCATTCAATGTGTTAACACTAGAACTACCGAACCAGTCAAATGACTGGTTTCAAGTTTCTTATTTTAAATTATAAATTTTATCAAAATATTTTTGTTCAAATGTTAGCTATTGTCGAAATAAAGAATCGATGAAACGTTCTTAGGTGAAACCTAATGTTCCAACCTTTATTTATTTAATTTTCTACGTTATTATCAAATTAAATAAGCGTACATCAAACGTTCGGTAGTTCCAGTGTCAACAGGTGATAGCGAAATAAAATTGAAAACTAACTGCATAAATTACCAAAAAATGTTCGTAACACTCCTGTTCGAAAGTCTGAAGCTTCAAGATGCTCGAGACTACGTGAAAACTCGTCAGACAAATTCGTATGCGTGTTACTCCAGCGAGGACAAAGATACCCTCTTTATAAACGTCAGCTTCGTGACGAGAATCGTGGTGTCGTCACGAAAGGGAACCTCTCACCGTATCCCGAAGAAAGAGAATAAAGGAGCCGTTCGAGAATGAAAGTGCATCGGCTACTTCGAAAATAATGAACTCGAAACTTTGTCGCTAATTAAATAATTATACGCGGAGGACAGCCTGTTCGTTTCGCGACACGCGATATCGGTTGACATCAGACTTCACCCTCCTGGAAAGGGAACGTAAGATCTTTCCAATTATTCATCGAAATTAATCGGTACGGTCGAACGATTAAACCGTTAAGAAAGCGCAACTTTGAGTTTACTCTTTGAACCGCTAATTGAGACAGCTTACAAATTTCTCAGCTGTCTATTTGCACGCGTGGCGAGAATCGCCGAAAACGTTGACAGACGTCAAAAAATGAAAATCGGAATTCTTGAAATCTGTTTAATGGAACTTGTTCATAAGGAATGTGTGCATAATGTTCTTTATTATTACCATTTAGCAGATATGAGCCTTCAAAGTTGATTTTGTGAAGTCAATTTCATTGGGCAAAGTTTAACATAATGCTGTTCATTAGTTTTTAACTATTATGTTCTTTCGCTAATATTGCCACTTTATATGATCCTTTTTGAATATAATTATGTAAGTTGCACAACAAAATGTTTATTTCTAACTGTGATATAGAACGAAATAGAAATTTAATGTTTACTCAGAAGACCGCAAATTACGGCAAGATATTTTTACAGATCCTTATTCAGGAAACTTCCAGCTTTAATTTAAGCCTAATTTGAACGTGTAGATCCGTGTAGAACACAACTTTTACCTTACGTAAACATTAAATATGTCCATTTTGTTGTGCAACTTACATAATTATATTCAAAAAGGATCATATAAAGTGGCAATATTAGCGAAAGAACACTAATAATAGTTAAAAACTAACGAACAGCATTATGTTAAACTTTGCCCGATGAAATTGACTTCACAAAATCATCAACTTTGAAGGCTCATATCTGCTAAATGGTAATAATAAAGAACATTATGCACACATTCCTTATGAACAAATTCCCATAAACAGATTTCAAGAATTCCGATTTTCATTTTTTGACATTTCTCCACGTTTTCGGCGATTCTCGCCACGCCGTCCGTTCCTTGCTCAGCATCGCGAACGATTTCCTAGTTTCGCAACGAGACATTCAATAACCGCAGATAGGAATCTCCCTCGCTTTATATATTATTTCAAAAATGTCCGACTATGATTTATAGAAAGGAAACTTGATCGTTGATAAAATTGAAATTATCATAACACAACGGTGAATGCGATTCGGCATTGATTTCAACCTGAAACGTTATTTCATTCATCCGAAGTGAAATTGGAGTAGGTCACTCGGTGTAATAATACTTTGCATAATTTAAGAGAACGTGACGTCATCGGTGGTACGATACAAGAAAATTTGCCGGATTATTCCGTCATCCGATGCAAATGGTTTAAGAATTTTTGATACGTAAATTAGCGAGAATAGTGTTATCAGGAAAAAGAGGGAATAATCTTAACGACTCTGATTTCTCACGAAAGAGCACGATTTATCACACATGCGCTACGAGTATGAATTTTTTATGCAGAATTTCACAATTTTAATTTTGGAAGGGTATAATTTTCACCAATTATTACCGTCCACGCTGTAGCGGTGACTGTTCGATTCCGAGATCGTCAGAACTTGGCCGATCGCGGCCGAATGAAGAAGCGTGGACGGTTGAAACAGGAAGAAAGGATGGCGTCGTTGTAGGCGTTGTTTTAATGAAAATAAAGAGTTTAAAAATTAAAAATGTGTGATTTTAGAACCGAATCGAAATCTACTTCATAAAAGGTAGACACTTACTGAGATCGCAAAGTTTCGAGCGTCTAATCATCGCGAAGGGCATGGCTGTTGACGAAAAGATAAGAATCGGGGAAGTAATCTTGCGATCGAGCCACCGGACTCACGCGAACTCGCACGGACGACAATTGCAAGCGAGATCTCGAATCGCAACCGTGGGGATCGCGAATGGATTAAGCGGAAATGTAATTGACGAGTGTACCACAACGATGAATCAGTGCCACGGACCTCACGTGCCGCATCAGACGAGCGTGATTGGTGTACCGTACACGAACGAAACTTTTGTCGCGACTTGTAGCGAGAGTAACACGTGACTCTCCAACAAGTCGCATAAATTCGCATCTTAGGATCTTCGAAACTTTCCAAAATTGAAGAGAAATCGAACTTCGAGCGATAGCGAATAAAAAATATCACGACAACCAATTATTCTATGTCGAACGTTTAACTTACAAGGGAACATCGGGGACTGATACACTCCGATTTTGATGAAACTTTGCATAAATATTTATTAGACCTCTTTATGAAGATAACTGTAATTCGTTGGTGCCCGGTTTTTACTTTGAGGGAGATATCAACCCTTTTATCCGAACCGCCCTTTCTATATACGTGCTTATAAATTGTAAACAACAAAAGATATAAAAAAATAGTTGAAATAAAAGTTATACAGTTTCTTGAGGTCTATAAAGCTGCGTGTAAGTTTTTCTTTTAAATCATCCTATTTGCAAAATTAAATTCCCCCTCCCCCTCCGTTTTGAAAAACTTTACGCAGCTTTATAGACCTCAAGAAACTGTATAACTTTTATTTCAACTATTTTTTTATATCTTTTGTTGTTTATGATTTATAAGCACGTATATAGAAAGGGCGGTTCGGATAAAAGGGTTGATATCTCCCTCAAAGTAAAAAACGGCCACCAACGAATTACAGTTATCTTCATAAAGAGGTCTAATAAATATTTATGCAAAGTTTCATCAAAATCGGAGTGTGACAGTCCCCGATGTTCCCTTGTTAGAAGAAAAGAAATCGTGTTTCGTTGCATAAAATGTAAAGTAAGCTTACTTAAAGTTTCTCTCGTTCCGGAAACGGAGCAGTTGCCGACCGAAGGGAAAGAAACCGGATGCAAACGATTAGACAGGTATATTTAATTAAACAATTAATCTTCAGGACTTGCCTGAATTTTTCTACGATTTATAGATAGGAAACTCGAATCCTTAATTAACGATCTATTATTTTTCTTACCTAACGAATCATGGGTCGATTACAAAAAATAATTAAAACGCACTCAAAAGGTGCTATCTCCCGACCTCTCGATAATATTAATAATAACTTGAGAATATTTACAATGACAAGTCAGAAGTGAAAAACAAGATCGCATCAGTGAAGGGTTAAACATTGAGGTAGTTGGAATTTGATACAATAATAAAGCGAAGATAAACCGAAGTAAAAATACGGTACGGAGATAAAAAGAAGGCATACATAATTTTTTAACTTTCGACCGTGCGTCGATAAGACGCTTTTTTACTTAGAACGTTTAATATGGAAATGAAAGTGGAAATTCACTTGAGAATATTCACGGATGTGTGAGACTTAAAGTGTCACCGAAATAACGGTGCTCGAAAGGAGAGAAGAGTAACATAGGTCAAGTTTTTAAAGTAAAAAACGGCTTTTCTCGCCGATCCTTTTCCCGAAGAAAATAGTTTAGAGTCGATCCGTTTCCACGAAGGAGACGGGCGACAATGAAAAATATGTGAGCAGGAAACGGCGATAATTACAACGCCACCAAATACCGTGGAAAAATTGATTTGTCCTCGAAAATAGGCCAACACCCACT